GTGTATAAGGTTACTACCACCGAGATGGTCAAGGATATATTTCTTTCCGATCATTTTATCGTTTTCGTATTGCTTATTCATGTTTTCCACGACTGTCTTATAATAAAGTTTAATGCGTTAAATTGGCTTGTAAAATTTGACACTGTGTTGATATTCCATTGTAGATTTTGACAAACATTTATACTACCATGAGAAACAAGGCCTGATTTACTTTTTACAATTTCTCCCATATACATACATGTATTTGAAGTGGTTAGCTGCAAATTGGCAGTAGTATTGTTTGCACCATGTTCTTGTCTTCATTTGTAAATAAATTTACAGATATATGATGATGATTGCTGGTCGCAGTGTCCTACCAATGTTTAACAATTAATTTCTTGTACATATTACTTATTGTGTTTTAATCGGTATTCTTCAGGTAGAAAATAAAGTCACGTGCATCTTTCGTATACACAATGTACCATCAACGCCGCAAGGCGTTTGGGATTCTAAAGTGTAGGCACTGACAGAATTTCCATGAATTTCTCAAATGATAGATTTATAAACAGTATTGAATGATGTGTTCGCATCCTAACTTTAAAGACCCTGTGTATAATTGCTAAGATGTTTTATATTCGTTATACATTTTTAAAATAATAAAGTTTACAATATCCGCCATTATACTACATTATTCGATAACTGTAATTGAAATCTATTGAAATTGAATTTTCTATAAAAATCTACTAGTTTAGTATGACTATAGTGGTGCTTCTAAGGGGACATAACTTGCATGCGAAGTTAGAAGTTCGCGATTTTGGGCAGTGGCAGGTATTCGATCAGTTAGAAATTCGTGCTTTTTGGTGATTGCGGATATTCCATAATTAAAGTAAAGAGATGTAACATACAGCCTTTGAATATCGATTTACGGTAACACAGTTAAGTGGAAAAATTAAGTATTTTTACTCAACTTTAAGAAATCCTTTGAATACGGACCCTGGGATTTGAATCGAAGGAGAAGGTTTTAATTGATATTTCTGTCAGGTTTTGGTGGACATTCATGATTTTGAGGCAAAGCGATGACAGTGTTGGTTGACTATGGTGATATTATATATTGCGGATGTTTACTGGTTCACATGGTGGGACTTTTCACTGGGGATTTAGTTCTTTTTCGAACTTGCACATTTTATTTTCGACCTTCCAAGCAGCTATATTTACTTTAACATTTTTTTCTTTTAAAGGTTGTGACAAAGTTCATAAAACTAGATCTGTGGGTTTTGCTGAAAGTCATAGAACCTACAAATTAATGTGACCTTACGTGGGTATAAAGGAGGGTGACGCATGCGAAACATTCACAGAACATTGACGAATCTGTGGAATTGTTCGTGAAGGTTTATTTGGTGTTTTAATTTTATGTTTGGTTTAATTTTGTATTAGATTACAGCCCGAGGAAAAATTTAATATTAAATTTTAACTTGTTTTCTTTTTTTTGTTTTTACAGCCAGAAAAGGATGGTGCTGAAACAGTGGAATTCATGACGGCCACCAACACAACTTCAACAGGGGAGATTCCTAGTGTGTCATTACTATGGATACCATACGTAGTGATAGCAGTTGCGTTTTTGGGATTTCTTGGTATCCATTTTTGGTGCTACCATAAGAAAAACCGAGAAAAATTTATGAGAAAATTGGATGAGAAACGTGTGAAAGACGGGTTGTTGGAAAGACGAAAAACTATGCTGGCAACATCTCCTGGAGGGGATAACTTCATGTCTGCCTTTAATAATGAATGTAACAAAGCATTGGAACAAGTTGATAAGACGGGGACATTGCATGACAAATACAATATGACTTTACCCGTAGGAAATAATGTCAATGACATGAAATCTAATTATAAAACATTCACAAATGGGACCTAGTGTATGTCTTCTGGGTTTTCTGTTTTTCACGAGTTTATTAATGGACGTCTGGGTGTACAGAGGCGTATTAATATAGCTGATATTTTAAGTGATATGTAAGGGAGGTGATGAAAGAAAAGGTAGTTCAAGTGAAAAATGCCAATTATACCAAGTAAAAAGTTAATGTAGCAAGAAAAATATTCAAACGGAAATAAAGAAAGTCGTGAATTTCTTGGATTCTGTTTGTGAGTGAAAATGTTCCCTGTAATGTAAATACCAAACTATGTCTGTGAAGTCCGCAAACATTAATAACTATGTCTGAACAGCATTATAAAAATCTTCCAGTGCCACACGTGTTTGTTTAGATATTAGTCAGTGTGTTTTAGGACAATAATATATGACGTAGACTAGCCATAACCGTAAATATCCCGTCCGCTTATTAACCCCTATGTTGTACATTAACTGTATAGGCTTATTATCTCCGGTTACATGAAATCGATGTAGTAGTGTTTAATTGGTTATTATATAGTTTGTAATCCTGGTTTGACATACAAAAATAAAGATTATGATTTATCATCACGAAGTTTACCAAATACTCTGTATTATTAATACCAGAACAATACATTTGTAAGGGAACTTTCACTTAGTTCATTTCCCCAACCATAACAAACAGCATGCTCGGTATGTCCGTTTCATTATCCAACCCCATTTAATTTTATTTCAACAATTTCACTTTCTTTCGATTTTTCTTAACATTGATTATTGGAAATTAGGATTAACGTCCATATGACACACCCTAGATCATTTTGGGACTAACATATTATGGTTCAATTTTATTTCAATAATTCGCATGCGCGTAGGGATCTTTAGCAGTGGGAGGAACCGGAAAAACCCACGAGGTTGGACAGGCGACCCTACTCGGCCTACTCCTTGTCATGTACAACCGGGGGATCGAAACCACACCCGTTGATTCAATGACAGATCTTATGATTGAACGCGCACGCGCTAACCATCATCATCAATGACGATGTTGAATTGTGTTTCTTACTAAGCACCTCCATACCTTTTCGTTCCAATACGGCATCTTCGAATTATTTTAAGAATCAGGATTGCAATCTCAGAACTGGATAAACTCTTTATGTTTTCTTATTGTCAAAGTTGTATTCTTGAAAACCACATTGATTTTTCAGAGTTTATATTATCAAGTTTTGAACGTCAAAACTTCGTCAGGCAAGTCATGAAATAATACAAGTACTGCTTTAACTTGTTCTCTGTGTATAAGATCTCGAAGAAATAATCAAAAATTCAGTTTTTTACGTGTCGAGTTCATACCATTACCATATTAATCAAAATCGCTAAAATGAAATTTAACGTCCTACAATTCTCTCCGATTAAATTAATGAAGAGGAGCATATACCATGCAGTGTGCTAGGAGGGAAAGGTTTCCCTGACAGCGGTGCTAAGGCCTACTTTTAATCCGAATTCAAATTGCCAAGGGTTCTTTTACGTACACGCCAATGTGTACACAGGACATAGTATTTTTTGTCATCCAAACGACTAGATAGCTGCCCTTGTCAGTCCCTCCCTCCTACACCACTGAACAGAAAGGGGGAACCATGTCCTTCTACAAGAGTAGGACAAGGTAGCGGAGGAATTCAGTTACAATTACTACCAGCGGATGAAAAGCTGAGAGATGAGGGCAAGCTGAATTTCCAAGTGGAAATTCAAGTGCGGACCAAATAGGTACCATAGTAATCATCCACCAGTCCCTAACATAACATGACAGTCTTTAATAAGGCTCTTGGCACAGTGGATAGACCAACAAATACTAATTAAAGATACATTATGGGAGAAAAGATATAAAGAGATGGCAGTTCTCTCTATAATAGTTAAAAACTAGATAGTGTAAAGGTAATTTGCTGAAAATTTCAGTCAAATTGATCCACTATGAGCCGAGAAAGAAGCGGGTGAAATTTTTGCATAGTCTCGGTCATCATTACTAAAATCATTAATATAAACAGCATAGTCGCGATTATCCACTTTTTAAAATTTAATTATCAATGGCCGTTAGCGGCATATAGGAATCTAATCCAGCCAACATCGAAGGCTAGCCTTGACATCGCGAGTTTATTATGGTCTGGATAAGTTTAATGTCTAATTGATAATTTACATAACATTTCAGGCCTAAAGAAAGACTTGTAATAAGCAGATTTTGCTCTTGCATAATGCATGTTTAAAAGCACGCCTGTTAAGATTGTAAGCTCAATACCGAAACTATTGCTACGCAGCAGATGCCTGTGATTTACAACACAGATTTATCTTCACTATTTTATCGTAGAAAGTTAACCGACTTCAAGGATGTCTCAATAGCTCTGTTATTCTTTTCATTGGTGATCGACTAGATTATTGTGTTAACATGAAAGCTAGAACACTTGGATTGTGCTCATGATGTTGCACTCTTAATTCAAACTATTTAAAGAGACTATCCCGATTTGAACAGAGTCTCAAAAATAAAGATCTGAGTAGCCTACGTATGAAATTTAAGCACCGAAATATAGAGGAATGGTTTATTTACCTTGTCTCAAAATAATGAGTGGTTTGGACGGGAACGTCAAAACTGCTGATGCGGACACGTAACCCTTTTAAGATTTCCGGTCATTTTTTCGTTGGGTGACCTGATAATCGATTCCCGTTCCTTGAGAGGTCTATACAATGAATGACCCATGCGTTGTACTTGATAACGAAAGGTAAATTTCACCTGCACATTATTTTCATAAAATAAAACTCTGGTTTTATCCAGACACCGCATAATACATCTTGGTACACCGGTCTCCATTTCCAGATGAAGACTGACGGGTTTAAGATGGAAAAGGTATTGTTGAGCTTGTAGCTCGACCATTCATCAGGTAATACCTCGACTGAGTTCAATATAGAGATTAGCCGGTTGATTTGTTGGATATAAACCTTTGAATAATAGCGCCTAACAGGCAGCTGTGTTTAATTATGTTCTCCTGATTTTGATTGTTTCTGTGTGTTTGAAGTATATGTTTGTGATATGCGCTTAGAAACACTTCACGTGTAATGAAACGCTATATAAATCGAACAATAATAATAATAATAACGTAGAGGATTTTAAGGGATTTTATCACAAAATTAAGCAGTTTTATTCTCCAAAATATTATCGGGATTGGCCCTTTAACATAACATTTACCATCAAAGACGAGGGGTCAACTTTGTGCATGGGATTTCCCCCGTTCTTCCCACTGCTAAAGACCTACGTGCAAGCACATTAATGAAATACAAATTAAGTATATGTCCCTTTAAATAATATTATACAAAATCCATTCAAAACAGCTTAACATAACATTTCAACATACTATATTATATACTGTAAGACTGAATCTGTAATAACAATTTTTACATAATTCTCACTAGGACTGAATATGTACATGTAATAACACATTTTAACAAAACTTTCAAAAAGACTGAATATGTAATAACATATTTTAACATAAGATACACTAAGAATGATTTAAGTCATAAGCACATTCCTGTATGAACTGGTGTAGAATAGAAGGTAGAGGAACGCTGAATATCGATGGGGTTCATTCTCTGATGACCCCAATGGATCACACCATTTCATTATAGCCAACAATTCACATGGTTTGTAGTATTTATACCTAACAAAGTTCCACATTCCAAATATTTTCACTCGCACCCACCCCCATGCCTGGCCTTGACTACACTCCTGTCCTGTGTTATTATGAATGAAGTAGAGGCTCTGATTAGCATTTGTTTTATCTTGACATCCAGGTTAATTCTGTTATTTTCTTTTTTTATATATTATAATAATAATAATAATATCGTTATTTAACATAATATGGCCAAACAAATTTATTTTTTTATTTGTAGCCTGTAGTTACTATATACACTTTACAGCAAGTTCACACCAAATTAATTGAGTCATCTTCACTCAGTCGCAAAAATAGACCTCCCGTAAATACGACGTTGCCAAATGCAATTATGGACAAGTAGAAACATGTAGTTCCTAACAAATGTATTATAAGGTCCATGGTGTTTGTCGAATAATTTCGACTGAATTTAAATAACTAGAAGTTTACAAATTAAAAGATGTCGGTAGTCAAAATTTTACCTCCAACGTGAGGAGACCACAAGAAAACCACATGTATCTGCCCCTTTTGGTTATTTTCTTTGAAAGAATTCTATGCTGAAAAGATAGGTTGCCAGGCAACGAAACATACGCCCACGGCAGTTAAGTCATCCGGCAGTCAACGTGTGTAGTCGCATATTTTTCTTTTGCCAGTAATGAGAACATTTACAACACATGAAAATCTGATTACGAGTAATAACCCATGAAGTAATTATCAGAAAACATCAGAATTTGTGTGGATTGTTTGTCTCATGACCTTAGACAATTTATATTAACTTTAGCCTCTAGAGCGTCCTCATTATTTTTCAAGGTGATCAAGGGCCATAACTCTGGCAGTAATTATCGCTGCAAAATCAATAGTCTTCTTCGTCTTATGGCTTTAAACACGTGTATCGATTTAAAATCAATCGGATATTAATAGCCTCTAGAGCGTCCACAGGCAATTGTGGACTGACGGACATACGGACATTTCAATGTGGGCGTATAAAAAGGAATTGCTTGTGGACGCCGGACCAACGGATGGGGGAGACGACAATTTACGATTACATTTCAATGTGGGCCTATAAAAAAGAATTAATGTTTGTGCTATTTGGGGTTAACTGTTTTAAACAGTAACTGGTATGATGTCGATAATGGATGGTAACGATTGAATTGTGGGAATGGATCACCGGGATTTATTTTTCTAAGCATATTCCGAAAATTTCAATAAAGTTATGCGGTAAACCACAACAAATGTTTATTGCGACCTTCAGGATTTGAATAAGTTACAAAACAACACACCCACTCTTTCCATTAAACTTAGTAGTTGATAAATTTATGAAAAAAGGAGCAGTTTCTACCTTTGTAAGACCAACACAATTCTCAGTCACACAATTAAAGATAATGTAGAATTAATCAAATTAATATTAAAATTTAGTCATAAGTTATAATCTAGACCAAATACGCTTCTACCATATACAGAATTTGCTTTTTTCTATAAGGTAATGATTAGTATAAGCCAGCATGTTAATTGCAACGTTGTCAGTCCATATCAACCTGTGTATCAGTGATAAGATCAATCTGTTTTACAGAGATAATGCGACACAGCAGGCCAAGCGAATATTCACTGCAGATCAGTGTGTGATAAGATGTATAGTCCGTGTGACGTCAAGCGCCAAAACCTGGATTAAGACTGTAATTGAAAAATAGAGAAGTGTTTTCGAGGGTCTGGCAGATAATAACGGCCGTATATCGAATAACTGCGATCAGACTGGTGTGCAACTGGCTAAAGTGTTTATAATTAATACTGACTTCAACTACATACGATTTTAGAATAAAACTAGTGACTGCATCCCATAAAACTGTGTTCTTCTTGTATGCGTTTCCCGACGGTTAAATGTCACTCAAAGATTACATACGATTTTGAAATGGTCAATTGATGTGCCCTTTAAAGGAATTAAATCTACATTTTGTATGGTCTATACTATGCTGTGCTAAATTTTGTTTGGCAGCTGTTGATAGTAGGTTGATACACTTGACTTTTAGAAGTTTAGAACATTGTTTAACATGGAGCTTCCTAGACTCTTTTCAGACCAATAGTCTTCAGGCCCATAGCCAGCCCCTTCCCCTGAAAAAAAAAGTTGCCGACCAATATACCTACAGTAGACTGTGCCCCCCTAGAAACTTGACTGCAAGCTGGCTACGGGCCTGATTGTCTTTATTATTATATCACAGCCCATTTAGATTTATATTAACATGTTGTATTTCTCCACAATCTCAGCTCTTCATTTTATTTTTCTATTACTGAAATATGAGTCTTTTTCTCAGGGTATAGAAAGGAGCTGGTGACTGTTTATATCTGCCTCCATCTAATTCAGCATTGGCTTGTCCAACCACATTGTTCACCACTGTTAATAAACACAATATATCAAAACTGAAACAAAAATATACAGAAATTAGTTGAAAGATAATTAGACCTGTGCAGTCGGTGAAAAATAATGTAGCTCTAATATATCCATAATTTAATGAAGGACAAGTAGAAACACGTAGTTCCCAACCGATTTTGTTGCGTGTCACTCTGTGCATCACTTAGATCATGATTCTAAAAGAGAGAGAGAAATGGGGTTTAACGTCGACTCGACACAAACTAGGTCATTTCGGGACTAACATATGGTATAATTTTATTTCAATAATTCGCTTGCGCATAGGGGTCTTTAGCAGTGGGAGGAAACCTGAGGACCCGGAGAAAACCCACGAGGTTGGACAGGCGACCCTACTCCTTGTCACGTACAGCCGGGGATTCGAAACCACGCCAGTCGACTCAATGACAGACTTTATGATACAGCGCGCGCACGCTAACCATTCAGCCATTCAACCCCCCAGATTCTAAAAGGGGTTTTCCATCGTCCAAATAATAAGTAACTTACTGTTCAGCATATTGATCGAAAGTTTCACATAATTTAGTTATATACCATGACCCCATTGTCTTACTACGATAAGACACAAAGCCTGGTATGGTGGCCATGCCAAGTAGAAAATCAGCTTCATTAGGGATAACCTCTCCTCTTGTTGGCGTATCTTCATCAACATTAATTTCAGGCATTGCATCTCGTTCCAAAGGCAACCCTAAAAAAGTACATGATAGTAGGTAATAAAAAAGGTACAGTTTCAATCCGTAACTCTGATCAAATCTTCTTGGTTAGCAAGTGGTAATGAAACAAATAACACAAGGTACAATTTTATGGATACACAATTGCTGAATTGATTACAGTGCAAGGTTTTAATGAAGATACTCTCATCTTTATTTTAATGATCCAATTCTTTTAAGTCATAGAAATTAGACATATTTAAAAGAAACCACATAATTTCAAAAACAAAACTTCAAGTCAATTGGGTGATAACTTAATATCCTTTTATAGTGTTCACAAAATTTTTGTAAGTGATCAAGAGCAATAACTCTGACAATAATTAAACAGCTTCTTCATCTCATAAATATAAACACTGTACTTATATTGCAAGTTAATTTGATGATAACTTTTTCCATGGGGCAATGGCAATACCAAAATATACAATCACAAACTTCTTCAGAAATTTAGACTTAAATGAGACGATAACTCCACAATTTCTGAACGAGTAATTCTGAATTTCAATATTCGTCTTCTGTTTGACCCATCTGATGGACGATGTACAGACAAAGGTGACAACAACATACATCCATGTGGACATATAAAAATATTTGGTTTACCTTCTTGCCTGTCCTGTCCCTGGCATGCTTGAATAAAAAAAAGCTTTGGTTTATCACACAAACTTGGACAACTGAGAGGTTTGAGTGGACCTGTCAGATCTCTTATAGCAACAATTTTACCATCCGATCCATACACATTATCTCTGGTGCCATGTGATAAAATAGCAACAACAAAACAATCATAGTTTGTGTGATCTTCATTCAAGGCAAAATGGTTAATTGTACGTGCCATTTCTACTGCAGTAAGGTCATCAAAACATTTCACTATAAACGAAAGTTTCCCAAAGGTATTTATCAAACGGTCTGAAAAAGAAAGACATTAATAAACAAAAGCTCAAGTGGGCTTAAAGGGCATATGGCTCTATATTTTGGAACCTTGAAATAGACAAAGATAGGTTGCCAGGCAACGAAACATACGCCCACAACAGCTAAATCGTCCGAGTAGTCAAAAAGAGATGTCGCATATTTTACTTTTTTCGATAATGAAACATTTATAATACACTAAAATCTGATTAAGAGCAACAACTCATGAAGTAATTATCAGAAAACCATTAGAATTTGTTTGTTTTTATAAAGCTCTGCCACATGCTAACGTTTTGTATAGAGCTGAACTCAAGACATAAAAATTCATTGAAAATCAATATACTTGTTCGTCTCAAAATCTTAAACTCTGTGTATCAATATGAAGTCAATCGGATGATAACTTTAGCCTTTAGAGCGTCACAAAGTGATCAAGGGCCATAACTCTGGTGGTAATTATCGTAAATCGCTGAAAATCAATAGGCTTCTTCGTCTCATGACCTTAAACACTGTGTATAAATTTGAAGTCAATCAGATATTAACTTTGGCCTCTAGAGCGTCCACAAGATTTTTCAAAGTGATCAAGGGCCATAACTCTGGCAGTAATTATCAGAAATCGCTGAAAATCAATAGGCTTCTTCGTCTCATGACCTTAAACACTGTGAATAAATTTAAAGTCAATTGGATATTAACCTAGGCCTCTAGAGTGTCCACAAGATTTTTCAAAGTGATCAAGGGCCGTAACTCTGGCAATAATTATCGGAAATCGCTGAAAATCAATAGGATTCTTCGTCTAACGCCGGAAGGATGGACGGGTGCGACGACAATATACAACCATATTTCAATGTGGGCGTATAAAAAATGGTTCTAAAAGCACTTATTAATGTGATATGAATGTATGTAAAGTGATTTATATCCAATTTTTGAGAAAAAAAATATTGTAATTTCTAATTAATTATGTTCGGTGAAATATGTTAACAGTTCAAATTGATTGGCAGTAGTTTATGCCTGCTTAGTGCTTTCTACACGTCTTTTAAATTATTATTTTGTCGTTTGTGAATGAGCCTTTACTAATTACAAAATGGCACGCGAAACGACTTGTGTACTGATTATAAAGTGTTAATTGTGTCTTAAATATTGGATATTAGGATAACAACATCAATATTGAATTCTAATTCATGTTTTTAATTTCGAATATTATGGAAATATTGAGTTAGAGACTTAGCCCCTTTAACAGCTGATCAATAATTTGCGTTAGGCTATCAATAATTTATCTGTCTATGGATCAAAATGTTAACAATTCCTATCCATTGACAATGACAAGTTTATCTACAGATTCTAGTAACCAAGATTTAAAAAATATGAATAATCATTACCCAAGGAATATACAGTAACACATTTAATCGAAATCCTTCAAGCATTATTGGTGAAGAATTCCAAAAGACAGGATGGAATTACTTACCTTTATCTATGCTAGATCCTTGACGATTTTTCATATATCTGGAACTAACATCCAAATGATCATGTTTAAAATTTTCATTGTTGATTATAATACAAAAACCTTAAAATCAAACACATTATATTAAAGGGATATTATGACTTACATTATTAAACCCAAATATAAAATACAATTATTTTTATACCATAGCAGGTTCAAAATAACTTTATACAGTACTCACCTGATCATTGAAAATCCAAACACATGCCTACTTAGAGTAAAGAATCTCATATGTTTTCTGATATTCTTGAAAACCATTATAGTCTATAATCTGTACGCATATTGAAACTTGAAATGCCCCAAAACATTGGATTATCAGATATGTCTCAAATTTTTCATTTTTCAATTAAATGACCAAGATTTAACTAACGAGTTGAATTATGGCAAACATGCAATTATTTTTTATAATTGGCCAAAATTTCTAAAGCACTAATGTCTTTAAATAATCTTGACACACTGAACCTACTGAATAGAGAGAGAGAAATGGGGTTTAAAGTCCACTCGACACAAACTAGGTAATTTCGGGACTAACACATGGTTCAATTTTATTTCAGTAATTCACATGCCCGTAGGGGTCTTTAACAGTGGGAGGAACCGGAGGACCTGGAGAAAACCCATGAGGTTGGACAGGCGACCCTACTCCTTGTCACGTACAGCCGGGGAATCGAAACCATGCCAATTGACTCAATGACAGACCGTATGATACAGCACACACATGCTAACCATTCGGCCATCCAAACCCTACTGAATAAAGGTTAACATCATATGGGAATAAATTATTACCAGTACTAGTTTGTAACATTATATGGGAGATACAAAACTCATTTTATTACTTTAGCAGGAAGGGTGGCACCTAAAGGGGCTGACAAGACAGTCTGCCTTGTCATTTGGATTGTACTAAAAAGCAAGGAAGAGTAGGGGTTGCACTTGCACTATATGTTAGTCTCGAAATGACGGAAGTATTGTGTTGCTAAGACATTAAACCATATTCCATTCCATTCTGTTGCAATAAAACAAACACAGTTAGACAGGAGAACCTTCTCCTTGAAACATAATAATATGTGATTATAGTAATCTAGAGTTATCTTACCTCTAGGTTTTCGATCCATTCTGTAAATATCCATCTGTGGAGGTTGCTGTATTGACAGGTTCTGTATTGCTTCAACATCCCGCATTACTGTTTATATAGAAAAATATCTACAGACAATCAACCTAACATCTGATCTGATTTATGATGACAGATTATTCTGGCTTTCATAGACTTATTGTCGCTTTAAGGATTCACCAATGAATGACTAGAGTTTTCTTATTAGCCCTGTAAGTGCCGACCATAAAAGGAACCTCAAGAATTTCCCAGCAGATGCAGGGTTTTAAACCAGGCCATTCTAATTATAATCCAATGCATTGACAGCCTTACTTTAAAGCAAATGAAAACAGAAATATATAGTCATTTGACTACTCCTTTAGAATGCAATCTTCTCAAAGTTTCATTATCTTTAAGTCCAGACATAAGTACAAAGTTCAAGAAGTAATGTACTCTATAGATTTGTTTAATTCTACATACCTGTATCTGAGTGATTATCATCATTTGGTGCTGGCGGTTCAACAATACTAGCTTCACCTACAATTAATACTCAACCTTGATGCATATGGTAAATATATTCAATCAAAAATATTTTTGTTTCTCATCAACTATATATATACGAAAAAGATTGGGTGAGACAGGAGTTTATATTTTATAACCATCTAAGGCAAATAAAATACAATGAAAAGAAAGCTCTGGAAGACTTGAAGAAAAAAAACAACCCTATAATACATTCGAAAATTCTATAAAGGCAAATACATATATTTAATACTATTAATTTTATTTTCAGCATTTAGCAAAAATGATGAAATTTGAGCAACACTTGGGTTAAGCAGAACGTAAGACCCAGTATTCCACAGGTTGTTTATAAATTCCTACCTGTTGTAACGGGTATATTTTCATGTGTTTCCGCACTAGTCATGTGTATATCTTTCATTCCAACTAGAAACATAAATAAAACAAATGAAAATACACATTTCAAGAATTCAATTGTGGATTTTGCATGCTATTTGCATCTGAACATGGCCAAGGAAAATGATCTCAGTGACTCATGAACATATAGAGAGCCAAAATAAATGAGTTGTTCGGTGTCTTAACCAAACCCTTTGTCAGTGGCGTAAAATTTGTATGACCATAGTTCATACATAATCTGAGTTGTATGAGCTAAACTTGTAAATATTTAGATTTCAGAGTTGAATGAGCACATTTTATATAATTATTGAATAAGCATACATAATCTGAGTTGTATGAGCTAAACTTGTAAATATTTAGATTTCAGAGTTGAATGAGCACATTTTATATAATTATTGAATAAGCATGTTTTGTATAATTTGAGTTGAATGAGCATAATTTGTACATACATGTATGTAATTAAAAATGTATGAGTAAGTATAGGACATGGTGAGAGTGGTGTGAGTCTGGTTTGTACAAAGAGTTTTTTGAGTTTGAGTTGGACATATCCAGTGTACCATAAGTTACATCTAAACATATTAAGGTGGAAGATAATGATTTGGACATAAGCAGGACTGTATGATGAGGAGTTATATGATCACAATTTTGGCATTATCAGGATTGTAAAACTAAAAAGGAAATTGGACTCTAACTTGGAGTGAATAAATTTAATCTGGCATGTGCTATAAGTTCTTACATTAAACAATATTTTACCTTCATATGCTGAATGTTGTTTTTTAGTTCCAGTACTTGAGGTCTGTTGTGGTTCCATCTCAAGGGATCTGTGTAGAACTTCAGAGAGTTTATTTGAAAGTTCGGTCATACCACATGCATTAAATACTCTTATAAATTCATCTTTTATTTCATTCTTTGAATATATTTTACATCTGGAACTATGCCAGTTGTTAAATATGGTAAGCATAGCCATTTCTGGTCGTAACTGATGTTGTTGAAATATACGGTTAATGGTTTCAATTTCTAATCCAAACCTAACTCCAAGCTCCCTTATTTTCCCTTTATCATTTTGAAGTTGATATGAAATTTGGATGAGTAAGGGGTCGGGTATAATGCTATCTGAAAAATATAAATTATGCTTTAAGACTTTTCAGCAAGATGATTCCTTCTTCATAAAAGACCAACGTCCAATAAGCATGGCAACAACTCAGTATCGAGCGTAGAAATACATGTAGATACAGCAGTTTTAACACTGAGTGGAAGTTTCAATAAAACATATCCCTTTAGCTTGACACGTTACTCTGTGCATTACAGTCTAAGCATTTTTAGACACATTAAGAAACTAGCAGTTGCCAGGTCTTATATTACATACTTTTACACTATTTGCATACAAGGAGCGTCCATTTTGTCTAGCAATTTGGGTCAGATTTTTACAAAATTCAAACTCAACCTTCATTGATGTGTAACAGTGATATCTTTAAACATTTTTAAAAATTGAATACAAATTGTGACTTCTAGTGGGTCCATAAGCTAAAAATGCCATTTTTCAAACAACCAGGGGCCATAATCCATGAATTTATGTTCGGATATACGTGATTATGGAAAAGGAACCAGGATTTTTGTAATATAAACATCAATTTAAAGTTTCATCAAAATCAGATCTAGAGGGTCCACAATTTTTTATACCATACATGTATATCATTAAGGTGTAACGGTGATATATTCAAACGTTTTTTTATTCAGATAAAAATTGTGACCTCTAGAGGGACCACAAGCTAAAAACGCGATTTTACGTACAATCAGGGGCCATAATTCAGGAATTTATGATCCAATATGTGCGAATATTTTAAAGGAACCAAGATCTTTGGGTTATAAACATGCATTTTAAGTTTAATCAAATTCGGATCAAAATTGTAACCTCTTGCGAGTCTACAACCTTGATATACATTTTTACACTATTTGCGTACGAGGGGCAGCCACTTTGTCCAGCAGTTTTACCACTCAATCCTCATTATGGTGTAAAGGTGATATTTAAACGTTTTTTTAAATTTGATAAGATTTGTGACCACTAGAGGGACCACAAGCTAAAAATGCAATTTTTCGTACAATCAGGGGTCATAATCCAGGAAGTTACAGTCCGATATGCGCGAATATCAAAAAGAACAGAGATCTTGGGGCTACATGTATAAACACACACTTCTAGTTTCATCAAAATCGGATCAAAATTGTGACCTCTAGAGTGTCCCCAAACTAAAATGTAAATTTTTCGTAAAATTTGGTGCCATAATGCATGATGTTACCGTCCGCTACATGCCAATATGGAAAGGAGATTTTATGGAGATAAATCTGTATTTCAAGTTTCGTCAAACTGGATAAAAACTGTGACCTGTAGAGTATTCACAAAGAAATTGTGGACGTCCGGATAGACTGGGGTGACTACAATACATTTTTACATATATACGGTTATATTAACACATAAAAATATGTAAGGTTGTATTAATGGAATAATTTCCTATCCTCAAGCAATGTTTGGACAGTGATATGCAGAACATACACAACATTGGTCGTGTCAAATATAGTCCTACTGTAAGTATTGTATATACATTGGTCGTGTCAAATAATATAGTCACACTGTAAGCATTGTATATACACAGTTGTATACTTACCACCTGAACTCGGACTACTACTACTACTATTATACTGTTTTTCAGGGGGAGACTCTTCTGTGTTCATTTTTGTCACTTCATCTTTTTGTAGTGGCCTTTTACTCTCATTAATAGTATTGCAGGAATCTATGCAAGAACAAATTAAAATATATCTCAAAGATGGGTATGCTGTACGACCATAACTTGATCTATTCACTTGATCTGAGATTTGTTGTTTATTTTTTGCAATGTCTATTATAGTTGGTCATATACGCAGGGTTGTTTTGTAGGTTTTGTTTTGTATGTAGTGCAGTTCTCCTGCACTTACTATTAGAGTAGACGTTCTAACTCATGATTTCAACTGGCAGACTATCACCATTCAAGGGACGACCACAGCCAAGATCGGTCGCATTATTTCTGTTATGTTTGTCCCATTAATAGTGTTAAATATATTGATCTTTAATATGAATTTTCCCTCTTTAAATACCATGGCCCCCTAATCAAATAAAGGAGTTATGTTTTAATTGCATTTGTTTCATATTCTGTATATATTTGTCTACTTATATTCACATATTTGTATCATTTGCTTGATAAAGATAAGATCATCCTCTTTGAAACGTCGCATAGTATTAAACTCAGTAATAGTGTATCCATAAAATTGTATCTTGTGTTAAATATATTTCATTACACCTGATATTAGTTGTTTATTTCTTGGAATGTCTTTTATTGTTTGTCATATCCGCATTGTCATATTGTCATTGTCTGTTTTGTTTTGCGTGTAGTACGTTCCTCCTGCACTTACTTATTGAAGGCTTTTGTTAAACATGCATTATGCAAAAGCTAAATCTGCCTATTGCGGGTCTTTCTTGTTATCTAAATTATCAATTAGACATTAATTAACTTATCCAGACCATAATCCACTCTCGATGTCATCACTAGCCTGCGATATTTACTGGATTTGAATACATTTTGTGATGGGTAATTTAACGTAAAAATGGATAATCAAGACTTGGTTTATTATCGCACCAAAGTTAGTAATGACGTTTGAGGCTAGCCTAAAATTAAATTGCTAATATCTCAGTTTAGAGTGAAGAAATTTAACTGAAATTATCAGAATATTCTGTTTTCATTATCTATTTTTTAACTATTATAGCGAGAACTATCAGCGCTTTATCTAATCTTTCGGAGCAAAACAGTAGGACGTTAAACCCCATTTCATTTCATTTTATCTAATCTTATCTAATGCCCCTTTAATGGAGATTGTTATAAGAATATTCTCTGTCTTTTGTACTTCAGATAAACAAAACAAGGTGATTTTACCCGTAATCTCACAACCTACAGTTTTTCACTATGTGCAGGATTTAATATTTGGCGTGTGGTGCACGGAACTGTAGGTATCCCACTAGAATCATCAACGCTGATTGGTTAATCAAATGTCTAGGGTCAAAAGTCGCTTGTATGACCACTGATGCGACCTACCACTACAACCGGTCAGATCTTCATGTAGTTGAGGCCATTGAAAGTATAAAAAAATGAAAGAAATATAGATCTGTATATTAATTAGATTGTCTAAGCATAAAAGATTCATGAGTGTACATGTAAATACATGTAGCTTCTGCGTGTGCTAAAATCCCTTTTATTACTCCAAATGTAACATACCCTGATTTTTGGACCGGTATTCATCAACTTTCTCCTTTAAATCTCCCCGACCAAGCATTTCCAGCAATTCTATCAAATAGTTCAAATTTTGGGGACTGATAACCTTAACTTGTTCCAAATAAGCAAACAAATCCATTCCAGTTGTTATCATTGTCATCTTAGACTTTGGAATTTTTCCGAAAAAATAAATACTTTTCGTTACATCTTCTGCATCCATATCTTCACTGATATCAAACAGTAATATCCTATTAAATAAAATATGATAACAAATATAAGTACACAATATACTTTTGTTTTTATTTCATTTTGGCCTGTAATGGCTACCATCAAATTCTACTATAATGTACATAGAATTCAGATCTTTTATTTACTTTCATCCCACAAATTTATGTTAAAAGGTAAGACAATGGCTAGTATTGGCTACTCTTAATCATGACTAGCTGAATCATTAGTGGCTCTGGGTTTCCCCATATCATCAGTGGTGCAGGAAAGGGGGGGGGACCTGTCAATGAACAGTATCTGGTCGTTCAGGTGAGACAAAAAACTTAGGTCCCATGTACATACACATCAACAGGCATATACAAGAACCTTGACAGATGAAATTCAAAAAAAGATTAGGGTGTAGTAGTGACACTGTCCCTCATAGAACACTGGATGGCGTATCGCCAGTTTTATTTGAGCGGTCATTTCGGAACGACTGAAAATTTATATTCTATTTATTTGCTTGTTCACCACATTCAAACAAGATTATGTTTTATATCCAAAGCAGAAATACATTACCTGTACAATGATATTCTACGGTTATCTAAATCTAGAATTTGGCTGTCTATCAGATAACTGGAAAGATCTTTCCGACAAATCACATTCAGACATTGTGCCAAAAAATATAAATTTCCTGGCCCTAGGAGGTTATAGTTCGAGAGGATTTCAAAAAGTTCTGTTCCTTGGTATATTCTTTCAAGTTTTGCTAAAGGTATTTTATCCAAACAAAGAAACTTTAAACATTTTATATTATCATTTGTCAAGTCACTATCGATATAAAGTAGTTTTTTCCTATAAGTATGCAGATCACTATCAGCATCTGTCTGCAACTGATTTGAGCAACTCATTTTGACGATTGCTCTATTTGTTTTTAAAGATACCTGAAATACATACAAGAAATAACACTGCAAATTAAAAGAAATGGTCGGGTGTCTGTGAATCTCTGGGTATTAAGTATATTTAAATCTTCAATATATTCTGGAATTATGATTACCAGTGACAATGTAGTTTGTCTTTTCTTACGGAACTGACCTTTACACAACTATTTTTTTAAATAATAGTATAAACTTTTGATATAGTGTCTATAATTTCCATAATCTAGACATGTAGCTTAACAGAAATAAATCTCTATTCTTTGGCACCTAGAAATGGTCACAAATGGGTTGCAACACATATATTAATGCAATATGAATGTATATAAACTGATGTACATTCAAATGTTTCTGTTTCTAATCAGTTATTATGTTCGGCCAAATGGAGAAGATTTCAAATACTGGTAGCAGTCTCCTTTTGGATATGTCTAGCCTCATTCATCGAGTTGCTTCATTACAAATGGCACTCGAAAGCCTTCTGGCAGGCGATTTGTGTGCCAGGTTTAAGATTTTCATTGTGTCTTAAATATTGCATCAGAAGCCCATTGTTTCATGGTAAGATAACAACATCAATGTTGATTTAAATTGACCAATAAGTCGTGTTTGCAATGTCGAAGACTGTGGATGACACCAAGTTAAAAACTTGCCTCCTTTAAAGCTGTACACCCAAAACAAATCTAAATTTGAGAACATACATAAAAAATGATAAAATACATGTACATGTTGGACTATGTATTATCTGTGTCCCCTGATTGAGTAGCTTTTGTGTCACTTGATATCCTCCATTTTAGAGTATGTTGTTTTGTTTAACTTCATTTACAATTAAAATACCAGTTTGTAATATTGTAATAGTAGAAATATCACACAAAGTCCAGCTTTAAATATACAGTCTAACTTCTAACTGATCGTAAGTCCTGTTACATTTGCCTTAGTGGGACTGAGTTATGTCGTCTACACGCAAACTTGTCCACAGTTAAGTCGGCCACAGCCATTGGTTAAGTCATCCACAAGTATGGTTATTATTATTATTACATAATATTTATAGTTTGCCCTTTCATATCATGTGTTCAGGGGCACGTCTCAACCAATGTATTTTGATATGGTGGTTTACTCCACATCTTATCTTTCGTGTTTTGTTGAAAGCTACATATTTCTTTACTTTCTGTTTCAATTTAATGACTAATTTGTAAAAATCCCTGAGCTATATATAAATAATCAAAAGTCTCTAACTCAATATCATCCAAAGTCTTCGACAAAGTAAACACGAATTATATGTCAATCTTAATACAGGGAAAATATGGGCTTTTGATATTTAATTCTAGCTCATGAACCAAATTTTTATAAACTGAATGATTTACAACAATTTAAAATCCTGTTGATGAATAAAAATACAGAAATTTTAAAATGTTTAGGAGCTTTTATATATGTCTTTGTAAAGCTGTGTATCTTGGTATAATTATGTCAATGTATGTATCCTTTGTTTGTTTCATGTATCTTTCTATTATGTTTATTTGTATATGCACATAACCTTGTAAGGTTGTTTTATGCAATAAAGTTTCTTCTTCTTCTATCCAATATTAAGACAAAAAAAACATTTTACCATTAGAACCATTTCAGCGCCATTTGTAACAAAAAAGAGACTCGAAGAATGAAGCTAGACATATTCCACAAGTCATGTCAAACTGTGATGCCATATTCATATTACATATATGGGCCTACTTTAGGAACTGTATCAGAACAGACTATGTCCACTGACAGTTCGTATCCGTCCCTATATCAATATGAAAATACAGTAAAATATCACTCTTTCCTACCTCTGTTCTCGGGCTGTTTTGGAACCTTTACCTTCTAATAATACTTCTATATTTTTCACAGCCACAGGAGTGATTATTATTTTTCGCCAAAAGGAATCATTTCTTACTTACTATATTATATTTCACACAAATTTTTTTATAATATAATTCAACACAAATATCTACATTATCTTACATTGTTCACTGCATTGTGAGAATGATAAAATTCTTACATACTCATGAATATTCTTCCTTCTTGTTTCCACGAAACCTAATCCAAAGTTTGGGAAATCCGTAGAAAAGTTTATTTATAGCTGAGCGGAATTCCCCGTACGAAATTTCCTTTGTAGACGCGATTGGTTAGCCACAAATCAAATAGTCAGTCGAATAAACCGGTCGATGGCTTATTAAAATTTTGGAATCGTTTGTAATCAGTATAAGTTAAAGAAAAAACGCACTAATTCCAATATCTTTTATCATTGTTTTTGTTTATTTTTTACGTCCCCTCATGTTCAAATTTGATTGTTCAAATTAAAACTTTAAGGTGTTATTGCCACGGCGGCTTAATAAAGTCATGCTTTACCTTTTCCCTCATCCCCATATGCCCCCATGCCAATGTGTACACGGGACCTCGGTTTTTCGTCCCATCCGAACGACTAGACATCTGTCCTTGTCCACCTCCAAAAGAATATAGAGTCCCTATATATGATATGTTGGGTTAGGGGGGCATATGGGGATGAGGTATTTGACATTATCATGTGGCCTCGTCCAGTCAATAAAATCAGTCAGTTAGTTCAGTCGATAACATCAGTCAGTTAGTTCATGCTCGTCCCATCCGAACGACTAGACAGCTGTCCTTGTCCGCCTCGAAAAGAATAGAGTCAATATATATGATATGAACATGGAAATGGGATGCGATGGGGCGGGGGGGGGGGGGGCGTGTCAGGATGAGGTATTTGACATTTTCATGTGGCCTCGTCCAGTCGATAAAATCAGTCAGTTAGTTCAGTCGAATAATCCAGTCGAATAAACCAGTCGAAAAGTTCAGTCGAATACTTCAGTCGAATAATTCAGTCGAATAAACAAGTCGCTCAATATTAAGCAGCGGTGGCAGTGGGCTAAGATAATATAGTAGCAAATCATGCTCGTAGACATAGCTGAAGGAGCCGGGGCATGGGGTAGGGACCGGGGGGCTTCCCAACTAGTTTCAAGAGATGAAAAGAAATGAAATGGGGTTTTAACGTCCTACTGTTACGCTTGGAACTGGGCTTATGAAGACGGGCATACGCCATACACTGTGCGATGAGGGAAATTTTGCCCGGACAGCGGCACTACGGCATACTCTTATATCGAATTCCATCTGTCAAGGGATCTTTTACGTCCACGCCAATGAATACACGGGACCTCGGTTTTTCATCCCATCCGAACGACTAGACAGCTGTCATTGTCCGCCTCGAAAAGAATAGAATCCCTATATATGATATGAACGAAGAAAGGGGATGGGGTGGGGCGGGGGGATGAGGTATTTGACATTTTCATGTGGCCTCGTCCAGTCGATAAAATCAGTCAGTTAGTTCAGTTGAATAATCCAGTCGAATAAACCAGTCGAATAATTCAGTCGAAAAGTTCAGTCGAATACTTCAGTCAAATACCTCACCCCCCCACCCCCGGCCCCATCGCATCCCCTTTCTACGTTCATATCATATATAGGGACTCTATTCTTTTCGAGGCAGACAAGGACAGCTGTCTAGTCTTTCGGATGGGACGAAAAACCGAGGTCCCGTGTATACATTGGCGTGGACGTAAAAGATCCCTTGACAGATGGAATTCGATATAAGAGTAGGCCGTAGTGCCGCTGTCCGGGCAAAATTTCCCTCATAGCACAGTGTATGGCGTAGGCCCGTCTTCATTAGCAAATCATGCTCGTAGCCATAACTGAAGGATCCGGGGGCTTGGGTAGGGGCTGGGGGGGTTCCCAACTAGTTTCAAGTCTTAAGTGATACATGTACTTTAGATACTAGTATTTTCGCTCCCACGCACAGGGCCCCTCCCATTCCACCAACACCCCGTTTCTATGGTCATATATAGGGACTATACGTTTCGAGGTGGGGGCCGACAATATTAGTATCTACTTAATTAAGTACAATTATCTCCTGCGACGGGTGAGGACCAAACCCCGCCCTAGCCCTCGGCTCCTACAGCTATGGCAACGAACATTGAGCTACTCAATATTATCTTGGTTCGCTGTTGGGCTGTTTTTCCGACTGGTTTCATTGACTGATTTTATCGACTGAGATATGTGTGGGATTTTATCGTCTGGACGAGGCCACGTTAAAATGTCAGATTTATGTAAGATGAATCATTACTTGGAGAGACCTAGGAAACCTATATACTACATGTACTTGGGGATCCGATTTATAGGAAGTTATAAGTTGTTTAATTGTTGCTGTTATGTAGGCACTATTTGCTCCTGAAATAAAGTGTTGAAGATCCAGTCCAAGAATCTGTATTCATTTCTGATCCTAAGAGAACACACGTCGAAGAGCTACATTCCCTGCTAGTCAAATTGGACATAATATATTGAAGAAGAAGGCATGGATATCAACTTTATTCTTCCTTCAGCAGCAGTAGCAGCAATAAGAAATCTTGATCAACTATCATTGTCTTGGAGTCTCAAACAGGGGTTTAAATGGGCTTTAAAAGGGACTTCTCAGAAAATTAATTACCCAGTCCGGAAAGAATATCGTTCTTTTGTCCAAATACAAAGGGATAGACAGCGACAGCTGGAATTTTTTGCAAAGAAGGGTGCCCAAAAAGTACAGGTTTCTGTGACCTCCAGTAAAAAGGATGCGGGTGTTCAAAATGTTCTGGATACTAACGATGTATCTTTTTTTGAATAACCTTGTGTTAATGGTGTCATCCTGCCAATTGCCATGATAAAGGTTGCAGCCATGCGAGATGTTTCAAGTTTTAGTGCCAAATGCACCAGCCGTCAAGACTCAAGATCACAGATTTAGACATGTTAGGCCTTACAGCAGGAATCCTTTGTACAGGAATAGAAATTATTATCGTGAAAATAGTTATAGATTATGTTATTTTGAATAATGGAAAAATAAGGATTTTGATTGTATTAATGATTAAAACATGGGGTCATGTTTTTGTTTGAAATAATTTTAAGGTGGATACACATGACTAATGTATAGGTCATATGTTATTTTATTATTGTTTAATTCTATTTTTAATTTCAAATCTATATTTTAACATTCATTAATGCTTGGTTAGTCATTAGAAGCAGACAACAATTAATTTGTCACTCCATATAAATTATGACAGGCTGGCAACTAGAGTGTTTGATCTGTTCAGTTTCTTTAACTATTGTTTTAAATGGCTTAAGACTTAATCCTTCAATAATTATATGCTTATTTCAACACTTTCATAGTAACTAATTTATATAAAAAGACAAGGGTATGTAGGATGAATTATACAGTAGTTGGAGAGACCAACTTAGTTGCAGGACTGATTTATAGGAAGTTATAAGTTATAAGTTGTTTACTTGTTGCTGTTATTTATTTGCTCCAGAAATAAAGTGTTGAAGATCTATTCAAAGAATCTGTAGTCATTTCCAATACTTAGAGAACACACTCCACGCGATACATTCCCTGAAAGTCGAACCATGTTATGAGCATGAAAGGGCTACTTAATAATATGAAATGAAATGGAGTTTAACGTCCTACTGTTGGGCTAATGAAGACGGGCATACGCCATACAGTGTGCCATGAGGGAAATTTTGTCTGGACAGTGCACTACAGCCTACTCTTATATCGAATTCCACCTGTCAAGGAATCTTTTACGTTTATTCCAATGTGTACACAGGACCTCGTTTTGTCATCCCATCCGAATGACTACACAGCTAACCTTGTCAGGCCCTCTGTCCTGCATCACTGACAAAGGGGAATCACACCGGACAATCTGGATGAACTCTTTCGGGCAATGCAGGGATTGAACACCTACATGTAACCTCCAGACTAGCGAGCCGGCGTCTTACCCACTTAATCACTCCCGCTACATAATGAAGTGAAATGGGGTTTAACATCCTTCTGTTGTGCACCGACTAGGCTAATGAAGATGGGCATATGCCATACAGTGTGCTACAAGGGAAATTTTGCCCCGACAGTAGCGCTACAGCCTACTCTTATATATTGAATTCCAACTGCCAAGGGATCTTTTACATGCACGCCAATGTGTACATGGGACCTTGGTTTTTCATGCCACCCGAAAGACTAGACAGCTGTAGTTTTTGTCACACCCTCCGTCCTGCCCTACGGACAAGGGAAACCACCTGGATAAAATCCTGAGGAACTGTCCCCGCCAATACCGAGAACGAACCCGCGACCTCCAGGCTAGCGAACCAGCGCCTTACTCACTTAGCGACTGTTGTTCCAGGCTACTTATTGATCTTGGTTCACTTGGTTAGTCATTAAAAGCAGACAGCAATTAATTTGTCAGTCGATTTAAATAACTAAAGTGGGTGGTCTGTTAAGTTTCTTTTACTATTGTTTAAATGACTTAATCCTTCAATAATTATATGTTTATGTCAATACTTTCATAGTAACTAATTTATATAAAAAGAAAAATGTATGTAAGATGAATTATAGTTGGAGAGACCAGCTGAGGGAACCTATATACCAGTTGGAGGACCAATTTATAGGAAGTTATAAGTTGTTTACTTGTTGCTGTTATTTATTTGCTCTTGAAATAAAGTGTTGAAGATCTATTCGAAAAATCTGTATTCATTTCCGATACTTAGAGAACACACTCAACCAGATACATTCCCTGAAAGTGGAACCGTGTTATGAGCATGAAAGGGCTACTCAATGAAATAAAATGGGCTTTAACGTCCTACTGTTGTGCACCGACTGAGCTAATAAAGTCAGGCATATGCCATACAGGGGATCTTTAACATGCATGCCAATGTGTACATGGGACCTTGGTTTTTCATCCCATCCAAACGACAGCCCCACTGACAGGGGGAAACCACCCGGAAAATCCTGAGGAACTTTTTCGGCCAATACCAGGAACAAACCTCCAGGCTAGCGAGCCAGTGTCTTACTCACTTAGCCACCGTGGCTCCAGGCTACTTGTTATCTTAGTTCACTCCAATTAGTGATTCATAAAGTATGGTCCTCCACCATCAAGTCAAGCGACTGCTTTTTTTCGACTGAAATATACACTGAAATATTCAACTTGACGAGGTCACAAAAAAAACCCTGACTCGTCCAATACCCCCAGCCCCTGACTACAGGCCTATGTAGGATTCTATTCACTTAGATGACGGGCCAAAAACATTACTCTCCGTTTAGTACATGTATCAACTAAATACCTAGATCATAAGACTTTTGCCCGAAAAATCTGACTTTAAAGTAGTTGGGAGGGGCGGGGGGTGAAGCCCCTGGCTACGACCATGATTGGGCTATTCTATATTACCTTAGCTCACTGCCACCGGTACTTAATATTGAGCGACTAGTTTTATCGACTGGGATATTTGACTGTTTTTTCGCCAGGATTATTCAACTGGTCACAAAAAAAACCCTGACTCGTCCAATACCCCCAGCCCCTGACTACAGGCCTATGTAGGATTCTATTCACTTAGATGACGGGCCAAAAACATTACTCTCCGTTTAGTACATGTATCAACTAAATACCTAGATCATAAGACTTTTGCCCGAAAAATCTGACTTTAAAGTAGTTGGGAGGGGCGGGGGGTGAAGCCCCTGGCTACGACCATGATTGGGCTATTCTATATTACCTTAGCTCACTGCCACCGGTACTTAATATTGAGCGACTAGTTTTATCGACTGGGATATTTGACTGTTTTTTCGCCAGGATTATTCAACTGGTTTTATTGACTAGATTATTTGACTGGTTTTTTTTCAACTGGATTATTTGACTGGTTTTGTTGACTGAATTATTCGACTGGTTCTGTCAACTGAATTATTTGACTGATTTTATTGTCGAAAAAAGTCAAATATCCCAGTCAATAAAACTATTTTCTTGTGGCCTCATCCAGACGATAAAGCCAGTCAAATATCTCAGTCAATAAAACGAGTCAAATAATTCAGTCGATAAAACCAGTCCGATAAAATAAGTCGAATATCTCTGTCGATAAAATAAGTCGAATATCTCAGTCGATAAAATAAGTCGATAAAATAAGTCGATAAAACAAGTCAAATACCTCAGTCGATAAAACCATGGACCTTATAATACCATGATAAAACCAGTCGAATATCACAGTCAATAAAACAAGTCGAATATCTCAGTCAATAAAACTAGACGAATATCACTGTCGATAAATCCACATCCCAGATCAAGTTGGGTCTTCATACCACACCAGATCAAGTTGACAAAATGTGCTTTTGACAGTTATATGATGAGAAGTTAAAAACAGCCGTTCAATAATAAGCAGGAATTGCAGTGAACTAAGATAATACCGAGTAGTTCAGTCATACCCATACCATAGCCATAGCTGTAAAAGAGCCGGGGGCTTGCACCTCCCTTCCCTGCCAAATAGTTTCAAGTTCAATTTATGGGGCAAAAGTAGTCTGATAATTAGGTATTTAGGGCCGGGGATAGCCGAAAAAACAGTCAAATAATCCGGTCGAAAAAAAAATCAAGCAGATAATTCAGTCGAATAATCCAGTCGCTCAATATGACGAGGAAAAACGTAAAGCTTGACTTTATTAAGCAGTGGTGGCAGTAACTAAGATAACAACATGTAGCCTACTCCTCTATAAATCCCTCCACACGGCCATTGTTTTCAGTTGATGACGTCAGTCGTTGACCCTTAACCCTAGATGACGACCTTACTCGCAAAGAGAGGTCAACACGTTGTTTAGGGGATTGCTATTGGAAGGAAAATCTCAATAAAGTTGTGACTTCAACTGTCAGATTTGAACTTGGGGGAAAATAATCAAAATAGACAAAAAACGATGTAATCATATTTGAGTTAGTGCGTTTTTTATTTCAGTCAAACAAACTATTCCCAAATTTTAGCCCAACCATCGACCGAGTTTGTTGACTGGAAATTCTAGTGGTACTTAGGGGTAATTGGAAATATTGATGGCATGCTGCTACATTTCCTTTCGGGGAGGATATAAAGACACTAAATAAAGCGATTTTCACACTCAATACCTACAACCAGATCTAATGGATCAGTTTATATATGAAATAGAAAACTAAAAGAAAGATGAGTAAAAAACATAACTTGGGAAATTAGAAATGTGTACGGTCAAGCCATAGATTTAGAGTTATCTACCCGTAGTGGGTTTGACAACATGGCGGAGGAAAGAAGCAAAAGTTTGGATCATGTGGATGGAACCGCAGAAACAGTTAGTTTTGACATTCCAGAGGTAGTCAATTAATCATTTTTACAGCAGTTTAATGCCCCACTGTCTCTTTATACTGAGTCCTGGCTGACACAGTGTTTGCAAACTTTCAGTTGTTCATTCTAATCAGTTGTATTTGTTGGAGTAACATTGCCAACGGGTTTTCAGATACAACCAATGACTCAAAAATGACAATGATGCTGCAATTGTGAACTATCTAGAATGAATAATCTGAAAAAATTTCGAAAAAATATTGAAAATTAAAAAAGTTATAGCGTTTTAAAGAAGGCGCTAAAAAACTTTTTTTTTAAAAAACGCAAAAAAGTGACCGAAGTCAATATCTCAGTAACTATACAAGATAGGTCTAGTATGAAAATTGCACTAATTAAAGATCTAGATATACTTGATAAAGCCAAATTGTCGCTATAATATTCTAGTACATACTTTTTATGTTACAGAGGTTCAAAGTTGGGATCTGTGCCGATTTCGCACAAATCACAGCAAAAAAATGGACAAATTTGTGTGTACTTAAATTGTAGCGCTTTGACATTAATACAGAGGCTTATTTTTGAATGAATAAGCACACATAAAAGTGTTTTCAGTCTGTTCTGTTATTTATTTTTTGCATGACAACACCTTAAATCACAATTTTTGACCGTATGATGTCAATGTCGAAGAGAAACAAGTTTATGTATGTAATTGGGCACCTACTGGTTCCGAGGCCATTGACCACTGGCCATTCACAGTCATACAACAATCATAAACCAGTTATACCAACGTATACTGTGGATATTTTTAAAAATCATGAAAGTGTGTGGCAAAATGAGAAATAAACCTGTAAGCTTTTGGCAGATTTGCCGCCTTTGCCACGCCAACTGCTTTAGTTGTTTATAAGCTGCCATGTACATCAATTTGAGATTGTTTGTTTCAGGAATGAAAATTAACAATTAAACTATGATTTATATAACAGCTATATTTTTGTGATCAACATCACTACAATTTCAAATAAAAACAGTAACATAGACATAATTAAAACATTTGAATATCTTAAAAGAGTCCAAATAATCCTAAACAATGAGTATCATGATCACTTCAATTGTCTGATAAATATGCAAAATGATAAAAACATAATGTACTGTGCTTAATAACAAATTAAAAGGTAAGCTTATAAAAAGTAAGATATGATCTACATGAAAGAGTATTAAAAAAATTCATTTGTGATACATGTGCATTACGATATACTATATTATAATATCAGTGGTAGAAGTCTATCTTTCTTGTTGAGACATTATCCCATGAAAATAAAAACAATATAAACATTCAGATGGTGATACATCTTGCTGAGACATTATCTATGTCATAAAAATATAAAAATATTAAAAAAAAAATCACAATAAGATCAAAATTCATGAAATTAAAAATGTTCACCCACTGGTTTAAAATAAATGATAAAAAAAAGAAACCATTATCACATTTATCAACAAATATAAGATTTCTAATACATGTATCTTCTTACAAAAACAAACAATAATAACAATATAAAATAATCACATTATTCATATGGGATATTTTTCAAAATAAACAAAAACATTTGACGCATCAGGCCACTTCTTTCAGGTAGAAAATGTTAAAAATAAAATAAATATTATCACAAATATTGAAATAACAAAAATAAGATTACTAATACTGATTTCAAACAATAAATTAAACTAACTTCTATGATTCATAACAAATTTATAATAATTATGGACTTTCTTGAGAATGCTGAGAAACAGTCAGTTTCAAGCCCCCCTTTTTATAGTCCTCATGCAAATTGTATGAGTAGGCCTATATATCATCATCATTTGTCTATTTTATGTTGTACCAAGTAATATCAGGGATCGCCTTTGGCTATGTTTGGATTTGGATGAGTATATTATAAGCAGTAGCTTACTTCTTCAGCTACAGTTCCTGAAAAAAAAATCCAAGGTGGTCAACAACATTCACAATTTTTATCCTTTGTTAGTGAAATGTCTGGCTAAAGTTTGGTTGGTAGCTTTAGTAACATTCAATATAATAAAAAACCCTGTCCAAATCTAACATCATTTTTTTTACACTGAAGTCTGTGGGTTTTTTTAATTATGGTCTGAACCCTGATCAACCACGAATTACCTCCCTTTAATTCCACATGGTTCAATTTCAGCCATTTTACGAATTCCTACGGGGGATACGGACTTACGGGCTTTCCAAATATACCAAAATCTTGAGCGTCGAGGGCCTTTTTCGAAAATTTCTCTCAACTTCAAATTTTCAATTCATGAAAAATATCAGAAAATCTTACCTCAGCTTCTCAAAATCCTACTCGACAGCAAGTTCATCTATTTTTCTCGATGGTAAACATCACGTGGTCAATGTTCGACACTCTGAATATTCATGACAAGGCGTAACACGACGTATACTTTTCTCGGTCAACTTTTTGTGATGTCTGTAAATAGTACAGCCAGCGCTCCCAGCGGCGTTTAGCACCGCTAGTTGGAGGGAGCATTATAATATAGATTATAATTAATAAATAATAAAATATGAATTCAGAATTGAAGAAGATAATAGATAATATAATGAAACCCCATTTCTATACCTAGAAATGGCTCGACTACTGATGTCTTCCGTCTTGCTCAGCCTAGTGAATCGTTCTAAGAACTTCCTTTGAACAAGATTTTTTAGTCATTTGATGACTGGCCTATAATTTGCTTAATTTCCAATTAAACTGTACCACACATAGCTTAACATATAATAAACCAATTCCCTTTGGAATAAAGGTGAAACCTTACCACATAATTTTATGATTTGATAAAATCCAACTGCTAAACATATTGCTAATTTACAAGATATATTGATCCACATCTGAAAAAAATTCTAAGGCGTACCGTTCCAGATTTTACAAGCTTTTACATTTCTGTAGTGTAGAAATCAGTGGATGGTTCCCAAAATGAATAGTGGAAACATGCTCTGAAATTGAGCATTTTGTAGCCATTTTTGGTGACCTGTTTGAAAATGAAACCTGAAAGGACAATAAACAAATATGTTAAAGGGACAATACGACAAATACCAAACATACAATAATAGTACAATTTAATATACACTTAAACACACCACCACAATGGTACAAGTGATGGCTATGGATGTATCTTGTACTGTACTATAGGGACAATAAGGGCTGCCGACAACCAGTATCGCAGCGCAATTTGCGATACATATTTTGTCCGTTGCTAACCAAAAATTAAAATCTAAGGTTTTTGATTCGCAGTTACTGCGAATCATTAATATGCCTGTCATTTTGGATATTGACACAAGAATAATCCACATTTTGAAGACTAGAAGGCTTACTCAACACTTTCAACGTGTATAAAATGTCGAATAAAATTTTATAAACAAAACTGAATTCTCTGTGTGACATTTTCTTCTCGAACTACCCAGACACAATACTATATAACACAGGGACATAACTCTATGAATAGGGACTATTAAACCGGAAATAGGGAATCAAGTAGTACCACTCACGTTGCGAGACATCAAGTAATTATATCATATTCATTTTGAAAGAAATAAATCCAGTGTATCCCCCACGTATTGTAAATAAAATATAAAAAAATAAATACATGTTAACGTATTGTAAAATGATAAATCAAAGTAAAAATTCCTGTAAGATATTATTGTTTATATCGCATGTGTCTAGTTAATCGAGGTGTGTCCGATTGAACAAAAATAGTAATACACGATAAAAAGCAGACGAAATTCTTTTCTAAGGAAGATTTCTAACGTAACAAAAAAATAACAATTAAAATGAGTGAGGCTTCGGAAGTCACTGTCAAGAATTGGCTTCAGACATAAGACCTAACTAAATGTCACATTCACAAACTGTCACAAGTACTTGTGGCAGTGCTAAAAAATCTAAGAATAGTCAGAATGGAATCCAATAATATTTGTTATGAATTAAAGTAATATCTTGTTATTTAGGTGTTTTACGTTGAAACTGAAAAACTGCTAATCAATTTTTAAATTTGCTAATCAAATTTGGCAAAATTGGACTTTTTGATTAGCAAGCTAATCAACTGTGAAAAATTACCGACAACCCTGGGGACAATATGAATATGGTATTCTAAATCAAGTCGACAAAAAATTTGTATACCGGTATATGTATTGTTTTTTGTTATTTTTTCTTTTCAAAATTAGTGCTGGGGTGGAAGTTGACCACCACTTTATGAGACAGGGCCAAATCCAGAAGGTTACTATTGCACCATAGAATGCAATCTGTGCTTAAAAAGGGTGATAAACTACAACATTTATCACAAACATTTATCCATCGAATAATTTACATTCAGATTTCATATCAAGTCAACTAAATGTTGTCTAAACATTAATGGACGTCATGGCGCGTCTAATCCTTGATTTGTATTCATTATGTCTAAAATCCTGATGCCAATCAACAAACAATACAAGGCTACTACAGAAATATCAGTGAACTAATCTTGGCCTTGATGATTGGGTAAATATGACAATTACACACAACCAATGAGTAAAACATATTTATTTCATACAATTAATGTGTACGTGTCAACTATTAGTTTGTGGACAACATAATAATTAGTTGTGGTCGACATAATCAATACATGTACCTAGATTCTGGTCAGGAAGATATTTACTTTAATTATGATGTCATCATTACTAGGAAAATGATGACTGGCTAGTTCCTTTTTGGAAACATCCTTTTTCATTTTGGGAAACCGGTCTCATCCATGGTTACAAATCTGGCCAAAGAATTATCAGGATCTCCTTCAAGACAGCGCTGTCACAAGATGTCCAGAATCTGACACGTTTCTGATCTGCAGTCAAAGGCTTTCTCTTCCACGCTTAATGTCCAAGCCCACTTCTTTACTGTGGAAAGGGCATCATCCCCTAAAATGGGGACCATGTGCGCATGTATCTGTGTTGGAATTAGTCCTTTCAGTAGCAGGTACTTGATGACTGCCCTATACTATAGCCAGTTTTGTCCATTTCTCTAGATTTCAATGGGCAGGTTATCTAACATTGTTTATACAGTAAATGCACACTTTAACCCTGTTTACATTACAAATTTTAAGCGTGCCAGGTACGGTATGGCTAATTTTTTTGTAGTTTAAACAGGTCAAACATAAGCGTGCCATACTGAGTACCGTGCCAATTTTGCTCACTGATGTTAGGTGATCTCGGCACAGCGCCAGACATGGCGCGGTTAGATTTTTGTAGTGTAAATAGAAATAGTCATTCCCTTGTTATATTTAATAAAAACATGGTAATGCACCGACTTTTTCTATTTTTCTCATTTTCTCTTATCAAGTGACAGTCAATTATTTTTTTGAATTGTTAAATATCCTCCCACAGTCGCATATAGCAACTTTTGGTTTGCAAAGGAATTATTAGTGAGCAGAAATTACTTTGTGTATCTGTTATCACTCGTCACTTCATTCAGTTATATACAAGGATAACTCGTGTTTTACTTTTGCGTTCATCGCTTCCCTTTCTTGAAATCTTCGTAACGCATCTATCGTAGCAATGATCTCTGAGTTAAAATTATATTTGGAATGTGTTTAACCAGTTCTATCACATATGTGATAATGACTGACACCAATATTGTCCTTTAACTTTTTAAAAAGAAATTTCCATTTTATATTTAGCTTGATGATGCAGAATTTGATTTGCCAACAGTTGAACATCCACCAACATTAGAGAGCATTTTAAATGAAGGACATGTAAGTTAGAATCTGGTTTCTTCAAAATTTAACAAATGAGCATAGATTTCAATTGTGTAATTAAGTCATTTTCAATTGTCACAAGAAAGTGTCTGATCCTTCCTTGTAAATAAGGTGGTGGTGGTGGTGAATGGTAGTGATATGACTCACGATACAATAAAACCAGAATATCAAACATTGTAATTTAAACAATACTGAAAATGACACTTCCCACATATTGTTTATGTTTCTTTTGAACATTTGTGTTATATTTTATTGTATACAGGATGAAGATACGCTATCTATATTAGATGAAGAAGATATACCTTCAGCAGTTCAGATATTTAAAACAGATTCTGGAGAAACTTCATCCCTATCAAGTCAAGATAGTTACCTGAGTGACAAACCACGGAAAAAAGACAAGTAAGATATTAAATTACGCATATCAGATTATAACATGGGCTTTTGTGCTGAATCCCTTTTCCCTTAGGGGGGGGGGGGGGGGGGAGGGGGGTTGAATGGCTGAATGGTTAGCACATGCACATTGTATCATAAGGTCTGTCACTACTGTCATTCAGTCAACTGGTGTGGTTTTGATACAGTTGTACGTGACAAGAAGTAGGGTCGCCTGTCCAACTAGTGGGTTTTCTCCAGGTCCTCCTGTTTCCTCCCACTGTTAAAGCCCCCTACACGCAAGCTAATTATTGAAATAAAATTGAACCGAAAAAAGACATTGTTTGCGTCAAGTGAACATTAAACCCCATTTCTCGCTCTTTCTCTTTTCCCTTTAGAGCTTTGCTATAATCTATTATTAATTTTCATAATCCAAGTTATTAGCAATGTTGAAAGAATGTTGTCCTCGGTCGACTTTAGCCCAGTAACATCACATGATAGTTATTTTATGATATGAATCTTGACCGTGAAGAACATATCTAAGACCATTTATATTATTACATATAGCCATGACAATTCTTTTCAGTATGTTTTTTATGTACAAGTAATTTCTATTAATGATAGTGGTAATTTGAATTGCTACATATGATTCATATTAAATATAGAACATACTGGTACAGATAATCAAAAAGAAGCTAAACTTGATGGTTAATTATCAAATGATGATACAAGACCTTCCATTTTCATTACAGGAAAAAGATTCTGAAGAAGCCAGTACATGGTTCTGTTCTGCGACCATGTAGATTAAAAAGTTTATCTGCTCAACTATTGTCAGCTGCTGTAAGTACTTTTAATTTAGTTCAGGTTGACTATAAACATGTAGGGTTAATGACTAAGGTGGTTGCTTTATTCATAGTGAAGCACAGGCTCATAGTACTGAGAGCACCAGTTAATAACTGGGGAAGAACTGCATTTGTTTCATTTTCCAGTAGAAGTATTGTTGCCTACCTAACCTTGTGGTTTTTCTCTGAAAAACAAAAATACCATGTGTTAATTCTAAATTACCTGGTTTGTGTACAGTGAATGCTAAACCCCATTCCTCTATCTCTTCACTTTAAAGAAAATGGCATGACTTTGTAGACATGCAAGTATTGGCAGGCAGATGGTAAGAATAATCCATCTGTTGGCCACTTTCTATATTGTTGAATTCCAAACTAGTGTCTTGTAAACACTATCAAAAGTGGTATGGAATAACTATGAGTTCAGTGTTTTAACTGTTTTAGAATATAATGGTTTTTGTATGATACAAATGTTGAAGGTGAATTAATGTATTTTATGGTATATTTTTGTCCTAATTCTTTTAACAGGATCGAGTTGATGCTGGGATGCCGACAGCTATTGTAAGTTAGTTATTGAACTAATCTATACAAATATTTGTGACTGTCATTAGTTTGTCTGTCTGTCTGTTGAGGGTTGGTGGCTACACTAGGGCTGTCCCGAGGCTGAAATTTGGTGTATAGGGGTAGCCCGGACCGGGGAGTAACATAGGCCTGATGGCGCTGGACTAGTATTTTATAAAATAAGCATTAGAATTATTATTGTTTAGGTCTATACACCAAAGGAAATTTGGAACAGGGTCGGGTTTACAAGAGGGAAAACAGTATCTTCCCGTTGTCAGTGTTGCAGGACTGATGGCGAGCAACAACTTCTAGTCATTCAGATGGTACTAACAACTAGACAGTGGTGTCACTGTTCTAGCAAAATTCCCCTCATTGTACACTGTATTGTGTATGCTCATCTTCGTTACCCTGAAGTAGGACATTAAACCCCATTTCATTTCTTATACTTTATTCTGAATACATGTTGCTGTATTGTAATCTAATGAAGGTGTAAGGATGGAAGTGATAGATATGTATATAAGGAATATTGAATCTAAAAAAAATAAAGTGTTATTAAAAACATTAGCAGCATTTGGGATTTAAGTTGAAAACATTTAAAAAGGGTGGTCTAAAGAAATGAATAAATAATCCTTGCGCACACACCAGCTGTTGTCATTGAAACAACAAACTACAGAATCCTCATAATTTACCTGGACACAGCAACAAATTCTGTCTGAAAAGCTAAAATTGGATGACAAGGTTTATCATATGACGTTTTTATGTGAAGATAAAAGTCTCTGCAATAAAAATCTTTGGCTTTCAACATCCAATGTTTGCAGATTTTGACAAGTACACAAAAGACATATCGTCGGTGGGAGTCGAAAGGTCGTATCTGGCATATTTTGCGAAATTCACTTTTTTGCTTCTTCAGAATGAGGATTTTCTTGCGCATCTTTTCATCTAGAAAAGAGGATTTATAGATATTGTTTCAAAATGTCGTATATGGGGTGTTCCAAAAAAAAAAAAATATTAAGAGTGAAAATGTTGTATTTTTTAAAAATAAATCAACTTTATATATATGTCTAACCAAAGTATTACAATCAAACAAAACGTAGGCAGTATTGTTTTATAGTTAAATATGTATCATAGAAATTATTGTTGAGCATCTACTGTGTGAATTCTATGAAATTGAAGCAGGTAAAGGTGAATATTTTCCTGAGATACGTCTTTGCTGGAGGATCACGTGGCTAAGTGGGTAAGACGCTAGCTCGCTAGCCTGGAGGTCGGGTGTTCGATCCCTGCATTGGCCGAGAAAGTTCATCCAGATTTTCCGGCGTGGTTCTCCCTTGTGATGCAGGACGGAGGGGCTGACAAGGAAAGCTGTCTAGTCGTTCGGATGGGACGAAAAACCGAGGTTCCGTGTACACATTGGCATGCACGTAAAAGATCCCTTGGCAGTTTGACTTCGATATAAGAGTAGGCTGTAGTGCCGCTGTCCGGGCAAAATTTCCCTCATAGCACACTGTATGGCGTATGCCCGTCTTCATTAGCCCAAATAACTAGCTTTCACTCTTTAATTCTGCACTAAATGTTGAGCTTGATACGTGCTGATAGTTACATATTGTTTTAATGACAACACATACACTTTGTACAGAAATATTTAAGAAAAGCTTCAGAAATACGACATTTTACATACAACATTTTACATACAACATTTTGACGTGACAGTTTTATTAAACATTTTGATTCTTAACCTCTGTGTGTTTTTTGGCTCTCCTGGACAATTTCGCAAAATCCAGATACAACCTTATTGACTCCCCACAGACGATATGTCACCCAGAGACTGTAGTTTTTGTCTTTGAAAGATTGAAATCACACCTTAAAGGCCTTAGGAGCCTATTATTATCTACAAAATTGAAAATAGACACTACTGTTTCCAACCTCATGGATTATAAAATGCAATATTGCTTGTATTCTTGAATTTGATTTCATCCATTTCAGGCTGTTTCATCATTAATAGCTATAGGAAGTTCTCATGGGTTAGTTTTAGTCTTTGGTAAGTTAAACCTTATTTCTTGCTATCTCTTCTTCTTGCAACTGAAAATGGCTGAGTGCAACTGTAACAGAGGTCAAATTCGTGAAATGTTTTGAACAATGAAACTGTGGATGTTTGTTCATAATAATAGTGTGCGTGATTGTCTACTGTGTTTCAAAATTCATACTCAAGTATATCAGGCCTTAACTGATTACATCTACATAAATTCATATAGTCTGTGCAGTGTGCATAGTGGAAAAAACAGGTTTAATTTGTAGCTTTATTGAAGTAAAGAGTTGAAAAATATTGAATTCTAACTAGAGTGTAATGTCAGTGATTATTTTGAAGTAATAGTCATCTTTCTTTTATAGCTTGCAGTCATTCAGATAATAAAAAACCCATATTTTTCAGATCCCAAGCAAGTGTTAAAATGGTGTTTAGGAAGTACTGCTGTAGGAGCTCTGTATGGTTCAGTATCAGCCCTGAGTTTTAATAGAGACTGTACAAGACTACTTTGTGGCTTTGCTAAAGGGCAGGTAACTAGAAGAAAACAATTTTTATTTACATGATGAACACAGTATTATTTGGAGAACATGATGTTATTTTTTCTGTACACTGAAAATATGACTATATATTCTATGGTTAGAAGGATGACCTGATTACACCAAACAGAACATATCTTTAAAGACATTTGAATCTGTTATTATATTTTTTATTAATTCAGATTACTATGTGGGATTTAACTAATGGTAAATTAATAAGAACTATTTCAGATGCTCATCCACAAGGCACTGCTATACTTCATGTAAAGGTACGTCTGATTAACACATGAAACAATGGTATTGCTTAGGTTCGTAGACAGAGACAATTCGTAATTACTGGTAAATGAACTTGTTTATATTCCGCTTATTAGCATATAGTTACATAAGTAATTTTTAGCTATGGAGGATCTCAATGAAGACCATGTATAAACAGATTATGAGATAAATAATGAACCTTAAAATGTGATGTTTGTAAGAAGTCATTTAGCCCATTTATCCTTTGACAAAATAAAAACAAATATTTAAAAACCTCCCTGCATCAAACTTTTTGAAGGATTATCTGAGAAGCAGAGTTATATTTAGCGACTTTGAATTTCTTGATTACAGTGATTCTTGGTTATTTGGTAATAAACATGTTTTTTTCCAGTTTACTGATGATTTAACGTTAGCTGTGTGTAGTGACAGTGGAGGTTCTGTATTTGAATTGGAGTTTAAGTAAGTAGTATTTTTTTAATGCAAACTTTATTTTAGTTAAACATGGCATCATTTCTGTTTTATCTATCAAATTCTATATTCTGATTTCAGTGAGTTAGTCTGTAAAATATATTATAACAAATGAATGCTATCAGTATAAAGTAGTGTTCGTTTGTTTTTATGCGCACACATTTCATGTTTTAACATTTCTCTCAACCTACACGTTTTATTTTATTACAGGAGACTGATAGGTGTAAGAACTTGTGAATCAAAATGTCTGTTTTCTGGAAGGTAATTACATCATTCATTCTGAGATGCTTTTGATATTTAATTATATTTTAATCAGCAGATAGGATAAGTGATTTTCCAGAGGAGCCATGATGGCTCAGTGAATGGTGTATGCTCGTCTTCATTAGTTCAATTGGTGCAGAAAAATGGGATGTTACACCCCATTTCATTTGATTTTCCTGCCAAAGTATACCTGCCTTGGAAATGAGAGAGAGAGAAATGAGGTTTAACGTCCACTCGACAGTCCTTATGATACAGCGCGCTCGTGCTAACCATTCGGCCATCCAACCCCCCGCCTTGGAAATGATAATACATTCATATTTTATTAAATCTTTATAGATTTCATTTGACTTGATCAGTCATCATTTAAAAAATAATTGTTCTGAATTATCAGTAAATGACAAACATTGACATATTGATTAGAGGATTCAATCCATGTCTTTTACTCATATTTTCAATTGCTCGTTTCTCAAGCTCAAAATTCAAATATTCATGATTTGTCAAATCAGTCCAAAAAATGTATTTATGTCACATGGGGAAAGTCAAATATTTATGTAAGAACTGAATTGAGTAAAATAACTTATTTAATAAGTTCTACTATTTAGAGCCATGATTCTTTATCATCTGTGAGACATATCTTTATTTTATGATATAGGCCTATTAAATCTTTATTTTATGACAGATTAAATCTTTATTTTATGACATATTACATCTTTATTTTATGAAATCTTTATTTTATGAAATCTTTATTTTATGAAATCTTTATTTTATGAAATCTTTATTTTATGACATGTTAAGTCTTTATTTTATGAAATATTAAATCTTTATTTTAAGTCGAGGAGAAGTGTGTGTTATCGAACCTCTTCATATGAATTATACTATTAAAGATCATCCCATGCAAGATGTCACCATCTTGGCTATGGCTTCTTTGTCTAAGGTAGGTCATTTTTTGTTAGATAAATCAGGACTATTCATTAGACTTGAATAATTCGATACATGAATTTTAACCCTTTTCCATGTGTGATATATTTATTTTAACCCTTTTATATATGTGATACATGTACATGGATTTTAACTCTTTACATACATGTATGTGATATATGGATTTTAACTCTTTACATAGATATATGTGATATATGGATTTTTATACGCCCACATTTTTAGCTTGTGGACCCTATAGAGGTCAGAATTTTTATCCGATTTTGTTGAAACTTGAAATGTTAGTTTATAACCCAAAGATCTCAGTTCCTTTCGATATTTGCGCATATCGGACAGTAACTTCGTGAATTATGGCCCCTGATTGTACGAAAAATCACGTTTTTAGCTTGTGGACCCTATAGAAGTCATAATTTTTATCCGATTTAAAAAAACGTTCTATTATATCACCGTTACACCCTAAGGATGACTGAGTTTGAATTTCGTGAAAATCGGCCCAAAATTGACAGACAAAATGGTCGCCGTTCGTTCTCAAATAGCGTAAGAAAATGGTATATCAAGGTTGTGGACCCTATAGAGGTCACAATTTTTATCCGATTTTGTTGAAACTTGAAATGTAAGTCTATAACCCAAAGATCTCGGTTCCTTTCGATATTCGCGCATATCAGACCGTAATTTCCTGAATTATGGCCCCTGATTGTACGAAAAATCGCGTTTTTAGCTTGTGGACCCTACAGAGGTCATAATTTTTATCCGATATAAAAAACGTATTATTATATCACCGTTACACCCCAAGGACGACTGAGTTTGAATTTCATGAAAATCGGCCCAAAATTGACAGACAAAATGGCCGCCGTTCATTCTCAAATAGCGTAAAAATATGGTATATCAAGGTTGTGGGCCCTATAGAGGTCACAATTTTTATCCGATTTTGTTGAAACTTGAATTATGGCCCCTGATTGTACGGAAAATCATGTTTTTAGCTTGTGGACCCTTTAGAGGTCATAATTTTTATCCGATTTAAAAAACCGTATTATTATATTACCGTTCCACCCTAAGGACAGTTGAGTTTGAATTTTGTGAAAATCGCCCCAAAATTGACAGACAAAATGGCCGCCGTTCGTTCTCAAATAGCGTAAAAATATGGTATATCAAGGTTGTGGACCCTATAGAGGTCACAATTTTTATCTGATTTTGTTGAAACTTGAAATGTAAGTTTATAACACAAAGATCTCAGTTCCTTTCGATATATGCGCATATCGAATTGTAATTTCCTGAATTATGGCCCTTGATTGTAGGAAAAATCACTTTCTTGTTAGCTTGTTCTCTATCCATCTCTCGAAAATGTGGGCGTATCCTGCCTGGCAGCCGCTGGTAACTATTACATTTTAAATTTATTTGTTGTATTATTACAGGTGTTAGTTGTTACGCTACGTCCAACACTTAAAGTTATGTTTATGCAGCCACTGAAGGTAATAGTAACTTAGGGGTATCTTAGAAGTGTCTTATTGTCATGGGTGCAAGGACAAGATAAAGTTGTTGAATGATAATAAAGCACACATAAAATTTGCTTTAAAGTCACTTAATAAGGAGTACATAACCAAATTCTGTAACATGCACAAACCTCTCTTTTTTCTGCCCCACCCCCCACCCCCTTTTCTCTCTTTATTTCATATAATTGAGTTTGAATATTCCCTAGTGCTGTAAACATCTGATATGATAAGACACAAAATATACACCGGCCTAATAAATACATCTTGGCTTAAGCACAATGTAATTGTCTTCAACTATTTAATAGGGGTATACATTTTGTTTTATTTATCAGGGTGACCCGGCCACTTTACCATTATTAGCTTGGCAGTTTGTTATTATACAAGTATCAGAAAAAGACAGAGTGATTGATCCAGTTCTAGCTTTTGGACGTGATCAAACTATCCACTTCTATCAAGTCATCTGTAGAGGTGCACAAGATATCAGGTGTTCTGGTCTACAGAAGATTGATCTACCATATAAATTACTGAGTATAAATGTAAGTCTGGTTAACCCTATCTTGAAGTGATGGAATAAAAATGTGTTTAATGTCCTGATTTCTGCACAAACTGATGAGCTAATGAAGTCAGATATTCACTATACAGTAGGTTCTTCATCAAATTCCAATGTCAAGGGTTCTTTTTTAAATGCTAAACCACTTTATAGGTGTATGGTACGATTTACGTGCCAAAATGTGAAACCGGTAAATAAGACTATTAAATGTAAGACCATATAAAGAAATATTCTGGTTTCCAGAATCGGATACTGCCGCATCACTCTGCCTGTAAAATAAAAACATACTCATTGATTACTGCTTGTAGCATGTATAAAAACACAAAATGAAAACCTCCCTCCTGTATGAGATTTTATTTTTGAAAGATTTTCCGAGAACCAGAATATTTTCATTGTATGGCCTAACATAATTTATGTTTCATAAAATATATTGAAAGTACAGCTTGACAGCTAATACAACAATCAATAGGAGTCTATTGGTGGTAGACTGGGCTAGGTCAGGGTTGCTACTGAGTGTCTTGGTAAGTGGAAGTGGGAGGCGACCAGCTAGATCAAAGACGTTTTGCTACTTTAATAAAATGTTATAAGTTCTCTATGTATTTTTACAGTGGTTAAATCCTAGAACTCTAGTAACATTAGATACATCAGAAAAACTACATGTTATAGATGTGAGATCAGAAGAAGAACTTGAGGTTAGTATTGATATTATAAACATGAGCGTGTGATAGTTTGCTGTTTGATAATTTCCAAAACATGAATTACTTTGCTGTTTGATAATCTCCAAAACATGAATTACAGTTTCATGTGAATTCATGTCTTCATTTGCTACTCAAGCACTGTCCTATTATGTTTATCATATAGGACTCGTATATGATAAACATAACCAGATTCAAATACAGCTGTTTCCATAAAACGGTAAATCTGGTTCAGAGGCTAGTAAACAAATTACCTTGTTCTTTTTTCATATGTCTGACTTGTCTGACTTAGACGGTTAATACCACTTGTGAATACCTTTACCAGAACCTGTGAAATCTAGTACTGCTCCTTTAAAAATATCAGCCTATAATATTTCATGTAAACAAGAGTTTTCAGTGATTATTATACTGGCTATATATAGTATATGTAATGTTATATTTTCTATAGGTCATAGATATATCAGATGTACAGTTGTCTATATGTTATGTTATATTTTCTATAGGTTATAGATATATCAGATGTTCAATTAGTCTATGGTTCTAGCCATTTTAAATCATTGGCTACAGGTGGCAATGTTAGCCAGGCTTTGGTAAGTTAATGTTTGAAATACTGTAATCTGACAGCTAATGGCTGTGGTGTAAAATGACCTTTACAGCTATCTACCCTCAAATAAATAAGAGGTTTGATAATCAGATCTGGCATAGACACTGACAAGAAATACAATTTGTGGTTAGCAGATGTAATTGATTAGGCTAATGAAGACATGAATAAGCTTCCGTCATGCAGTCTGTTATGAGTAAAATTTTGTCTACACAACAGTCCTACTATTTACTCTTCAATGAGAGAGAGAAAGAAATGGGGTTTAACGTCCACTCGACACAAACTAGTTCATTTCGGGACTAACATATGGTTTAATTTTATTTCAATAATTCGCTTGCGCGTAGGGGTCTTTAGCAGTGGGAGGAAACCGAAGGACCCAGAGAAAACCCACGAGGTTGGACAGGCGACCCTACTCCTTGTCACGTACAACTGGGGATTCGAAACCACGCCAATTGACTCAATGACAGGCCTTATGATACAGCGCGAGCATGCTAACCATTCGGCCACCCACCCCCCTTACTCTTCAATGAATTATAACTGTTAAGGCACACCAATGTGTACATGGGACCCTCGATTCTTCATCCCATTGAAATTTTATGTCTTGCCCAATAAACAGTCTATAAATGATTTATGCGTGCCTAAAAATGAAAATTGATATTCTAAGAAACATAAGAGATTGCTGTATCACAGTGTAATTGTAATTAATTAACATACTTGATTTATTTTCAGGCGTATGCTGGGGGACAAGCTTGTTATCAATCCGTTGCTTCACATGCCTCCCAGTTATTTACTCTTGGTACTAAAACTGTTAATATTTATAATATCAGAGCCTGGAGTGAAGTAAGTAAAACTATTAATATTTATAATATCAGAGCCTGAGTGAAGTAAATATAACTGTTAATGTTTATCAATGTCTCCGATCATGGGGGTGGGGGGGGGTAGATGGCCAAATGTTTAACATGTGCGCACTGTATCATAAGGTCTGTCATTGAGTCAACTTGCGTGGTTGCGAATGCCTGGTTGTACATGACAAGGAGCAGGGTCGTCTGTCCAACTACGCGCAAGCGAATTATTGAAATAAAATTGAACCATGTGGCCATTAAACCCCATTTCTCCCTCTTGCAAACTAAATATTGTTAAATATCGTTCACTTCAGTTGAATATTTACAAAGAATTGAAAATTTGTTGTCATTTGGCATCCACTTCAGATGATGTATAGGATATATAGTCAAAACAAGCAGACACCGCCTAAAAAATGCAAATAATTCACAGGGACTTTAATAATATATCAAAAATACTTTCTGATAATATTGTTTTTTAGAGAATAATTTTTATTGAAACCAATTAAATAACTTTAACCTTTCTTAATATATTTTACTTCAGAGAATTGATTTTTTAGTAAAACAGAATAAATATCACGAAGCTCTATCTCTAGCTCTATCTTTCTATGATGGTAAAGCTAAAGCTGTTGTTAGTTTGACTGGCTCACAATCTAAGAAAAAGGAAATAGTCTCCAATCTAGTAAGTTGATATTCATTTACTTAACATTTGACTAAACTAAGGAGTTCCAATGTACTCAAGGTTACTTTCTACCTACGGGTAGTAGCTTCTGCTTCTGAAATCTGTCCAAAATATTGCTCCGTCTAGCTTTAAAGCTCCAATATGCCAGATTGTGCAAGTATCTGAAGCTCTCTGATGCTACATTTGTGTCTGAATGAAACGTGAATTATGCAATGTTTTGTTTGAAACTTTTGGACGAGGTATTTTTTTAAATTCATATTTATACCTACATATATCAACACATACCCTGTGACAGCTCTTTTAATATAAAAATTTGTTAAAACAGAATAATTTTTGTGTTTACAGATATTAGATCTAGTATTTGAATATGTAGATTTATCTATGACTAAACTGTGTCCAGATAAAGGTAAAATGGAAGAATTGGAGGAATATTATCAGGTTAGTTACCACATATAATCTTCTCTCTTGCTCTATTTATCTTTCTGGCCGTGGTGGTTGTGGGCTTAGAGAACTGGGGCCGTATTTATAAAAATTCTTAGAGTTTTCCTAACTTTTACTCTAAGACTTCCTAAAACAACATTTAGTTAAAAGTTACTCTTTAGAAATATTTATAAAGGGTCTTAGAGTTACTTTTAACTAAATGTAAGACTTGGGTCCTAACCAAACTCTTAGGGATGTAACCATGGGAAATCTGGGGATTCCCTGAAGTTATTTATAGCTCAGTGTTGATGTCATGCAATCACTCTACTCACTGTAGGTTGACTGACGCCGAAATCGTCACCACTACACAGTTGCATTTTACCAGTAGCTAGGAAACGAAGCGTAATAGCGATCTTCATCTCAGCATCGATTGAGAAATTTCGTTTAGTAGGACTCGTAAGTAGATGCCGAACTAAATCTGTCACAAAAAGAATCCCACCCATGTCCATTCGATATCTCCTTATCAACTCGTCATTGTTGTACTCCACTAAGAAATCTCTTCCTGTTTTAAACTCTCTTAGGCGGCGTACACGGACGGCCATGTTAACCAAGATAAGAGTACTTTTAACAAGTTAGGAGTGCTACAGGATGACTCCTAAATATGTGTCATAGTTAGGAGTAATTCTTAAAGTAAAATGTTTTATAAATAGGTCTTAGGAAAATCTACAAAGTTAGGAGTAATTTTTGACAGTTAAGAGTTGGTTCCAACTCTTAGAATTTTTATAAATACCACCCTGAACTCAGAAAAAGAGAATATCTGGGGAAAGAATGCCCAGTTTGGGCTGAGAAGAACTTTTCAAACTATGTTCTGATTGGTGCCAGCTGAACTCATTCACATGAGACATAACATCAAGTTGTTATTGATTGTTATGTCTATACTGAAATTTAAATATTTTCTCTATATTTTCTAGGAAATTGTACCAGTTTGTGTTGATTATTGCTTACATTTAAACAGAACGTAAGTGTGCTGTTTTATACATTTCCATACATCTAGCAATGCTATGGTTGTCATTGAGACACTATGAAAGTGTTTCATGAAATATGTCTGTCTGGACAAAGTAAACTCACTGAAGACTGATTAGAGTTAGATGTTTTTCAACTTTTTATATGCCCACATTTTCATGTGGATGTATTATGCCATCACCCCTGTCCGTCCAGACGTCCACATTTTGATTTTGGACACTACTCTACAGGTCACAATTTTTATCTGATTTTTACAAAACTTGAAGTATAGGTCTATCTCCCAAAGATCTTGGTTCCTTTCGATATTGGCATGTATTGGACCATAGCGTCATGGATTATGGCCCCTGATTGTACAAAAAGTAACGTTTTTAACTTGTGGACACTCTGGAGGTCACAATTTTCATTTGATTTTAATGAAACTTGAGATGCATGTTTATAACCCAAGGACCTTGGTTCCTTTTGATATTCGTGCATTTTGTATCATAACTTCCTGAATTATGGCCCCTGATTGTACTAAAAATAGCGTTTTTAGCTTGTGGTCCCTCTAGAGGTTACATTTGTTTTCTGATTTAAAAAAACGTTCTAATATATCACCGTTACACCGTAACTTCCTGGATTATGGCCCCTGATTGTATGAAAAATCATGTTTTTTAGCTTGTGGATTCTCTAGAGGTCACAATTTTTATACGATTTTAAAAAACGTTTAAATATATCACCATGCTTGAATTCGAATTTCGGGAAAATCGAAACGAAACTGCCTGACAAAATAGCCGCTCTTTGTATGCAAATTGTGTAAAAGTATGTAATACAAAGGTTGTGGACCCTCTAGAGGTCACAATTTTGATCTTATTTTGATGAAACTTAAAATATATCTTTATATCCCAAAAATCTCAGTCCATGTCGATATTTGTGCATTTCAGACCATAACTTTCTAGATTATGGCCCACGATAGTACGAAAAATCGCTTTTGATTTTAGCTTGTTATCTATCCATCTCTTGCAAAATATGGGCGTATCTTGCCTGGCAACTGCTGGTTTTCTTTCTCATTTGTTTTATATTTCCGTATTTTATATTTTACCAGACTTTATTTAACCTGCCAAATTCATCATTGTGTTTATCAATGAAAATTCAACTCTTTGAATTATACCAACACATCATCCACTGATCTATTTTAGAACTCAATGAAGTCTTGTGCATAACACAGTTGATATCAGCTGCCATTTTGATAATTTCGTAGATCTTGTGTTCTGTAGAAAATCAGAAAACGAAATGAAGTAAATAATACTTGTCTTTGTTGAATGTATTGTAGTGATGTATTGTTTGGAAGAATATATGAAAAGTTTGGTGAAGATATTATTGCTCAAGGAACATTTTTAGAGTGCTTGGAACCATATATACTTAGTGATAAATTAACGGCTATACCACCTGCTGTCATGAAAGATTTTGTAACTCATTATGAAAGTAAATCTATGTTAGATAGTGTAGAAGCTTGTATTGTACATCTGGATATAGCCAATCTAGATATTCATCAAGTAAGTATCATTATTATTACCATCGGTGTTTACAACATTGATAGAATTTTGATTATTAGTCCAGGATTGAAATTCTGTATTATTTCTTTCAGTTCTATTAAGGAAAAAAAAATCTTTAGATGTAAGAACATTATCCAAATTTTACAGTATAGTGATTGTATTTGCATCTGTTCTGTACTTCTATTCTTACTTCTAGTGTGAAAAACTGTGAAAATTTGAGCTTTTAAAACTATTTTGTGGTTGCAATATCTTTAAAGAATAAAAGCCTATTCCTATAACAGAAATAGTTCTTTTGCTCACTTTTTGTCAAATAAGAAATGAAAGTAGAGAAATTTAAATATAGAAATGTGTATATTTGTAGGTTGTTAGTTTATGTTGGAATCATGGATTATATGATGCTATTATATATGTATATAATAAAGGAATGTATGATTTCTGTACACCATTAGAAGATTTAATTACTTTATTAAGTAGTGCTATCAGTACAGGAAAACGCTTAACAAGTGAGTGGAAGATTTTCTTTGCTTTTATTAAAAGAATTATTATGTAGAAACTTTCCTTTTAAAGGGACTATCCCAATTTTAACAGAGTCTCAAAAATAAAAGTCTGCGTGCGTATGAAATTTAAGTGCCAAAATATAGAGGAAAGTTAATTTACCTTGTCTATAAATTTCAGCTCAAAATATTGAGTCCTTTGGACATGAACGTCAAAAGCGCTTATCCAGACATGTAACCAGTGATGGGATTTTAGCCGTATATTCCGGACTTGTCCGAATCTTTTTTCGAAACGCCCAATATTGGGAATATGCCCAATCGGACATCAAGACATGGTGAATAATATTCAAATTCCAAAATTAATATAGTGTACTGAGTGTATAACTACCGTGCAACCCGATTATCGTTGATAATAGGCTGGATTGATTAGGTAATTAAGTGATCGACTATTTATCGTGTTATATCGTCTTACACACCTACCTTGATTAACTACTATTCTGCCTTGATTGGCTGACTTAATTCTTTATCCGACAATTCATCAAATCAATCCTGAACAGAAGTCATTGCTTCTCCTTTGTCGGGCGATATATCAATCCAATAAGAGTGATTATGAACTTAATCTGATTAACCCGTGATTTCTCTAGACCATTGTCTCACGTTCTAATCTCCTTTGTGTCGGACATTAACACGTAGAAATTAGTCATATATGTCACATATCCTGATAGTATATAACACCTCAAATCAACATACATTGTATCCGATAACTTGTCTGTGATATATTTTCGGTGGAGGCCGAAGTTAAATAAAGATATTTCAGTAATTAAAATGAAAGTATAAATCTCGCGAGACACGTGAAATTAAGAGATGTATACGTGCTGAATTCAATACGCCTGATGTCCGAGAAAAGATTCTATTTTGATGGCATATTGTCGGATTTATGATCATATTTTGAAGGGGGTTTATGTCTTTAAATAAATAAATAAACACGCTAAGAAATGTTGACGAATATTTCGATTGGAATGACGTAAGCAGTTAATTGTTTTAGACGATAGCGCGTGCTACAGTCGAATGCAATTATTTAGCAGTTGTGTCACTCGCTGATTAGAGCGTCGTTAACTACGGTTTACGGCCAAATAAATTTCGGGATGTCATTTTTTTACTTTCCGTATATAAATCGAAACGGAGTATCAGACGAATGTCGGACTTTGCTGAATATTGTACCGACGTATGACCCGAAAAATACGGTAATTTTGGGGGAGTTTGAAACAAATTGGCAGCAGTCGGCACGCTGCCAGTCGGCACGCTGCCAGTTCTATAGTATTATGATGTCATGTAATTTTGTAGGAATACTATTGACATAAATTTGAATACCGTGCGTGTTTTAAACATGAAATATAAGGAGGTGCACCTATTTTTTTTTACATATGAATTTGAATATATTTTGTTGACACGTGATTCTTAATTGTGTTTTGAAAACGTCTGCTTAAATTACGGTAAGAGTTATGCCCCTTTATTTTCGGGAAAAAATGTCTGACATGAAATTTTTTGAAATCCCATCACTGCATGTAACCCTTTTAAGATTTTGAGTCAAATTTTTCATTGGGTGACCTGATAATCTATTGCCGTTCCTTTAGAGGTCTATACAGTGCATGACCCATGTGCTGTACTTGATAAGGAAAGGTAAATTTCACCTACACGTTATTTTTATAAAATAAAAGCCTGGTTTTATCCAGAGACTGTATAAAATAACTTGGGACATCAGTCTCCATTTCCAGATGAAGACTGACCGGTCTGAGTTGTTTGAAAATGTTGATCGGCCATAAGGTAGGGGATTTTAAGGGCTTTTAACACAAAGACTGTATAATAGAACTTGGGACATCAGTCTCCATTTCCAGATGAAGACTGACCGGTCTGAGTTGTTTGAAAACGTTGATCGGCCATAAGGTAGAGGATTTTAAGGGCTTTTAACATAAAGACTGTATAATAGAACTTGGGACATCAGTCTCCATTTCCAAATGAAGACTGACCGGTCTGAGTTGTTTGAAAACGTTGCTCCGCCCCAAGGTAGAGGATTTTAAGGGCTTTTAACACAAAATTAAGCAGTTTTGTTCTCCATGGAATTTTACTAAGTCATCAGAAATAACATTAAATATAACTTATGAATACTCATTGAATAGATAAATTTTCGTAGCGTATCATCCGTGTTAATGCTATACCCTGCAATATCCGATTTAAATTAACTCTTTGAACCATGTATTACTTAAAAGATCCGAACCTGTTTCATTCAAAATAAACTATTAAATTGAATTGATTTGATGTGTTATTTCCATTAATTTTTTGAAACAATAAGGTGAGTTAGCTATAAATTACTTGAACAAAAAATCAGTTCTATGCCAACACTGGCTTTATCTACAGATATAATTAGCAATTTTATTTTTGAATTAAATCACACATATTTAGTCAAAATGATCAATCTAGAAAATCATCAGACAATTGAACAGTTCATACAAGCATAATAATATGAAGTAACAGTGATATAATATCTTGGTTGTTTTCAGATGAACAAATAAAACTAGGGAATAAATTACTGGTGTATATCAGGTTAGTAATTATTCTATTTATACACACTTTTAATAATATATACACTATTGATTACAAATAACAATTTGCTTGTACTATTGAAAGAAACAAAACCTATTGATTTTTAAGTATTTTTGCTAATGACTTCCAGAGTTATTCCCCTTTGTTATGAAATCTTGTTAGCAACCTATGTTTATTGTAATAGATTTTCATACATCTGTTGATCTTTCTTTTTCTGACAGTTGTTGCCTTGCTGGTCGAGCCTACCCATTAGGTGATATACCTCCAGAACATATAGAAAATGTAAAAAATAAGGTAAAATGTTTGCAATGTTGGTACGTTTTTCTACTTCATGCTCTGGACTAAAGCCTCTTCACTTTGCAAATGCTCTCATTGCTGTGATGTTTTTTTAAAAAACTAATTTGGGTGGCTAGGACACTAGATTACAACTATGATGTCCTGGGTTTGATTCCTGATGTAAAGGGTGGTGGCATGGCACCTGTGACGATGAAAGGAAAGTGGGTCTGAACAAGTTGGAAGTGAATGTAAAAGATCCCGGTTCCATTTGAATGCAAATTAGACTATGCAGAAACACTGATTTATGGGTAATACTAATTGTTTTATCCATCCATTTATTACTATAATTTTTGAAAATATAAATTGTTGTGAAAGAAATAATTTAATCGTTTTTGATTTACAGGTATTTGACTGTATCACTTGTCTTCATACTAAAAATCCAAGCCCAGGTAAGTAGGTTATGAAGCTATTCATATAAACAATTAACCATACATTTGTAGTTCAAGGAAAATTTCACCCATTGTTATATCTTCAAAAATGATGACTGAACCTGAACTTATTTCAAAATTACACAACTCGAAATACAAGCAATTTAAGATGCTTGCTGTGACATCATCAGAGAAACTGTTAGTCACAGTTTATAAACAAATCCAGGTGCTCTTGTCTGAGTAGTTTTTATACACCCATATGGAAACACACTACAGATTACATTTATTATCTGATAAGTTTGAAATTTATATATATTGTTTACCTTTAAAGTTTATGAGACAAAGAAGCCTTTTTAATTTCAAAAATTTCCGAAAAACAAAGAAGCTTATTGAATTTCAGCAATTTCCGTTTATAACTTCTAGAGTGAATATCATCCAATATATATTAGATGTTCATTCATTATTTAAATTAGTAAAACAAAGAATCCTATTGAATTTCAGGAATTTCCGTTTATAACTTCTAGAGTGAATATCATCCGATATGTATTACTAATTCATTATTTAAATTAGTAAAACAAAGAAGTCTATTGAATTTCAGGAATTTACGTTTATAACTTCTAGAGTTATGGCCCTTGTTTCACTTTGTTGAACCTTGTCAACACTCTATCTACAAAATTGATCATCCGATATGTATTAAATTTACATGCTTTATTTAAATTAGTAAAATGAAAAAGCCTACTCAATTTCAGCAATTTCCGTTGATAACTTCTTGAGTTATGACACTTGTTTCAGTTGTGAACGCTCTAAGGACAAAAGTTATTGTCTGATCTGTATTGAATTTGTATGTGTTATTTAAATTAGTAAAACGAAGAAGTCTATTGAATTTCAGCAATTTCCGTTGATAACTTATTGAGTTATTACACTTGTTTCACTTTGTTCAGCAATCTCCGTCGATAACTTCTTGAGTTATTACACTTGTTTCACTTTGTTGAACCCCTTGTGAATGCTCTAAGGACAAAAGTTATCGTCCGATCTGTATTAAATTTGTATGCATTGTCGAGATGACTAAAATTTAAGCATTTTCTGTAAATAACTTCTACAGCTATGGCCCTTGTTTCACCTTTTTGAACCTTGTGAACATTCGATCTTATTGAAATTGATATCAGTGTCTTGTAAATGCTCCCGTTAACTACAAAAGCATAAATATGTGACAACCTTTTAGCTGCTGTGGGCGTATGTTTCATTGCCTGGCAAACCTATCTTTTACAAAATAGCCAACATCGAATTTTTTTTTTTTTTTTCTTTAAATATTAAAGATACATTATGGGAGATTAGATAAAGAGCTGGCTGTTCTCACTATAATAGTTAAAAACTAGATAATGTAAAGGGTATTTGCTGAAAATTTCAGTCAAATTGATCCACTATGAACTGAGAATTTAGTAATTGAATTTTAGACCTAGCCTCAATCATCATTACTAAAGTCGGTAACAAACATAGTCTCGATTATCCATTTTTTGATTTAATCATCAATGAGCATTGAGCAGCAGATCGGATTTCAATCCAGTTAATATCACTGGCTAGCGATGAAATTGAGAGTTGATTTTGAGCATGTCATGTAAATAAAGGTCTAATTAATAATTTCTATCAAATCTGAAGCCTAAAGAAAGACCTGCAATAGGCAGATTTAGCTCTTGCATAATGTATGTTTAATAGATAAACAAGTTTCAATTTGTAAAAGTGTATTTTCTTGTAAACATTTCAATTTTAGGAATGATACTCTAAAATAATTTAATTCTTTTGACTCCATAAGTGCATAGTTTGAATTTTACATTTAAGATGAATCCGCCTACCCACATCTAAGATCTTTACTACAATTTGATACCCGTGAATTCTTAAACGTATTGGCACTGGTGAGTAATTGTTTAATTTCTAATTAAATCATACAGGATATGATATGAATTAAAAACAAATTTGTTATAATGAATAGTATAAGTAGAATGTAAAACACGCTTTACAAAGTTTTATGAATTATGTAGTTAAAAGTTTTATCAAAATGCTGTACAGATAAAGATTATGATTTTTATTCCAAAATTTCAGGCTTTTGAAGAATCTGATTTCAATACTCAAAATGGGTAAGTATCTGCATTCATCTATTTATCATTTTTCAGGCGTATACATTTGTAGGTTGTCATTAAAGCTTCCTTTGAAGTATCTTGGGAAGATATAATGTTTTTGGTAACATATATTAACATATATAGTTACGGTATGTTTTCTTGTTGTATCTGCTGAGGGAATATATCTTTATTATCAATTCATACTAAAATTTTCATCAGCAATAATTTATAGGAATAATAATTAAAGCATGCTATAGAGATTCAATCCCTGATTTTATGTTAAATAAACATACATGATCATTGTTTACTGTCATTTATTAACTCTTATATGAAATATACAAACTATAGATGGCATACTGATATGCACATATAGAACCTATGGCAGATGCAATTCAAAATACGCCTCCTCACGTTGCTCACGTTGCTATTGAAATGAAATTACCATATATTTGTCTAAAAATGACTAATGTATTCTGTTGTTGAGACTTTAAACCCTATTTCATTCTAGTCAGATCAGTGTCATATAATTGAAACTGGCTTTTACAAACCATTTGTATTTATGGTTATCTGTTTTCTGTCGTTTAGTTGCTATCAGTTTTTCATATTTATTTCTAGAATTCAGAAGAGACAAAGATTAGTTGATATATTATTAAAGATAATGGTAGAGAGTATTGGTTTTACAGTAAGTATTTACAATATCTACATACTCAAATTAATGTGTCGTGTGTTTGATTGCAACAGACTCTTTACAATTAGTAAACAAACTGACTTTAGGAACAAAAGTTAAAACATCTGGTTCTTGTCCCATCACTAATTGAAATGGTATACTGTTGCTCCCCCCACCTCTCTGACTGATGGTTCGGCGAATTGTGGATGCTGTAGAAGCTAACTTCATGTGGTTGACCTGATATTTATACACAAGGTTTATGTTCATAGGACGAAGATTTCATATAATTACTATTAGAGCTATGACGTTTGATCACTTAGAAAAGGTTTGTTGACTCTCTAGAGGCTAAAGTTATTATCCAGTTGACTTAAAATTTATAAACAGCGTTTAAGTTCATGAAGTGAAGACAGCTATTGACTTTCAGCAATTTTAGATAATTGCCTGTTTCATAGTCATATGAAAGTAACTGCTGTGGGCGAATGTTTTGTTGCCTGGCAATGTATCTTTACCTAAAGCAAAGAGGGTTATTAATCCCATCGTCATTCTTCTCTTGGTAAATATTATGTAGTCATCAAAGAAACTTAATTAAATATATTTTGTTTAATTTCAGCCTGCACAAGTTGGTGTATTATTTACGTTCTTAGCAAGACAGATGGCTAGACATGAAAATACCATTATTGTTAACAGAGTTCTCTTTGAACAGGTTTGAACATTTGACTTCAGCTAAATTACCTCTACCTTCCTTAATCATTGCTAAAACTATATTATACGAACATTTAGATATAGATATTTGAGAGCCTGTGATAGTCTAGCAGTCAGAGCATTGAACTCTCAACTAGAATATTGCAGGTTCAAATCAATGCATGGGTGGAGAAAAGTCTTTTCAAATTTTCAAGCACTTAATCAGAAAATGATATATTCTCAGATTCGCGAAAGAGTATGTTCCTTAAAATAAAACCTATTGAATGTTTTTGTAATTTCTTGTAGGTGTTAGAGTTTCTATCTAATCCTGAAGATGAATCTCGTCATGAAGAACGTCAGCAAGCTTTAATGGAGTTGATACATGCTGGTGGTTTAAAACAATTTGATGAGAAGAAACTATTAAAATTAGCTGAGAATGCTAAATTGTACGTATTTTACCAGCTTGTGGTTGTGTTTATAATGTTTTAAGATGATAATACATGTTAATTACAAGCTAGATTTGTTGTTAAAATTGATTTTAAACATTAAAAATTCTAGTTATTTTGATTCTATTTCTAGTTCGAATTTAATTTCATATTGATATACATACTATTTAGATGTATCATTCATTTTTTTGTTTCTGACCTGTTCGAACTGTCTTAAAAAAACAGAGATGACATTTGTTCATTCTCTACTCTTATTTATATATTTGTGGTATTATTATTTCAGCTTTCGTGTTTGTGAATATTTATATGAAAAAAGACGAGAATATGATAAAATTCTCTCATGTTATTTGCAAGATCCTTCCAGAAGGGTAAGATACAAACCAAATTGTATATTTTTTAAAACTATTTTTAAGCACTGACATCAATTCATATTGAAATAAATTGTGAGGTGACTGTAAATTTTTTCTATTTCAAAAACTAAAATTGCCTCGTGTGTACTAGACTTCATAACATCAGATATTATAAGATATTAATATTAACCTAACTATGACAGTGGACAGAAGGTATTAAAAAGTTAAATTTCTTATATTTCAGTATCATGCATTCAATTATATCACAAGTATTATACAGAGTGAACGACCAGAAAAAGAGAAAGAGAGTGTAAGAAAAGAAGCTTTAAAAAGTTTAGAAGATTTGGTATCTATTGATTGTAAACAAGCAGCCCATACAGTTATTACTAATCTAGCTAGTAATCTACGAGATATTGTACATAAATTAAAACCCCAACCACAAATACTGTTTGAATTTCTTCAAGGAGTTATTACATATAGGTAAATTAATACTTCACAATAAGTAAATTACATGTGACAATATGCTTAGTCAAATTATTATCTTCTTCAACCGACTTCTTCATTATTTGATTTGTCTTGGCATGTTTGAAAAGTTATATTGGTATAGATTTGAAGCAAGGAAGATTGGACATTTGATTTAACTAACAACATATGAAATCATATTAGATTATGTTAAATAAAATTTCAAAAGCTAAATTATGTTATATGAAATTTAAGAAGCTAATTTATTGAAAAAAAAAAATATTTAAAAATTATTTGAAAAATGAAATATTGTCTTTTGGTAAGCTAAGTTGATTGCTTGGATATCCTTATAACTGACTCTCTATATGTATATATCTGGTTTGTAAATAAATGAATGTTTTATTTTTGTAATATTTTAGAGATGCACAGAGTAGTGCTATAAATGCTGATAAACAAGTACATATAGAAGCTGATATAATAGAGAGTTATATTGATTTAATGTGTCGTTATAAACCTGCTGATGTACATAATTTTATTAAAGTTACAGAAGGATACAGGCTAGAGGAGACACTGGATGTAAGTTTTTAATAAGTTATGAAATATACTATATAATAGTAATAAATTTGACATTATTTTGTTTAAAATGAGATATTTTGTTGCCGTGTATTCAGGTTACACTCAAATTTAAAACTTTAGTGAACAAAATAGGTTTTGTAGTTGTCGAGACAAATGCATTTTTATATACAAAGGTAACAAACAATTAAGGTATACAGTATGACTTTACCGAATAACCTGTTATACATGCATGAAATTTACAACTGATTTGGATTATTTTGTTAGATTTGTCGTCAGTATAAAGTATCAGAAGCCACAGCCTATCTACTGGAGAAAGCTGGTGATATTCCTGGTGCATTTGGTATTATGTTAGAGGTGAGTCATCATATTCATAATTTTATATATTATTATTTTCTCTTGATTACTGATACTTTAAAAATGTTTTCAGAATGAAACAAATTGTTGGACACATTAAGTGGGAAAATATATTAACTGATACCTTAGGTGACACAGTAAAAGATTATGTGAGTTAAGCTGAGAACAGTTATATTATTGGGGGGTGGGGGGAGCAATTGTAACATTGATACCAAGCATAACATTGATACAAATAATACCATTGGGTAAGACAAAGTATAACATTGGATGAAACAGCTTATGACATTGGGTAAGACAGTTTATAGTATTGGATGAGACAGCTTATAACATTGGGTGAGACAAATAGACAGCCTATAACATGGGTGGGACAGCCTATATCAGTGGGTGAGACAACTTATAACATTGGGTGGGACAGATATAACATTGGGTGAGAGAACTTATAACATAGGGTGGGACAAATATATCAATGGGTGGGACAAATATATCATAAGATGAGACAAATTATAACATTGGACGAGACAAATTATATCATTAGATGAGTCAAATTATGACATGATAAAAACTGGATGAGACAATGGTATTAGTAGAGGCAATGGTATGCTACGGAGTGAGCTTTAGTAGATCTTGTGAGACTCACCAGTAGATTGAGAACTTTAAATGATGAGAAATTGTATGTACATATAATTATATATTTCTAGTGTTCAAGCTAAATTAAGAGTATTTATTATTATATATTTATAGAGTGTTCAAGCTAAATTAAGAGTATTTACAGTAGCCGCTCAAAAATCAGATGAATCAAATAATAGTAAGTACATTATAGTTTATGACACTGGGATATGGTGGCCTTTATCCCTGAGATTAGATAGTATATATTGAGTCATTCTGACAGGACAAAAAAAACTTTGGTTCCATTACAAATCAGTATTGCATGTCAAAGAAAACTGTAATGGTAGGTAGAAAACTTATTGTCATTGAAAAGGTTTTATCAGAAAATGACTATGTTAGTCTCAAACTAATCAACATATTGTGTTAATAAGACCTTTAACTACATTTCATGCTTTATTATTGTATCTCTTTAAATTAAAGATTTGTTAGAATTCTAATTGTATCTAAACATTATATCATGTATTTCTTTAGCTATAACAGTTTTATTCCAAGAGGTTGAAGCTGCTTTACTAGTTATTATTCAGTTATGTCAACGTAGTTCTGGCAAGATGGATGAAGCAGAAAGAGAGGTTTGTATGGTTGTAGTAGTAATGCTCAAAAATCTGAAAAATAGTGATTGTGCTATTAGGATTTTTCACACTAGATTTCCGTTTGTCAGGAATAAATTTGGCAGGCAAGAAATATGCATTAATTTGTTTGGATCAAGCTTAAGTTGTTTGGATCAAACCAAAAAATAACCTGTTATCTCTTTGCCAAATTAGTCTTCCATGAAAAATGGCTTGCAAAAATTAAAAGTCAGAGTCAGCAAGACACTGCTGTTTACAATGATCTTGACATGATTATAGTCTTGTTATATTTACAATATCACAGAGTGATGAAGCCTTGCAACCTTAAATCAAACCCAGTACCAACCAGTATTTAATAGTTTTAATTTACTGTTTTATTTTTAGGCGTTATGGTTTCCGTTGCTTGAGACTGTCATGTTACCATTACGTAAACTGAAAGATCTAACAGACAAAAAAATATTACAAGGTAGGCTTCTATTTATCAACTTCAACAACAAATAGTGTAATAATACATGTACAAATATATACGCTAAAACTTTTTTACTGAAAATATTCATCTGTTTTCTCATAATATTTCATTGTATATGCTCTGCAGGTCAGAGTTTTCAGGATATATTGGTTAAATTTGCTGGAATTTATAGAAACATGTCAAAATTGACTGTTATCAAATGAGCAGTTGTTGGAGTGAAATTTGTGTTTGTGGACCAAATCCACTTTATTACAATTTGGGCCTCTCCACTGGAAACAAATGTATAAATAGATTGCATAAAGTCACCGACACTAGTTCAGATAATATCTAATTTTTCACAACTCAATCCTCTCAATGTCCTCAAAGTTATTTTTTAACTTTGAATCAAGAAAACATATCAATGAATGATAATCTTCCTGCTTATATTCATTCGTATTAAAAAGAATCCCATCAAAAGATTTCACCCAAGACTTGTTGGTGAAACTGGCTTGTTTATATTGGCTACAGAAGATGACAGTTTCATTAAATTTTCAATTCATCATGTCTTTGTAAATACTAAAATGAAATGAACTATTTTGTACTGAAAATCCTTTGAGTAATTCAATTTTGACTGTTTTGTAGTTTTCAGCTTTAATGTCTTAGGATAATGAAAAAAATGAACATTAATTATAGCTGTTTATATTGTAGATTTAAAAGCAATGACACATCATGTATTAAATAGTATGATGGGTTATATATCTCCTCCAGCTATTCTACAGAAAATACTTCAGGTGAGACCAATATTTCATAGGGGAGACAAGATACTTAATTTTGTCGAGTACAAGCACAATTAATCTTAACTCATAAACAAATCAAACCAATTCAAGAGACTGTAGATTTAGCTCAAACTGTAAAGGATAACCATGCCTCATCTTGTACTCAAACCTGATATGGCACTATGGACAGTCTCTTCACAATTCTATAAGTGGGTGTTTTGATTCCTTAAAATTAACAAGAATTTGTTTCTGGACAGAGAATATGACAATTTCTTTTATGATATTATATCATTTTATAAATCAAATGTAATTATAAAAATTTAATATACTGATAAAAATTTAAATGTATTGAAACTAAAAAAAACCCAAATTCTATAAAAAAAAGGTTAATTGATATTGGTAAGTTTTCATTATCTCTACAGGATCCAGCTTATAATACTGGTAAATTTGGTGAAGTTAAAGAATTAATTATCGGAATGTTAGATAATTATAATTATGAACAAGTAAGTAGAGTTGTCAACTTTTAAATTAATATAGTCACATGTGTGTGTGGGGGTGGGGGGGGGTAGCCGAATGGTTAACTCGTGGGTGTTGGATCATAAGGTCTGTCATTGAATTGTGTAGCATGGTTTTGATTTCCCTCTTGTACATGACAAGTAGTACGGTCACCTGTCCAACCTCAGGGGATTTCTTGAGAGTCCTCCAGTTTCCTCCCACTGCTAGGGACTCTTACCAGCAAGGGAATTATTGAAATGAAATTGAACAATATGTAAATCCCGAAATAACCTAGTTTGTGTCGAGTGGACGTTGAACCCCATTTGCCTCCCACATAATAATTTTTAGAACTGAGATCACTACTAAAGTGTCTAGTGGCTGAATTAGCAGTCTGGGCCTTGAAGTGGTGACACTCACAGTCTGTGGCAGAAAAAAGTTTTCATGGCTACTAAGGAAAATGTGGCAGTATTAAATCAGTTGCTGACTCACAAAATGTTTCTCACTATCAAATCACAAGAGTGTTCATATTTGACACTGGTGTTTTTTAGCTTTCGAGTCTTGTGAAAAAGACATTTTGCTCAATTTATTGATATGTAGATGTTTAAATATCAAAATTGATAATTTTTCTTTTTTCAGACTTTGATGAAAACTTGTAAAAATTTATTATACCATGATCTTCATGTTCATCTACGTAATTTAACGGGTGCTGCTTCTAAAGGTTTTGTACCAAGAGGAGACAACTGTCATCTGTGTTGCCGTAGCTTTACAAACTCAGCAGACTCAGAATCTGTGGTAGTTTTCAGGTAAGATACTGATTTCCGAGATAAGTAAGAAGGGATTAAATAAGATAATTTAGTATGTGAGTGAATCTAGTGGTATAAAAACGTGTTAATACATTACTGAAAGATAAATGAGAAGTGGTATAATTAGGTGTTAGTATATGGCTGAAAGCTAACTGAGAAGTGGTGTAAGGTGTTAGTATATAACTGAAAGCTAGATGATAAGTGGTGGAAAAACTGAAAAGCTAAATGATAAGTGGTGTAAAGTGTTAGTATATGACTGAAAACTAGATGATAAGTGGTGTAAAGACGGAAAAGCTAACTGATAAGTGGTGTAAGGTGTTAGTATATGACTGAAAAGCTAGATGATAAGTGATATAAGATGTTAATACATGACTGAAATCTAACTGAGAAGTGGTATAATAAGGTGTTTTAGTACAAGATTGAAAACTGTTTCGAGCTCTGTATTAAACTAAATATGTCAACTAGGACAATTGGATGGAACTACCTAACCAACATTAAATGCATGTTAAGTAATATCTCAGTATTCATGGGTTTTAAACATCCATAGTGCAATGTCAAAGGCTAATTTATATCTTAGTTCACTCAGTTTTCTAGTCTACCATACTATGTGTTATAATTGGTAGTAACTGTTTTGATAAAACATATGGCATCTACATGTGTTTGGTATCCAGAAATTTTACATCATTGTGTTATTGTAGCAAGGTCTATTGATAAACAGTTGAGATAAATTGAAATAATGATCTTTATAAAAAGTATTTGAATTAAAAACAAATTTACCTTGCTCTATTTCAGGTGTAGTCATTGTTATCATATTGGTTGTTTACGATCTGTTGGTTCGGTACATGTTATTGATGGTTATGATAATTTGGTGTGTTATATCTGTAATAATGCTAGAAAGTCAGGAAGATTACAGAGTTCACGATTTTATCGTCATATTTCGGTCTCTAATACTCAACCAGCTATAGTACAGAGAGGAGATACAGTAACCAAAGAGGTAAAGTATAGTGCCAATTCCTTTTGGGAACATTTCATTTTGACAGTTCTGAATTCTTTTTCATTAAACTATATGAAATGGGTTTTAATGTCCTACTTTTTTGCCCCAACCACGCTAATGAAGGTGGACATAAGCCATACAGTGTGTGATTAGAGACATTTTGCCTTGGCAGCAATTGAATTCCAACTGACAAGGGTTGTATTACGTGCATGCCTATGTGTACACAGGAATTTGGTTTTTCGTATCCATCCAAACGACTAAACGCTGTTCCTTGCCAGGTCCCTTTGACAAAGGGAAACCATGCCAGAAAATTCTAGGGAAATTTCTCGGCCAACTCCGAGGTCAAACCTAGTTAGTTAGCCAGCACTATTAAGCTGCAATTGATTTAAGTTCAATAGAATTGTCTCGTGAAATGTTCAATTAATTTGTATCTAAGTTTAATGTGTGTTTTGTGAAATGGGACCCAGGGATGATCGACTGTTGAATTGTTGTACAAAGATTTCAACTTAAATGATGCAGTGTATTGAATTGAGGTGCTAAATCAATACCTCCATTGTTTAATCTTCAAGACTAGTTATTTTTTTTTACTACTTTTATTTTTACAGATCTTGTTAGATCCACAACATACGCAAGACTTTAAATATATCAGAAAATCCATGAAAACAAAATCAAGAGTGAGTAATTTGAATGCATTTTGTGATCAGCCCAGAAAAGGCTGCCGAGAGGAGTTTTAGGCCAATAATATTTTCTCTGTATTTTGAATGTATTTTCCAATCAATGGTTATGTATTTACTATTTAGAACCTTGACTATCAAAATATGTATCTTAATAACAAAAATTAATTGTCTTATTTTTAAATTTCAGCTAGCAATTTTAACTGAATTGGCACGTCCAGAGAAATCCAGAAGTGATCGTTCTGGAAGTAAATCCACCATATTTAAAACAGAAAGTTTCCAATTAAAACTGGCACCACCACCACCTATGGAACTATAGATTTCTTCAAACATTTGTAGACTCTTTTATATTCAAGATGATAATTTGTTTTCCTGATATGTCTTTGAAATCATAAAAAATTTGGTCAGGGTTTTACTACAGTGGTGTAGAAAACAATCACATGCCAAATAATGTTTGCCTTTCAAAGCTGTCTCCCAATATCATTACAAAGCCTCAGCATCATAATGATGGGGGAAAAAACTTTTGTGCTTGACAAATACTCATCATATACAAATTAACTATCATGGGTTTTTGCAATTAAAACACTGAAAGAAAATTTAGGGCAGTCAATGATAGTTTGTTTTGTCAAGGCAACATAATGTACTTAGATGCCCCAATTTCGGAACTCTGGAACTTGACAGCTTTTTTTCAAACCAGGAGAAAACTAAATGACTTGAAAGGACATTTTTCACCAGCTGCATATTATTCATATTTATTGTATATTCAAAACAACATAAAAGACAGAGCAAAAAAAGTTGACACTCCGTTTACATGTTCCATAAAAAATACAAAGACAGTTTTGATTTAAACAATGTGAATATTTTATTGAGAGGAAGAGGAATAAGTTTCTCATGTCTGGAGCAATAGTGTACTGGCTACATGGCAGGGTTAAAGATCAATGGGGTCTAGATAACTAATTACACGAGTCAAGGACAAGTCCTCGATTAAGTCTTATGCAATCTAATCATTAATAGCATATGTGGCCGCTGTAGGCATCGATACATGCCAAAATGCATCTCTTCGTGGATGTCGTCAGTCATCTTATGATGTCATTGGGAATCCTTTGCCATTCTTGCAATAAAGCTTGCTCAAGCTGATGTCAGTTTGCAGGAAAAGGTGTCCGTTGCCTCAGTTGCCAATCAAGATGATCTCAGAGGTGCTCTATTGGGTTCATGTCTGGAGAACATTCTGGCCAAGTTAAAGCGTGGACGTTAACATTGTTCCAATAATCACAAACCAGTCTGGTGGTATGTGGTTGGGCATTATCATGCAGCAAAATGGTAACCCTTTGTTGCTGTTGTATGAATGTACTGCCACAGGTTGCAGAACTTCATCTCAATAACTTTGGCCATGGAAGATAACAAGCCTTGTTCTCTGCTGGTCACAAATCTCTCCCCATATCATAATACCACCTCCACCATGAGGATGAACATCTTGAGTGCAGTTAGGTGCCAATCTTTAATATCTATGGTGATAAACACGAACCTAGCCATCATTTCTGAACAGGTTGAAGTAACTTCCATCTTTGAAGAGCACACATTGCCAATCACACCGCTGCCATCAACGTACAGTTATTGACCATTGTAACCTGCGCTGACAGTGTTGATGGCTCAAGTTCAAACCTCAAAATAGTCAATAGGCTCTTATACCAACAATGCGGAGCCGTCAGGAGACAGTGTGTCTGCTTATGGAGTGTCCCAATGCTGTGGCCGCCGTTGCCGTTACGAACCCAATCTGGAGGTGAATTGGCCGAATATAGCAGTCTTCAGCTAGAGTTGTGACCCTTAGCCTTATGGATCTTGGTCGGTGTTGTGTTCGACCTGTTTGCTGAAACCGCCAGATTGCTGATGTTGGTTGGAGTGTAGTGGAACGTTCTTACGATTCGCCGTTGAGAAGCCCCCATCTGTGCCATACCAATAGCCCTATCTCATTCTTCCAGTGATAATCTTGGCATCTTTGTAGAGGTTTTTTGCTCATACTGAATCCCCAAGGTATCTAGACAACTATCATCCATATGCATCTTGAGAAAATACCCACAATCCTGGTTTTACGATTTTTCGCATCTGCCTGAAATTCAGCATATCCTGCATTCAGTGACTGCGATGTGTTCACGGTGAATATTCTTTCAAATGTTTTCTGATGTCTAATTGCAACTTTATTGTATAGATAAAACTAGATTTATATGTGTCAACTTTCTTTTGCCCCGTAGTGTGTATATATATATATATATATATATATATATTATCATTTACTGCCTATATTCATATTTTTGTAGCAAAGGTGAAAATCAAAGTAGACAGAAATTATTACATTCCAATAAATAATCAAATTATTCATTATCAGCATAAAGTGATGTATAATATAAGGAACATTTATAATGTTGAATAATTTGTGATAAAAATTTTATATTTATTTTTTGTTATCACACTGTAAGTGCAATATAATATTATAATAAATTGTTTGTTAGATTTGAATTATATTTTGTTGAATGTTGATTATCATTTTAGGGATTTTGAACTACAGAATGCTTCAATTCCGTTGGGATTTATAAAATGAAAACTTTGCAACATGCGGCTGTGAAGACTTAAGGGTTCTTTTACATGCATGCCAGTGTGCACACAGGACCTCAGTTTTTAAACCATCCAAATGACTAGACACTGTTCTTGCCAGGCACTCTATCCTGCACCACTGACAAGGGAAAACCTCACCGGAAAATCCTTAGGAACTTTTTCGGCCAACACTAGGGGAGAACCGGAGACCTGGTTAGCCAGTCAGCATCCTATACACCAAGCCACTGTGACTCCCTTTGACGGATTAAATCAGTTCAAAGATGTTTCTGGTAAAAACAAAAATTAAATTTGACAGCCCAAAGAGTCTGCATAACTAAATATGCCAGTGTCGTACGGTATAACATGCAATCCAATATCAACAAACCTGATGTTAATGCATTGTTTTATTGTTCCATTTACTGGTTGGCAAAACAATGTAGAGCGTAGTAGTTCGAAGGCTGCAGTACAGTCACAATCGAATAGACATGAGAAAACTGGATGATGTAAAGATGTTCACAGTTTTTAGTTAACTGATCAATCTACCCACACTATGTCTGCCCATTTTCCACTAAGGTTAAGCAGAGATAAACAATTTGATTGGTTGGGACTTTGAAACACAATAACTTTGTTTCTAATTGACTAAGTTCCATGATGAGAATTTTCTGATTGGTCAAGATTTGAAACAGAACTACTCTGCTTTTATTTGAGCCAATTGAGGTAGAATGTTTAACCATGTTCATCAGGTGAATGTCTTAACTGAGTTCAATGATTAGCCATTTCCCACTAAAGCTAAGCAATTCCATTGGTCGATGCTTTGGGACAAGATAACTTTAATTCTAACTGATGAAGAGGAATGAAACTTACCCACTTAGTTTCACTACCAGGTACCTTGACTGAGCTAATTTGAAATGAAATGAAATGAGTTTTAACCTCCAACTGTGACTGAGTTTGATTGTGAACATGTTTTGCTTAGACTAAGTAGGCCTATAGATAATCAGTTTGATTGCTCGATACTTTTGAATTCTGAACAAGCCAACAGTGAGGTTGATGTCTCCCGCCGAAATCCAAAAATAAATAGATGACACACATTAATTTATTGCACATTTATTTTTTTTTCAAAAGTATCAAGCAATCAAACTATACACTAAGTTTCATCACTCTCTATCAGATAGAATCACGATTATCTTGTCCCAAAGCATTGACCAATGAAATTGATTAGCTCTGCTTAGGTTCAGCTCGAAATGTTAATCGTTGAACTCAGTCAAGACATTCACCTAATGAACATCTACATCAAGTCTAAACATTCTATCTCAATTAAAAGCAGAGTTGTTATGTTCCAAAGTCTTGACCAATCAAATTGTTTATCGCTCATTAGCCTAAGCAGAAAATTCTCACCATCGAAATTAGTCAAGGTAATGATATAATGAATCTATATTCGGAGTTCCATCGCTCTCACTTCATTATAACCAAAGTTATCGTGCCTCAAAGCATCAGCCAATCAGATTGCTTATTTCTGCTTACCTCAAGCAGACAATGTTCATCATAGAACTCCATCAAGGCATTCACTTAATGAACGCCTACACCAAGTTTAAACATTCTACCTCAATTAGAAGGAGAGTTATTGTGTTCCAAAGTCTCGACCAATCAAATTGTTTATCGCTCTGCTTACCCTCAGCAGAAAATATTCATAATCCAACTTAGTCAATGTATTGATGTAATAAAGCTATACACCAAGTGTCCTCACCCTCATTTAATTAGAACTAAAGTTATTGTGTCTCATGTATATCAACCGATCAAATTGCTTACCCTAAGCCGAAAATTCTCATCTTCGAACTCCATCAAGACATTCATCTAATAGACACCTATGCCAAGTGTGAACATTCTAGCTCAATTATAATGAGAGTTATTGTGTTCCAAAGTCTCGACCGATCAAATTGCTTATCGCTAAACTTACCCTGAGCAGAAAATGCTCATTATTGACATTATCAAAATTAGTTAAGGTATTGATGTAATGAAACTATACACCAAGTTTCATCCCTCTCACTTAATTAGAACTAAAGTTATCCTGTCCATAAGCATCAACCAATCAAATTGCTTATCTCTGCTTACCCTTAGCAGAAAATGCTCATCTTCGAACTCCATTAAGGCATTGACGTTATAAACCCCTACACCAAGTTTGAACATTCTAGGTCAATAAGAAGGAGAGTTATTGTGTTCCAAAGTCTCGACCAATCAAATTGCTTATGGCTCTGCTTACCCTGAGCAGAAAATGCTCATTTTCGAATTTAGTCAAGGTATTGATATAATGAAACTATACACCAAGTTTCATCACTCTCACTTAATTAGAACTAAAGTTATCGTGTCCCAAGGCATCAACCAATCAAATTGCTTATCTCTGCTTACCCTAAGCCGAAAATGCTCATCTTCGAACTCCATCAAGGCATTGGCCTAATAAACACCTACACCAAGTTTAAACATTGTAGCTCAATTAGAAAGGGAGTTATTGTTTCCCAAAAATTGTGACGGACAGACAGACGGACCAACCTATTTAAATAGTCCCCTGCTTTCTTCGAAAGGCGGGGGACAAAAAGATAAATGTGCAATATTAATAGACCGGAGGCTCAGCGCGGGGGGGGGGGGGGGTGTCCATCAAATGGGCACAAAACCAAACTTTTCCAAAGTGAAATTTTGCGTAGAATACGATGCCGAGTGGTAATCAGTCCGCCGTTGGGGCGTTATCGAGATATTCGGGGTCAAAGGTCAAATGAGTTCATTTGCACTGAAAGTGAATGCGCAGTCATTTATGTATTATGAAAAGAAGCTGAAAATGATCGAAAGTAATCACACTTTCAATAAAAATATAAACTTGCTAAATTCACCGTTGGTCTTAGTGACCCTAGAGGTCAAAAGGTCAAATTTGCCGTTTTTGCACTAGGAAGATTTAAAGCAATAAAATGTCAACGTAAAATATAAAAACTAAAGCGAAACCTGTTCTAATTAATAATAGGAACATTTAAAATTTATCTTTAGGTGGTCTTAGCACCGAACCTTTACTTTGGAACGTCGAAAATGATCTTGCATAACAGAACCAACACACTTTGAAACCTGTTTCAAAAATACGTAATAACTGTTAAATCGAAATCTCTCCGATTTATTTTCACAACGATTGTTATACATAATGATACTAGTTATCTGAAAAACAACTGAATAGTTTCAGTGTTGGACTCCAAACTGCAAGCCACGTGGATTTCGTAGAATCCCAGTCTAGGAAAACCGACGTTAATCTGTGACGGGAAAACACGTATCTGACGACGAAATTAAAAGTTTGCAAATTTTTTTATGAGTTTTTATGAATTTCGCCGGAACATGGACGCAGATAAAACCGACGAATGCATTGTACATAGTAGTTAACAGGATAGGGCCTATATATGTCGTATTGGTAAATGTATAGCGGGGAAAATTTGGGCAGGATTTGTGACGCGGCCTGCAGGCTGGAGTCCAGCCACGGAACTGTTCAATTGTTTTTTTCAGACAACTAGTATCATTGTGTATAGCATTCGTTGTTTTGTGTATTTTTGAAACAGGCTTCGAAGCGTTTTGGTTCTGTTATGCAAGATCATTTTCGACGTTCCAAAGTAAAAGTTCGGTGCTAAGACCACCTAAAGATAAATTTTAATAATGTTCCTATTATTAATTAGAACAGGTTTCGCTTTAGTTTTTATATTTTACGCTGACATTTGTTACTTTAAATCTTCCTAGTGCTAAAACGAAAAATGTGACCTTTTGACCTCTGGGGTCACAATTAAGAACAAAAGTGAATTTGGCGAGTTTACATTTTTATTGAAAGTGTGATTAACTTTCGATCATTTTCAGCTTATTTTCATGATACAGGAATGACCGCGCATTCACTTTCAGTGCAAATGAACCCATTTCAATTGACCTTTGAAAACTTGGGTCTGGTTTTGTGCCCATTTGATGGACCCCCCCCCCCCCCGCGCTGAGCCTCCAGACTATAATTAATGTGTCATCTATATCTATGTATTTTTTTTATTTCGGCGGGGGACATCAGCCTCATTGTTGGCTTGTTGGATCCAAATGGAAGCTGATATGAAAAAAACTGCCTGTCACTGAACAGTATACTTTTTGTACGCCCCATTGATTTTTGTCTAAAGTAGGCAAAAATATAGGCTGCTGACACTACTCACTGTCAGTGCGAGCGGGTGGGGGGCGGACTACCGACCTACTAGCTACGCCTCTGGACACACTCCTGAAAACCCATTAGTGCATTTTATTTTTAATAATTAACTTTGAAGATAGTAATCTGTCTTCTTATCACCAAATAAATGGAAGCGTCATTTTAAAGAGTCGGGTAATTTGTATAGATCGACTCGATCTACCTTTATTTTATGGGGAGATAACCAAGAGAGAAAGGAAGTAAACATTGACCAATCACATTGTTCGATACACAACCCAACAACGGAAGTTGGCGTCGCTCACACGGCAACCATAAACAATAAATTTATCTCTAAATCTCACTGATCAAGATTATATCGTGCATACGCGTTATAGTTTACACTTTTAGTGTTTGCATCTCCGTGAATAACCAACAGGTAGCGTGATTTATTTTTATCACTTAATGTAGAATTCGATTCTAGGCACTTCTTGACTTTTTCGAAGTCGATAGAGGCTAGGCTATTTAGTATTTGTCGTGTGCACTTTTTTTACTTTTTAAAATTTGTTATAAAAGTTAGTTTTACTCTAACCAGAATTATATAGCTTTTGTATCCTAATTTATTTTACTAATCTAGGCCTAGATAAAACATAACATGCTTAGCCTACATCATATAAGGGATAGTTTTGTTTATTGATTGAGTTGAGTGTGAAGGCTGTTCCTCAGGCTCAGTAACAGTAACACTAACAGTTCTCTTACCTGGGTATGTTCTTTTACACACTGATCAGCAGTGAATATTCGCAAGGCCGCGACAATCACTGATAAGGATGACAGCGGTGCGACTTAATGAGCCTCAAATATTAACTTTTTTCCTCCGACAAATTAAATTCTAAAACATTTTTTTTGTATGTAAGCTTATTAGAAAAATAAATAAGACTTTTAACATATTTGTAGGTAAAATTTATTTCCTATTTAGTGTAAATGCAATGACGCCAATGGGTATTAAAATGAGTAAAAGGCTCCATGGACCATTCTGCTCGAACCAGTAAGGTCTTATGTAAACAGTGCACATGCCATTGAGACAATGATTGACGCAGCGTAATGAAAAGTCACGAAGGTAGTCATCTTTTACAGAGATATTTAGAAGACTTTTGTAATCCTCTGTGAAACAGATTGGTTATTTTAGTCTCATTTTAATCAGCACTGTCCAAATCAAATGTGATTTTACTTGTGGATACATCAAGATATAGTGATTAAAGTAGGCTACTTTTAAAAATTTGTAAAGTTAGGATTTTATTTACTATTATTATTAAGAGTGCATCCACAAGAGCACCATGCAGAAGGTGCTAATGCTTCAATCACGGATTTTGGCTAAAAACACCGCATGAAGACTAATTTCCCATTCAGCTAAACATCTTCAATCATTAGAAATATTTAATTGAGGATATCAGTTGGTTTTCTTTTGTCTTTCCCCCCTCCCCCATACCCCACACCTGACATCTTGCCAGTCAACCATCTGCAATTAGTTGCCAATGAGGAAAATTATGGGATACTTGTTGAATGGTTAAATTTTAACCATATATGGTTTTTGAATGGTAAAAATTCTAACCATATATGGTTACATAACAACTTGGTTAAATATATAGTTGAACAACTCAAATTTAGCCATAACCCTAGATACGTAACCACATGGTTAAATTTAACTACAAGTTACCTACTTGTTTAAAAGGGCTTTTAATTAATAATCTTGCTGAGATGTGATCTATAATTTTTTACATTAATTTATCTTACTCAACTTTTAAGTATATTATTCACTTTTTATGTTTAAATCTTATATTTGTCTTGTCAATTTTCATATCATAAATGTTTATTGTAAAGCCTCATTGAGCACTTTTGTGGAAATGCTGCTTTATAAATTCTTGTAAATAGTAAATAATAATTGACAGGAACAATTCAAGGTCTTTGGATAAGAAAACACTTTTCTGTCCAGGATTCATCTAGATATTTTGTAATTTATGTAATCTATTCTTTGTGTAATAAAACTAATTATGAGGCATCCTTTCTATTCATTATAGTATATTCCCTTGTATTCACTCTTCTGTCATCCATCTTCTAGTCTTATCTATTATAGTTACTGTTACAGCTTCTACAACCAGATTACTATTATGGTACGGTATTTATACTATACAGAAATTAATGGCTGAGATGCACTAGATATTGTAAAGCTTAATATAATTTTTTTTCCACAGAGAATTAGTAAGCCTGATGATATTATCAATTTACAGCAGAATTAAGTTAGCCGTTGTTTGGTGCATCAAAGCCGATATGTACAATGTATATCATTGTTAGTTTCTTTGATTTATCAGAAATAATTCAAGCGAAAGACATGGTTAAAATTTTGAATCAAACAATGAGCAAATGTATTGTCTACATCAGGGTAGTTATGACTTGGCTAATGAAGGGATGGGAGTCCTACTAGTAGAAGATCAAAGGGTATTCTTGATATCGGTTTACTGTCACTATGTCACCCTACATTATATATTGATGTCATTTACTGATTAAACATTAATCTTGTTAAAATTATTCTAGACAGATAACAAAAAGCCCAACATGGCCAGGAAGAAGCAGGAGATTCAACTTCAACAAGAGATTGAAACCCAAGAAGAATGGGAAGAAATGATGGCTAAGGAAGGATTGTGGGGTAAGCTTTAATACAGTATTTGAATTTTAATTAAATTATTTGTTGAACTTTTAGTGTAGACATCATTCTGTCTTATGATATCTGCAAAAAATGTTTATTTTACAAGGGCATATGATCTAATTGGTGTATAATTACATCAAATCTTACATGATTCATTGGTTGTAAAATTGAAAAAAATGCACGTTTTTCGGAGCAAACTTTCAGAAAGGAAATACCTTTGAGCAAAACACTGATAAATATGTAGCCTTGATTAATATTCCTTATATCAATACCAATATTAAAATAATATGTTTGTATTCAGTTGTAGATATCTATCAGGAATGGTGCGGCCCATGTAGCGCTATGGTTAGTAATTTTCGTCGTCTGAAGAATGAACTGGGAGATGATCTTCTTCATTTTGCAACCGTAAGTTTTATTACGAATCATCTATTTTATGGGACTGCTTTAAAATAAATCTGTGCAGACAAATAAATTAATTTCTGACACATTAAATTTTATAAAATTAGACCTGAAATAAAATGGGGTTTAAAGTCCTACATTTCTACACCAACTAGATTAAAGAAGACAAAAAGTTAAATGTTCTTGATTTTATACAATAAATTAGATGATTGAAAACCCCTAGAATTTAGAACTCTAGATTTAATAGAAGTTTGTTTTGGGTTCTTATACTATATTTTCTTATTATATTATTTTAGGCTAAAGTGGATACAATTGATGCCTTAGAAAAATATAAAGGAAGATGTGAACCAACTTTTCTATTTTTTGCTGTAAGTCATAAAATTTAATTTATTTTATAATTGGCTTGTGAACGTGATACAGACTACAGTATTTAACATTATTCTTTTCAAATTTGGTGTAAAGCATTGTAATTTGTAGTCATGAGAGGACGAATCCTATAGATATTCCTTACCAGAGTTACGCCACCTATTTCCGAAAAACCTTGTGAATGCGATGGAGGTGACAGTATTTCACATATTCTTTTCAAATTTGGTGTAAAGCATTGTAGTCATGAGAGGACAAACTCTGTTGATATTCCTTACCAGAGTTATGCCACCTTTGCCGAAAACCTTGAGGACGCGATATAGGCTATAGTTGGGGTCATGGGTCGATATTCTATTCCAGATTTACCCACCTTTTGCCATAAACTTGTGATCATAATAGAGACTATAGTTTTTAACAGATGTTTTACAAATTTGGTGTGAAGCATTATCACCATTAGTGGACGTACCCTATCGATATTCAGCATTCTGTGACTTCCGGTTCCACAGTTATCCCCCCTCTGACATAATATCTAATTTTTTCAACATCTAAGTACAAACTGATTAGCAGTAGATATTTGCTTGGCCACAAACATCACTAATAATAGGGATGGCTTAATAACCTGCTAGTGAAAAGCATAAATATTTTGTTTTTAAAAAATGTCTAGTATTGGATTGAAGAGGGTATCAAAGAAGTACACTTGTTTTTATATATTTGATCCTTTACAGTTAAGCAGTTCACAGGAAAATTCACTTGATATCAGTGTTTTGTTTAGCATGTTCATTTGCTCCACTGTTTAGTGTATTGTTTTTTTTTGTGTGTATAGTGCTGTCCTCTAACATCATCTGATCATTTCTTTGAAGGTTTTAAGTTGATATTTGTGACCCATGCTGGCAAATTGAGTCGCAATGAGGAAATTTTGAAAACTGGGTTATTGTTATTTTCACATTCTCTACCTCAATGCCTCTCTACCTTCAAAATGATGTATGTTTGGTGTGAATTGGGCACAAATTGACTGAGTTATATTTGTTTGAAGTTGCTTAAGTCAAAAAAGATATTTTTGAGAAAAAGCAAGCTAAAGATGTTGGTATGTTCTAAAACAAAATCACATAGCAACCACACCATATATTTGTTATTTTGTCGTTCAATATTTCTTTCACTTTCAGTGTTATAATTTAGAACAAATGAGAATTGTCCATACATTAGTAATCTTAATCTATGTTTTATATATTATAGCTTTTATGGGAATAACTTCTGTTAATTAACACCTTAGCGGTCAAGGGATTAAGATTGTTGATTGGATAATAGAGTTTAGTTTCCTGATAATGTAATCAGCCGCCATAGTCATACGTGTGTCACACGTAATACTTTTGTCATATTTATAAACTAGAGATTAACTGCTTCAAAATGATACAATTATTTGGGTTGATAGGAAGGATATTTATAGACTCATTTTTGTGAAAATCTCAATTCGATCAGGCTTATTTTGCCCTCACGGGTCACATATTATTTATTTGTAAGCTTACTGATTACAGTGTGGGGTATTAGTAGCTGTTATACATGGTTCACAATCACCATTAGTGATGAGAACGGTTACAGAACAGTTAGCACAAGAACATAAAGTTATGGAGGGTGCATCTGAACGAAAGGAGGTATGTTTTCAAGTATTGAACATTATATATATTAGTTGTTTCTAGTCCTCTATATTAATTAATAAAATCCTATGTTGTAGCTAATCCTCTTTTCGTTTCCTTTGTTTTTATACGCCCACATTTTCATGTGGACGTATTATGCCGTTGCCCCTGATTATACGAAAAATCACATTTTTACCTTGTGGACACTCTAGAGGTCACAATTTTTATCTGATTTTGATGAAACTTGATATGCATGTTTATAACCCAAAGACCTTGGTTCCTTTTGATATTGGCACATATCGGATCGTAACTTCCTGAATTATGGCCCCTGATTGTTTGAAGAATTGTGCTGTTAGCTTGTTCGATTTAAAAAAAACGTTTGAATGTATCACCGTTACACTGTAATTTCGGTTGGGCTGGAATTTCGTGAAAAGCGGACCAAAACTGGCGGACAAAATGGCTGCCCCTCATATGCAGATAGTGTAAGAATATGATATAACAAGTTTGTTGACCCTCTAGAGGTCATATCAAAATGGCTGCTGTTTGTGCGCAAATTGTGTAAAAGTCGTACAAGTTTTATCTAATTTTGATGAAACTTAAAATATAAATTTATTTCACAAAGATCTCAGTTCCTTTCAATATTTGCGCATTTCAGACCATAACTTTCTGGATTATAGGCCCTGAACGTACAAAATATCGCTTTTGTTTTAGCTTGTTCTCTACTTATCTCTTGCAAAATGTTGGCGTATCTTGCCTGACAACCATTTGTTTTTCTGGATTTTTTTTGGGGGGGGGGGGATCCCTTAAATGTCTTGATTTATATCTTTTTGGAAAACTAGTAACAGCCACTTTTGCACAGAGGGTTTTTCGACATATTTATTTCCCCCTTTACTGCAAGACTGCATTATTAAAAGTTGTGATCAAAATGTCAACAGTCAGTTAAACAACACACGTGATGCAAGAAAGATTGCATGGATCAACCAAATTTATGTTTAAAAATATTTATATTAAACATACATTACGCAAGAGCTAAATCTGCCAATTGCAGGTCTTTCTTTAGGCCTGAAATGTTATCTAAATTATTAAATAAACATAAATTAACTTATCCAGATCATAATCAACTCTCGATGGCATGGCTAGGCTGTGATGTTTATTGGATCAGGTTCCGATTTGCTGTTCGACTTCCATTCATAATTAAATCATGAAATGGATAATCAAGACTGTTTTTTATCCTACCAAATTTAGTAATGATGATCGAGGCTAGGCGGAAATTTCTATCGCTTAATTCTCGGTTCATAGTGGATCAATTTTACTGAAATTTTCAGCAAATTGCCTTTACATTATTTAGTTTTTAACTATTATAGTGAGAACTGCCAGCTGTTTATCTTATCTCCCATAATGTATCTTTAACTTCAGACAGTAGATACAATAGTAAGTCAATCAGAAGAAAAGGTGGAAGATGATGAGGAAAGTGAAGGAGATGAAGGTATGGTATTAATATCAATCTTAACTAGAGGCATTTATCGCTTTGTATAAATATTAACATGTTACAAGAACAGCAGGTATAGGCTGTTCTGTTAACTATCAGTAACTGATCAAGTATAACTTTTCTTCAATCACAGTCTTCATACAATTACTGAATTATTTATTTAAAACATATCAACCTTGTATTAGTCCTGGGTGATTACTTCATAATCATGAAAGAATAATCCTCAATGCTGTGTAAATAATCCTCAATGCTGTGTAAATAATCCTCAATGCAACTTTCATAATCCTCAGAAGCAGAGTGACTAGTTCATAATCCTGAGTGAATAATCCCTTATACTGAGTGAATAATCCCTAATACTGAGTGAATAGTTCAGTCATGAGTGAATAGCATTAATCACTATAATATATAGCAAACAGTAGTTTGAAAGTTTCACAGTTTCTATTAGGATTAAATTTGATTAATTTTAGCCTAATGGTAAAATGCATTAGTGTAGTAAATACCCTGGTAAAAGTGACTTGCTAGAATATGTTATTTTATGATTAATAATTAAATGTAAATACATGTATAAAAATAGGATTGTTTCAATCTTTAAAATGATTTTGGCATTCTTAATTGTCATTACAGACAATATATATCGTTATCGAGGAGAACATATTAATTTTGGCGATACTTTGGTATTAGCAGGAGAGTTAGGTTGTATTACACATACTTGTATCTTGCCACTTGATATTTTTTCTTTAGAAAAATTAGGTAGTGTTATTAGAGATAGAAATGATACTTACGCTTTTTTAGTCTTAGATAGTTCTGGTTAAACATACATTATGCAAGAGCTAAATCTGCCTATTGCACGTCTTTCTTTAGGCCTGAAATGTTATCTAAATTATTAATTAGACATTAATTAACTTATCCAGACCATAATCAACTCTCGATGGCATCACTAGCCTGCGATCTTTAGTGGATTATGATCTGATTTACTGCTTAACTTTCCTTCACGATGATTAAATGGATAATCGAGACTATGATTTTTGTCGTACCGACTTTAGAAATGATGATCGAGGCTAGGCGGAAATTTCAATCGCTTAATTCTCGGTTCATAGTGGATCAATTTGACTGAAATTTTCAGCAAATTGCATTAACATTATCTTGTTTTTAACTATTATTATGAGAACTGCCAACTCGTTATCTAATCTCCCATAATGTATCTTTAAATAGAAGTTATAGATCTTTAGTTATTTGGTTCTGGTTAGAAATGATGATAGATTGACTGTTTTAATCGTGGTTGGATAGTTAAATCATTGTTTTAAACTTGGTTAGATAGTTAGAAACATTTGATAGATTTATTGTTTTAATCCTGGTTTATAGATAGTTAGATACACTTAATAGATTCACTGTTTTAATCATGGTTAGGTACATGTAGTTGAAAACACTTGATACAATCATTGTTTCTAACTTGGTTAGATAGGTAGAAACATTTGATAATTTATTGATTTAATCCTGGTTTATAGATAGTTAGAAACACTTAATAGATTCACCATCCTCGACCTAGATTGAACTAAATATGCAATCTATAAACAATTCAATTATAACACGATGCACTTATATACTAGAAACAAATCTAAAAGCTAGTTGTAGAAATAAATTTTAGTTATAGTATGCGAATGTTTGCAATTGGTGAAATGAAATAGTTTAGTGTCCTATGTCTTAACCAAGCGGGTTAATGAAGATGACCATAATGGCACACAGTGGGCTAGGACTACTAACAGGGAAAATCCTGGGGAACTTTCTGGACCAACACTGGCGTTGAACCCTGGTCCTCCTGGTTAGTGAACCATTTCCTTGCTGAGGTCCCATGAATATTTGTTAATATCCTTTGATAAAATTATTGTATTGATTGATTGGGGAGTTTAGTAACTTACACAAGCATATACATGTATGAATAAAAAGATTTACTGTGTTGTAATTATAAATGAATTAATATAAGTTGAGTTGATTATAAATTACTAATATTTTTTATACAGAAGTTAAAGGTTTTACTGTGGCTATTATTAAACCTGATGCTGTTAAAAGTGGTAAAGTTGAGGAAGTTTTAGAACAGGTAAAATATATTTTTACAAATACAGGTTTGATACAAAGATACTTGTCGAAACGTCGTGCTTTTAGAATAAACCAGTGATTGTATCCCATAAAAACTGTGTTCTGTTAATGTGTTCCCCGATCGCTAAATGCCACTTAAAGAATATGATACAAAGATGCCACTTTGTCTGTGGAGTCCTGGTAGAGGAAATTGAAACTTGATCATCAACATTCAAGTACAAGCCATAAATAAATATTTATACCCCATTTGCAGTTAACACCGCTTAGTATTATATCCAGCCCTGATGAAATATATTCTATTTAGATTTTAGCATATCATGTCTCTGAAGACCAGAATAATAAAATGTTATATTAATTATTGCCATATATTTTTATGATGTCAAACATGTTAATGTCTCATTAAAAATATTTTAATGTGAAAATCATCATTAATTGTATAAATATTAATTTCACTGAATTTATTTTTTGTTTTTTTTACTGTTTAAAAATTTTAGATGAGAGAAAAGGGTTTAGAAATAATAGCTGAAAAAGAAAAAGAATTAACAGAAGATGAAGCTCGAGAATTCTACTCACATCTTAAAGATGAAGTAATATTCAAACTTTTCATCTCTTTTGTGTCTTCTCTAAATAAATTAGAGCAAAGCAAGTGGTGATCGAGGAGGGGAATATGAAAAGTAAAACAAACTCTTAATGGATTAATTGGACAAAATAGAAAAATAGTGATTAATAAGTAGACCTTCAGAACTGGAAGAATGCTGCTACCATATTTGAATTTAGATTTAAAATAATTTATATTAAACAGACAGGAAGTGTTAGACGTGGATTGACTATGTTCAATCTCATTCTTATACGTGACAAAGAGTGTGGTCCTATGCCTAGATTCATGAAATTTTCTCTTGGTAATCCAGTTTTCATCCCACTTCTGAGAGAATTATTAAAATAAAATATCTCATGTTTCCTGGTTAGTGTTGAGTTTACGGTAAACTCTTATTTCTCTCTCATTCTCTCTGGGGATAGATCATGAGATAAACCTTATTACCCTTGCTTAATATGAAGCCAGTCAAGTTCTACATAAATAACTGTATTTCTTGTCATGTTTTGTAGGAATATTTTGAATCATTAGTTCAGTACATGACATCCGGTCCAAGTCATATTATACTAATAACTAAAGGTACCACAGGTGATACTGTTTTATCAGATTGGAGAGATATGATTGGTCCAACTGATGTAGAAGAAGCCAAGGAACAAGCTCCAGATAGGTAAATAAAATATACTTAATTCATGTGAAATACTTTTTATACCTTTATAAAAAGATCAAAGTTTTCATCTATGTGTAAGTTGCTTATTGGCAATTCTCTTGTGAAACACCTCATAGACTGGATATTTCAATAGAGGCGCCAAGAAATATACAATTCTTTGTCCTGATACACCATGGTCAAACATAACTAAAATTGATCAAGAAGATTTCTGCCATGCAGTTATAATGATTAAACAATTAAAGTAAAAAAATACCAATACACATTCCTAGAATCGCAAGGAAAAGAATTTGTATTTACTGCATTGCTAAAGATGCATTATTATTATTTTTCAGTTTAAGAGCCAAGTATGGAACTGGTAATGTAATGAATGCGCTACATGGAAGTAGTTCTCCTGAAACAGCTGCCAGGTTTGTGTGGAATTTTACTGACTGGCACTTCAAACTTAAAAAGTATTCCAAATGTTTCTATAGAAAATGGATAAATATTCTTTATTTGTAAATAATATTGATATAATAATTATAAATACGTATATTTATTTTTGAATAGAGAAATGGCTTTCTTCTTCCCTGACCAAGCAGCTCCAACACATAAGAAGAGTAAAGCATCAAGTGTACAGAGAACATTAGCTTTAATTAGACCTGATGCATTTAGAACACAACGAGGTAAGATAACATAATATATAGTTTGATACATTTTGAAAGCGATAATTGCATTTTTTAAATTCATATGTTTATAATATATTAAGACAGGACCTTAAATAAACACATGGAATCTAAAGGATAATTCTATTAATGCTATAATTCACTTTTGTCAGTTAAGAAATTAACAAAAATATCATAGTCAATTATAAACATCAACGTTGAGGTTTGCCAATTCAATGGAGCGGTGTTATATTAGAACAGTATGACTTGTGCAGGTTGTCTCGGTCAACCAGGTATCTGTTTGATAGACTTTGACAATCAAGACAACTCCCATGGATTTCCCCAATCCCATTATGTAGACTAAGTCTTTCAGTGAAATGAAATGATACAATTTCCAAGTACGATGTTTTTTATATGATTATATAATAGTGATTTCACATTAATTATGTTCTGACTTTCTTAGAAAATATGCTTTTCTAAGTATCGATTTAATAGAGAGCTATTTTGGTTTTGAAAAAAGCATGTTACAAACTAAGCAAGTGTTTTCTGTAGGTTTTTGCTCACACTTGCCTATCCTGCTCGACAGGTCTTGAAACTGACCAGTCCTAGAAATAGTTAATTTGTAGACTGTCCTACATTCGATTTATTGAGCTGTGCACATGTTTTGTCAATGCCATTGGAAAATAACAGGATATAAACTGTGTCTTGTAATTTGTAATATGTATTAGGGCTGCAACGATTCACAACTACCTTGATTCGGTTCGATTATCGATTTTAACCATTCGATTATTTTCGATTTGATTATCAGCTACAATAACCAGTAATTTTTCCTGTATATAATTCATTAAAAACAATAAAAACACAAGACTAAAATTCTCTTGAACTTTCTTTTGAGATGGTTTGACAGGTTTGTTGTGTTTCCTGTTTTATGGGATATGTCAGTGTAGCATACTCTACAAGTTGCCACATCTTTAGAGTTTTTTCTTACACCAAAATGATCCCAAACTTTAGATTTCAAACGACCAGGTGGTCGAGAAAGTACGTCGTCTGCCATAATTTTACCTTTCAGTGTTTGCTTAACTACGGGTAATAATCGCTAAACACGAAAATATCCGAAGATAATGACCGGAATTATCAGCTAATGAGATCGTTTAGAATTTATATAACGATTACCGAAGCTATTGACCCAAATTAACATCCAATGAACATTCGGTACGTCACCAATTTTAAATAAATTAACTTTCGTCAGCATACGGAAACTGTTTTAAAGGGAGGTCACTCTGTTTTAGTTATGTTTTCGAGTGGCATTCGTGTTTTGTTAAATAACGTAAATTAAAAGTTACGTAAAAACAAATTTTATTTTAAATTTTAAGTGGACTTAATTGCTATAGGTCTTTCATTTTTTTTCATATGGTAAGGTGTACGTTGTTTTTATTTGAAGTTTAATTTGCAATTGAACCAAATCGAAATTTGAACGTTGTAGATCGTGGATCGAACTGAGACGGCTAGTGTCGGTTATCGGTGCACTGAACTGAATCGTTGCAGCTCTAATAGTAATATGTATGTATTTGATTGTACACATCTATTGATCTACTTGATCACATATGTACAGGATTGGTTCTTATCAGTTTGTCTGATCTATTATATCTTAAAGATGGGTTCCCAGAAAAGTATTTATCGGGTGGTTATTTTCAATAAAAGTATGGCAATTTTGGTATATATGGAAAGTAGAGATATCCAATCTTACTAGAAAAATACTAGATTCCCCGAAAAACATTCATGGAGCGTATACAGGACAAAAATGTAAGGGTTCCCCTAATCAACAGCCCGTCGATTAGGAACTTCTGCACACGTGATGTCAAAGGTCACAAGCGAACATTGAGTGCTTGATGTACAAGTTGATAAACTTTATGAAGAGTTAGACGTACAATACTTTCTGAGATAAAATGACGGAAAAAGACGCGGGTTGTGGATAATTCGAGAATTTAATTAGGATTCGATATTTGTAATAAATAGTAAGCGATTAAAGACAACATCGTTTTATGTATGCAATGAATTCTCCTCTGACTCCCAAGACGTGACGTAAACATGACCTGGTTTGATCAAATTTTAATAGCAGGGCGTTCCTTCGCAATTACAATGTTTGAGATGGATTTGAAGCATAATTATGACAAATTAATTAGTTTGAATATGTTTTTGGTCCATATATACCATTAAATCACCCAGTTTGTACGCGGGAACCCATCTTTAATGTTTACAAATTAAAGGAGCTAAATCGCTAACATTTGGTACCTAAAAATTGACAAAAGTGGGTTGCAACGCATATAATACTGTAATATGAATGTATATAAACTGATTTACATTCAATGGTTTCCGTTTTTACTTCAATTTCAAATCAGTTATGTTTGGCGCAATAAGCCAGCAGTCTCAAGCGAGTGCAAATTTCTAGCGTCTGGTTATTCCAGTCTACATACGCAATGTGTCTAGCCTCGTCCCTCAAGTCTCTTGATACATCTGGAGCTGAAGCGCATTATGGTACACAATTCGTGTACCAATGGTAAAATGTTTATTTTGTCTTAAATATTGGATATCAAAAGCCCATCTTTTTCCGGTAAGATCACAACATGAATGTTGATTTAATTTGACAAATAAATCGTGTTTTCAATGTTGAAGATTTTGGATAATATTGAGTTAGAGACTTAGCTCCTTTAATTGAAGCCTAAATGAAGTTAGGTGTTTTTAGCCATATAATGTATGTTCTGATATAAGTCTTTATTGATTTTGTAGAGGAAATATTAGAAAAGATTAGAGAATCCGGGTTTAAAGTAGCACTACAAAAAGAAATGACTTTAACTAAAGAACAAGCTGCCGAGTTTTATAAAGAACATGAAGACCAACCTTATTTCGAAGATTTAATAACAAGAATGTCCAGGTAAATATTGAATATATAATATAATATAAATATTTCTATTTAAAGTGATAGTACAAAGTTAAATTATCCAGTACTACATGAAGGCACCACTGAAATTGTTATTTCAAGATAAGCTGAATACATTTGTCAAATTTGGATACTCTAGAAACATTAATAATATGTTCTATATATCTCTATTAAAATGGATGGTAGATATGGTGTCGGAGGTCCAACACATAAGTCCGGTCTTCGAATCAAGTGTCATGATTTCGATTCAACACTTATACTTGACAAGGATATAAGCTGTTATCTGCCTAATCTCATTCAATTTTCTTGGGGGTTTCCAGTGCATCCCAGACCTAATGACTCCTTCATAAACATTATAATTTGGTTATCCTGAAATGACCTATTTCTCTGTCTGTTTCAGTGGACCATTAATGGCATTAGGTCTTGCTAGAGATGATGCTGTACAAGGCTGGAGAGAAATGTTAGGGCCAAAAGAAGTTGAAAAGGCTAAAACAGAAGCACCAGAGAGGTTTGTGTTTTTGATATATAATTTAATGTTGGTGATGTAACATACTTTGCACAAGATGGACGTAACATCAGTAATATACTAATTAAACATACATTATGCAAGAGCTAAATCTGCCAATTGTAGGTCTTTCTTTAGGCCTGAAATGTTATCTAAATTATTAATTAGACGTTAATTAACTTATCCAGACCATAATCAACTCTCGATGTCATTGCTAGCCTGTGACATTAACTGGATTATAATCCGATCTGCCGCTCAACGCTCATTCATGATTAAATCAAAAAAATGGATAATCGAGACTGTTTTTTATCATACCGACGTTAGTAATGATGATCGAGGCTATGCTCAAAATTCAATCGCTAAATTCTCGGTTCAGAGTGGATCAATTTGACTGAAATTTTCAGCAAATTCCCTTTACATTATCTATTTTTCAACTATTATAGTGAGAACTGCTAGCTCTTTATCTAATCTCCCATAATATATCTTTAAAAAGATACCTGAATTGTTTTGATGTCATTTCAGTAATTAAATAAATAAGAATAAATTGGGTTCAAATAAAGGGTTGAAATGACTTTGGTTTATTTTCCAGTTTACGAGCTCAGTTTAGTGTAGAAGATGTAGAAATTAATCAACTTCATGGTTCTGATTCACCAGAAACAGCACAGAAAGAATTAGAATATTTCTTCCCAATGGAACAAACAGTAGCTTGTATTAAACCAGATGGTATAGGAACTAAAGGTAATATATATTATTATTTTATCATATATTACTTTTCTATTTAACATGTTAACTTTTCAACAGTTATCATTTGGAGAGCTATTTTTCACAAACAACACTATACGTCCATATTTTGTTGGTCTATCCAGTGGAGTCAACCATTGTCATGTGAATGTATATTGTCGTCGGCCCGTCCGGACCTCCATCCATCCACAATTTGTTTATGAACACTTCGCAATTTTTATCTGATTCTTGTAATGACACTTGAAATATATGTTTATCTCACACAGATCTCGGTTCCTTTCAATATTGGCATGTATTGAACCGTAACATAATGGATTATGGCCCCTGATTGTATGAAAAACCATGTTTTTAGCTCGTGGACACTCTAAAGGACCCATTTTCTTTTAACCGATTAAGATGAAACTTGAAATTTATGTTTATAACCAAAAGATTTTGGTTCCTTTCTATATTTGCGCATATCGGACAGTAACTTCCTGGATTATGGCCCCTGATTGTACGTTTTGAGCTTGTGGACCCTCTATAGGTCACAACTTTTATCCGATTTTAAAAACTCTTCTAGTATATCACCGTTAAACCCTGAAGAAGGATGAGGTCAAATTTTGTCGAAATTGGAATGAAACTGCCCGACAAAATAGCCGTTCCCCATACGCAAACAGTGTAATTTGAAATACTAAGGTTGTGGACCCTCTAGAGGTCACAATTTTTATTCGATTTTGATAAAACTTAAAATATATGTCTATATTCTAAAGACCACAGTCCCTTTCGATATTTGCGCATATCGGACAGTAACTGTCTGTCTGAATTATACCCCTGATTGTATGAAAAAAATCACGTTTGTTTAGAATGTGGACCCTCTGGAGGTCACAATTTTTGTCAGATTTTGATCAAACTTGAAATGTATGTTTATACCCCAAAGTTCTGGGTTCCTGTCAATACCTGGACCATAATTTCCTGGATTATGACCCCTGATTGTACGAAAAATAGCTTTTTTTTTTTTAGCTCTGTCCATCTCTTGCAGAATGTGGGCGTATCTTGCAAGACTTACACTTTACAATTTCATGTGGACTCATGCTATAATTTGATTGTTTCAGATGCTATTGTTGATAAAATACACGAAGCAGGTTTTAGAATTGCTGCTCAGAAAGAAACAACAATTACTAAAGACATAGCTGAAGAATTTTATGCTGAACATAAAGATAAAGAATATTTTAATGATTTAGTTCAACATATGTGCAGGTAAGTGTCATGGTGGATGATTACGATTTAATGTTTTAGTTTGACTATATAACTGTAGGTTCAACAGTGTTTTATAAAAACAACGCAAAACCTTAATAAAGGAGAAGTCATGTGATTGCAGACATAGGCGTACGAGCTGGGGGGCTAAGGGGGGGGGGGGCGGCTGCCCCCCCATTTTGGGCACCAAATGCTGGGAAAATTTGGGCACACAATTGTACTTTGTAAAAGTTGTATAAAAAAATATTGTGTTTTTGAATGCGTCCAATTTAACAGCGAATTTAAATTCAGAGTGTCTATAGTTAGGCAATTCAATAGAAATCTTAAGACTCGAACCCTCTATTGTTTGGAGTACAGTAAGCCACGAATTACAGTTACATAAACAACTGTTTTTAGTTGTGTATATTACAAGTAAATAAAATTTAGTTATCTTTTATTGATGATTTAGAAATTAAGAACTTATTCATCGCAAAAGAGATATTATGATTATTATGTAACATACTATAATAAGAACCTAACTACATTTTTGGGGCACCAACCACCACCGCCGCCCCCAGTCAAAAATTTCCCCGTACGCCTATGATTGCAGATTCTTTATAGTTTATTCATGATCTAGTACCAATCATTTCATCTTTATATAAAAAGTTAACATGTAGACTTTGACATTATAAGTGCAACTGTCATCCATTGTAAACAAAAAAGCACATTATGTTATCTAGCACATGGTATAAATAAATAGTCATAAAACTGGTCTATTTAACAACAGCTCATGTTTTATAGAAGATGAAGTGTAGCTATCCTGATGACAGCCAGCGTGTTAATTAAAAACTAAATAGATTTTACTTTGGGTTCTGCATTGTTGAAACTATTTTGATTATAAACAAAAAATAGAAAGACATGTCTGTAACAGCTTATAACATTTACAACATGAGATTTTATGTTTTTCTGTTTAAATGGTGTAAATTTTAAGTCACCTTGATAACTTGTTACGGAGTATTTATTGTAAATTCTGATTGTTTTGTGTGTAATTAACAGTGGGCCAACTATGTTTATGGTATTATCCCGAGAAGATGCTGTATCAGGTTGGAGAGAAGCTATTGGACCAACTGATCCAGAAAAGGCTAAAGTTGAAGTACCTGACTGGTAAGAACTTATTTAAAAAATGTAAAGCCTAACTTGAAATCTCTACTCTAATTATAAATTCACAATAATTACTATGTTTTATAAATATATAAGTTTGAGAGGGATTGACTGGCTGAGTAGTCTAAAGTGTGTCCTGATCATGAGAATTGTCATCTATGCAAACCATGAGTTTGATCCTACACATGAATCTGACAAGTGTCACATGCCTAACCTCATGTGTGCTTTCCTGCATGCAAAACAATTATTGAAATAGTAGTAGTGTTGAGTGTCTGTTAAACTTCTCTCTCCGCCCATCCCAATAAAATGTATTTACATCAAAATGTATGAATTATAATAGCTTTATTCATTTTACTTTCAGTATTCGTGCAATGTTTGGATCTAGTGTGTTGGAGAATGCTGTTCACGGCAGCTCAAATACGGAACATGCTAAAAAGTCAATAGAACAAGTATTTGGACATCTTGAATTTAACTCTGATGGTACTGTAAAAGGTAGTTTTTATTTTACCCTGACATTGTGGTGGACCTGTGCATGCTTGCCATACCCTTTCCCCTTCCCAACTCAAATCTCTATATTCAGATCAATCTGAAGTTTGGGGGAAACTTTCGGCAAAATCAGATAAAATTATCAATTAAAAATCTTTGAATAAATGCAAATTATTTAGTTATCAGAAAATTTTAATTTTAACATTTTCACAATTTATTCTTGAAAATTATGCATGTAATTATAATGGTAAAGATATTTATTTCTACGCTTGTAAAATAATCTCTTGGTAAGATCTTAATGTTGTGAAGGATACTCATACTCAATGTTAGAAGTGAATTAATAGGGCAGAATATGGATATAATGCTTATAGATGTCTTATGTTAATTAATTTATGTTAATTAATAATCTTTTATGTTAATTAATTTATTTTAATTAATAACCATTTATGTAACATTTATATTTGATTCTTTCAGAATAGTCTTTAACATACTTTTTAAATTTTCATATATTCTTTCTTTCTCTTTTATAAAACCCTTCCGTTTGGTGATGGGTATGTTTACCTCCTTTAATCCCTGTAGAAGTAAGAGCTCTATATCTATGTTGTGATGTCATAATATAATTACTGGTAACTATAATGCACACGTTGGCCCATGACAGTGGTATTGTATGAATATGTTGAAAATGTACAATGAAGCCTATTTAAATTGACATATATTATCCAGTTTAACTACATTCTGCAAAAAGTCAATCCATTGCAGCTAGGACATCTTATATGATCTATTCTAATCCCCCCAAAATGTTTTTACATATATATACATTGAAGGAGTACAATCACACAAAATAGCAATCATTTGCATGTGTAAAATCGTATTAAATGTTTTACTGAGTTTACTCAGTTTAAAGGTCTTGCTAAAATGTTAGTGGCATGTGACTTGTTGAATGAAAATGGGCATGCAGCATGAAGTATGGTTATTGTGATGTATATACTTGTGAATGAATAGTGAAATGTCTTAAAAGATCATACTTGATTCTGAACAATTATATATCCTCGGCATGAATTATTATATCACTGTGAACTCTAACAAAGAAAGCTCTATTTGAATTCAAAATGGAAATCAACTACTTATAAACAGATATTTATTTTATCAGATGATCGGTTACAATAAGAAACATATGTTTATATCAGAGCTTTCACTTCAAAATCATGCCAGCTGGTCAATGTTTGATATATTTTTTTCAAAAAAAGATCCTTTTTAGATATATTTTTTTCATGTTTTTACACATACAAACTACATGTATATTATATGTATTTTATGGGTTAATTTCATTAATTGATTGACACATAAGTTAGCCAGATAGTCAATTTTCTAACTGGCTAATATAACTGAAATGAGAGTTCTGATCGATATATAGAAAACATACACTTTTGGTAATGATTATATTCTGGCCAATTATTAATTCCAATTTTAAATTTTGTTTTAGAAATGAAACCTGTGAATGAACAGGAAGAACAAGGTATGTAAACAATGGAATTATTATTTCAGTTTTAATCATTTAGAGTTATGGACATTATATTATTTTTTGTTCATGTAAATTATGAGCTTTTGTAAGTTTAAATTAGAAGCTGTTGTTTAAATTAATATCCATTTTATATTATATAGCTGAAAGACGATCACCTGTAGATCAAGTTGCTGAAACAGCTCCTGAAAATAAACCAGGTAGACACAACGATATAAAACTCAATCTGATTAAAGCATAGATCTTATTTCAGTTCGTTTTTTGCAGTTCAAAATTTCGTTTTACTTGTCCTCAACTACACTAGGATCTGGAAGAGTTTTTATATAACCTGAGTTCTGGCTGATGTGAGGGATTAGCAAATGAAACAGTCTATTGCAGCGAGTTTTTTTGCGTGCGATGCACAGAACTGTGGGTATCTTACTAGAAACATTAACGTTGATTGGTTAATCAAATGTCTGACACCATAGGGTCAAAAGCTGCTTGTATTACCTCTGACGCGACCTCTCACCACAACTGGTCAGATCTTCATGCAGTAGAGGCCATCGAGAGTATAAAAAACGGAAACGAAATATAGATGTGTATTTTAATCAGATTGTATTAAACCCTGTTAATTCTATCTTTCCTTACAGATGTATACTGCCATATAAGATGTTCTTTCAATTTATTAACAAATTTATTTTTAAATAGTCATTCAAATTTGTACCTCCTGTCTCTTTATATCAGTGATTCTCAACCTTTTTTGCCAACTGCACACCTTGGAACACCTGGCTAGATTTCTATAAAAAAATATTTTGATTTTGCTGAATAAAAACATGGCAAGTCATAGACGGCATACAACCGTAGACACAGACTAGTGATAGAAACATAGAATGACTCAACTCAAACTAAATAGACACATTAAACAACTCAAACTAAATAAAGTGAAACACAGTTATGAACTAACCAGTAGACACCAGCTAGTGAATGCTCAATTGGGATCACATGGTTTTTCACATTTTCTTAGTGTGCCGTTCAAAATTTCGCGGCCCACTTAGGAAGATCTTGTAGTGTTTGAGAATCACTGCTCTATATATACAAAATTATGTTTACTACATTCCAACATATTTTATTAATTGTTTTTTGTTCAGATGAAGTTGAAAATAAATCTGATGAAACCAAAGGTATTTATACTGTTCTGTGATTTTTTGCACTTAAAATACAATATAGATAAATTTAAAGAAACACCATTAAACTACACACAAAATTGATTTAACTGTTTTGTGGTTTTGTTGAAATAATTGAAGCAGAAACAGCACCACAAAAGTGCACCTTAAAGCATTTCTAATTTTGCACAATCTTGAAATTAAATGTATGTTGTAATGTTAATGTAAAGCACATTCATGTCATTTTTGTTGTTGTTTTTTTTGCTTGTTTTTTTTTCATGTCTATAATATTCAAAACAATTCTGTAATTGTGAAGGATATCAAACCTTCAGAAATTACTTGTTCAATTTAATAGAAAGTGTAATCTTTTAGAAATCTAGAATGTAAACAAACTACCGAAAATGATTTAATTGTAAAAGTGAAATTAAATCTAATAAACTTACAGATAATAGTAAAACCGATTCAGATAAACCTACAGATGATAGTAAAACTGATTCAGATAAACCTACAGATGATAGTAAAACTGATTCAGATAATAAACCGACAGATGACAGTAAAACCGATTCTTATAAAACCACAGATGATAGTAAAACTGATTCAGAAAAACCGACAGATAATAAAACTGATTCTGATAAACCGACAGATGATAGTAAAACCGATTCTGATAAACCGATAGATGATAATACGATTGTAAGAGATAGTAAACAGATAGAAAACAAAACAACTACAGGTTTAATAATATCTAATATCATCAGTGTATTTTAGAACTTGCATATATATATCACAGTTTTTGGTATTGCTTTACACCTAGCTTACATCCCCATATATATACATATACCTGTCCTATGTATTATTGCAATGTTGTTACCACCTGCTCTTTCACCAGATGTTTTCATTAGTACAACTGTAGTATCAGCGACTTCTAATGCTTTATCTTTCTTGATATTTGTATCTGTTTCTATAATAATAACATTTTTTTTTTCCCCAGTTACCCTTCAGTCTCTGTAGTTGTAAAACTGTATATTAAAGATACATTATGTAAGATTTAGATAAAGAGCTAGCCATTCTTGCTATAATAGTTTGAAAATAGATAACCTAAAATGAATAATTTGAAAATTTCATTCAAATTACTCTATTGCGAGCGAACATATGAGCCTTTGAAGGTTTGACAAGACGTGTGCAATAATTTCAACCACGGTACTGGCTGTCCGAAGCTAAGTCTCGCTCCTCCATTTTTAGCTTAAATCAAAATATGTCTGAACTGTTCTAATCTATTTAATATCGGAAAAATCTGATGCAATCGAGAGTTGATTATGGCCTGGATAAGTTAATTAATGTCTAATTAATAATTTAGAAAACATTTAAGCCCCAAAGAAAAACCTGCAATTTAGGCAGATTTAGTTCTTGCATAATGCATATTTAAATTATGGTATTTTGTTTGTTAATATGACCACATTCTGCTTGCCTCAAGTATTGTATGGCAGATCGTCTGATCAAATCCCCAAAATAGTTTCAAAGATGTTTTTCACTAATAATTTACAGATCCAATTGGGTTTTCTTAAAATACTTTCAGTTGACCTAAATATTTATGATTCTTATTAATGCAAGAAAGGCAATCTTCGTCTGATAAATCATCGAATGATAATCTGCAGTGAATCGTCTGATTATGCCTAAGACATGGCGTATGTAAATTGTGGTTGTATTGTACACTAACCCTCCTGCTATCCATCCTAATTTGTTTAAACTGGTATAATTAGTTCACCATTTGCCTTTAAATTTTTGTATATTGTGTTCAGTTGTGGTGACTTTTGGTTAGACATTCATCGCTTCATAACATTAACATCTTTGCACAGCAAGTGTAACAGCACATTATTGCCTTTCCTAGATTGGCCCTGTCCGCCCAAAATTGCTTGTGGACGCTCTAGAGGCTAAAGTTAATATCCGATTGACTTAAAATTTATACACAGTGTTAAGGTCATGAGATGAAGAATCCTATTGATTTTCAATGATTTCTAATAATCACTGCCAGAATTATGGCCTTTGATCACTTTGAAAATTCTTGTTGATGCTCTAGAAGCTAAAGTTAATATCCGAATGGCTTTGCATTCATGCAGTGTTTCATGTCATGAGACACAGAAGCCTTTTGATTTTTAATAGTTTAGGGCAGAACAATTTCTGATAATTAATGGGTTGTTACTCAGAATCAGATTTGAGTGTCTTATAAATGTTTTCATTACTGGGCAAAAGAAAAACTATGCGACGGCCGACAACCCTTGTTGACTGCCTGGGCGACTTTGCTTTTTGGTGTATGTTTCGTTGCCTGGCAACCTATCTGTTTTGTTTAGATAATTAAATAAAGGAAGTCAATCACGTCTCTTTTAGTATTTTGTTAGTTATGTTTGTGTTTTGCAGTTGTTTTTATTAATTTCAAATTGCATGTCATAATATTTGTTGTCATTAAATTTTAAGCCATGTACAAATTATTTTAAAAATTTGTGGTTGCTTGTCACCAGACTAATCTAATGTTTCACAACTTATCGGAACCTACACTTTGTATTTTTTTTTAAATATTTGCACCAATTTTGAGCACAATTTATTTTTTCACTAGAAACTCCTGAACAAACTGAAAAATCTATTGAATCAGACCAAACGGAAGACAAAACACAAGAAAGCAATTCTGGGCAGGAAGCATCTGACCAGTCAAAGCCAAGTGAGGAGACGGCAACTGCTGAGGAAAGTTCAGCCAATCAAGAGGAAGATAAAAAACCTGGTTCAGAGGATCAGTCAAATGATTCAAAACCAGAAGCTAAAGGTGAACCAAGAAAAAAACAAGGGCTGAATGGATAACGTTGAAATGGGAAAATTGTCATTTTTATTTGCACACTTTATTTAATGTAATATTGAGCAGGAATTAAACCCTCAAATTTGTTGACACAGTTTACTAATACTAGTTTCTAATTTTTTTTTTTTTATAACCCTCAAAACAATGAAAAAGCACTGCACACAAAAGTTATATTGAAATGTCTAATTTTTTGTCTATGTGATTAGAGCAAAATTCTTGTTTTTGTTTGTAAAAGTTTACATTTAATTTTTTTACAGAAGAGGAATCTTCGGACAAAAAAGATGAAACTGTAACGGGTTAGTAAGAAAAGCTTTTACTAGCTTATATTTGATAAAATCCAAGTGCTATTCTTTAAAAATGTTCCATAAATAATATGATCGACTTGATACCCCTGTGGGTTTTATCCAGATACTTAATTAGTTTGCCACTCATTGCATAGATTCATCACCAGAGCTAAAATATATGTTGCTAGTAAATAACACAAAATTATATTAAAAGAAATAAAACAAAATATAGATTAGAAACCGAGTAAGATATCATTGCCGCCATATGAAAAGTCTGTCAATCAATGAGCAATTGTCTCAAGTAACAAGCATGCCAAGTTTCATGTTGATAGTAAACCTACTAGAATTGGCTTGAGTTTAAGGTTTTTGCCCCCAAGAAAAAAAAGAAGGCAAGTGGCACTTGGGAACCAGTTCCTTGCCCAAGAATACTTTATCAAATAAGCAAAATATTTAATTTCCATAAAATAAATGAAATGAAATTTAGGTTTTATGTCATTTTAGAAGGTGGAGACAAAGCTGAAGAAAGTAAAGAAGAGTCTAAGACAGAAGAATCTACGGAAGGTGCTGCCAAAACAGACGACAATGAAACAAAACCAGAAGATGCCAGTGCCAAAACAGAAGGTGAGGAACTGAAAATTTCAATACATTTGTATCGAAGACAGTAGCATATAATTTAAATGAATAACTAATTTGGTATTCAAATAAATGGTTACGAATATCATTAATTTTATTTTATTTCAAAGCTATTTTCTGTCAAATATAAGTTTTTAAAATTTCTTTTGTTTATTCTATTTCAGGGGCATCATAATTCGAAAAGAATATTAGAAAACTAAGCATATAATTTAATTGAAAAACATCTGATAGTCACAATAAAAACCATTGGTTTAAGATTCCATCCAAAATAGAAAATTGCCTTATTTTATTAAAATTAACATCTACAAGTTCCTATACCTTGAATACATTATACTAGCGTGAATAGTAAAGGAACAATCTAAGCATTAATTAGTGAAAGACCAATCTAGGACTTAATAATTGTGAAAGACCAATTTAAGCATTATTTGTAAATATTTTGTTGTCATCTCCCGTCATTTTATTTATATCATCTATTTTAGTAAAAGCATTATTTGTCATTTGTTTGTTATATTATGTACTGTGATAGAATATTTAATAATATGTTAAAAATATAATTTATTTACTTATAAATTTTGAACAGCCAATGATGGTGTTTTAATTTCTTTTCCCCCACTTTTTGAAGAAAGCAGGGAACTATATTAAAATGGCTTTGTTCTTTCCTTCAGCCAACCGTCTGGTTACACCTCTTTTGAGGTAGAATATTCAAACTTTGTGTAGATGTCTCTGAATGATATGACTGAGTTGAATGATATGACTGAGTTTGATGATTAACATTTTCTGCTATGGCTAAGCATAGATAAGCAATTTGATTGATTGATGCTTTTGGACATAACTTTGATTCTAATTGAGGAAGAGTGATGAAACTCAGTGTATAGTTTAACTATATTTGTCATCCAAACCATGTTTATTTAGGGATTGAGGCGGGCAGATATTGGCCCCACTTTCGATTAAGTGCAGGAGGACCACACATTTAACCCACAAACCAGTGGACAAGACGTACAATATACCAGCAGTAAACATATCAGATCAGTGCATGAATGTATACTCTTCAAAAAAAGTAGGGGATATTCAGAAACAATACAAATCTGCGGAAATGCACTGCTGTTTTTATTAGAGGTAACCAGTGTATGTTAATAACAGGCCAATTGCCTACACATGAACATAAACAGTTCATATGGGTGGCTTATCTGACGGCCCCATTTCACTGCAAAGAGATACACTGTCAAAAGTGAAAATGGACGTTTGGGTTTTTTGTCTTAATAATGAGTAATTGCTCCACCAATCCTCAGACATTCAGCAATTGATCATGGTATGCTTCTAATCAACCGTCCAATCACGATTTGGGGCAATCTGACCCATTCTACTTGCAGTGCCACGGCCAATTCTTGCAGTGTTGTCGGTTGACGTCGACGAACCGATACGAAAGCAAACGTGGATAGGATAAACCAGCAAGCGGCAGTTTTCATCAACCCTTCCTTGAAGTGTCAAATTTGACAATGAACCCCTCCCACGTGTATGGTGCTGATGCGAGTCGCATGTGCAGCTCAGTGGTTCTGTTGGGGCAATATATATAAGTAATCTGTGAACATACTCTCAAAGCATGTCAAGTGTCCATGACTATTTATCATATCACAACCTGCATAGGTATTTGCATTTCAATATCCCCTACTTTTTTTGAAGAGTATATATGTTAAGCCCCATTGAACCTGTTATCAGATTAGCTGTAAAAAAAAAAATGTTAATGGAGCTTAAAAAAACTTAAAAATATTTTTTCTACCTCTAAATGTCTTCCATAATGCATTAATCATTTCATTGGCTTATTTTGTATCAAAGAGAATGTTTAATATTAAACAAAATTTGAACTGTAAAAAAAAAATAAATAAAAATGGAATAGGATCGTACAACTGAATCTGGAAATCCCTATAGTTGTCAGAGTAAATCACATAACTGAATGGATCACTATAGTGGTGAACATGTAGACAGTTCCCTGCACCAGACTGGCTTATCAATGACTTCATTCTGACATCTCAATTCTGGTCAATTGTATTTTTTTTTTTGATATCGCTAAATATAAAGGTAGATTTGGTTCCTTGTGCTAATATTTATTATGCAAAATATGTACTGGTAATTTGATGATAAATTTACCTAATCAAAAGTTGTTATAGGCTTCTTAACATTCAAGTCATTCGTAAGGTAACTTTAGCCTCTTGAGCATGCACAGTGAATGAAATGGGGTTTAATGATCATGGAAAATTGATCAAGGGCCATAACTAATGATTGGAAATCATATAGGATAACCAAGACAATAACTGCTTTTAATGATTCAATTTTATTTAAGATTACTGTGTATATATTATATGTATTGATGTTCGACTAGATACAATATTATCATTATAGGCAATATCACAATAATTGACTTTATTGACTGCATGTAATTACAAAATATTTGTGTTAAATCACTCTATAACTACAGAATCAAGATGGTAACATTTTCTAAAAACACTTTCCCCGTCTACAAAATAAAGAAATTTGATGTTGGCAACCAATGCACGACAGAATTATTTACATTCAAATAAGATATAAAATAAGTTGATAATATAATTCAAAACAAAGGTTTCCTCTACAATAACACAGACAATATGTACCAAGATAAGTACAATAACTGAACACATTGTAATTAGCATAATAAAGGGGAGAGAGAACTGAAGGCTTGGTAAATAAATATGGGGTTGATTTGATCAGATCTCATCTGCTGTATAAAAAACCCCACTTATATGGAATGCAAGTTACCTTTATGTTTATTTCTAACAACTTTGTGATGGTGCCATCATATTTTTTTTTTTTATACTCATTATTTTGCCTTATGCCTGGCATTTTATTTACAACAATTGACTGTTAATTTTATAACACCACATCCAGTTTGTGTATGATTCAAACTACATGTCTTCCAATACAAGAAAGATAATAAAATATAAAAATCTGCATCGAGTTATGTTTTCTTTTCAGTCAGAAAAGACGTTCCAAAAATTTGCTATCACTGAGTCATCCTAAGTCAAAAGACAGACGTTTAACTAAACACATCAGGTGTAATCAAATATTTTCGCATTGATCATATGTAATTTTTTTTCATAATTATTTAATCCAACTAAATAAATATGTAAGATCGACAACAATATAAATACTCTCTACTAATATATACAGTTTTTCCAATTATATATAATACAGCAGTAGTATTGTATGAAACAAAGTTTTCTAGTATAAAATATATAATAACAGTAATAATAATTCTTCAGCACATGCATCAATCTTTTATTTTCATTTTGTGAACAATCTATTTTCAAAGTAGACCACACTATTCTCTGTCTATAATAAAACTAGGGAATTGTAGGCACTTCTATCTCCTTCAATTTCTTAAATGTGTTAATTTTTGTAGTGCATACCCATTATTTGAGTCAAAAATGAAACCGTGAATTTCCTTGGATTTTATGTGTTGATTTGTCTTAAATAAAGTTAGATGAGTTATAACTTATGGTGAACAAAATATAACAATAAAATAAGTAAACAAACCAAATTTGCTTAATTTTCTGAAACAAAAAGGTTTATTTCCAATGGCAAGGTACTTATACAGTATAGTGCTTGAACCTTAAAATAATGGGATGTCATGTGTTGATATACATTTTTTTGTTAATATTCTTTTTGTCATACATTATACCAGTCAAATGATATGTTTGTTTTCATAAAAGAGAGGTCACAATAAATAGTGTTTATCACAACACTGAACCAACTACATTAATATCACTCTAAGATTGGGTGTCATTCTTCACACAAATTATTATCACAATTGAACATTTTTTGCAATGGCACATTTTCAAGGATTATTGTAAATTCTGTAATATTGCTTCACCTTATATCAATTAATTGTAATTCGTCGGACAGAAAACAAACTTCTAATCAAAATAAGAATTAAAATATTGTTTGAAATTCAGTGTCTTAGATATTACCCAAATTAAAAAATGGCCTATGTTATGAGAAATGATATTCAATTATCTGTTAAATATATCTTTATTATTGCACTAACTTGAGATAATAAAAAATCTTAAGATGAAAAGTAAAAATCTATAAGAACATGAGAATTATGCAGGGTTTTTCTTTTGTTCGAGTAATGATAAGTACATGTATGTAAGAAATTTATACATTTATATACAAGATCACACATAATCTAATATTAACAAACATTTATCCTTGCCTTAAGTCCCAACATACCAGAATAAAGTTTGATTTTAAGATGTGGTTTCGTGCAGCAAACAAAGACTTCTTACTTTAAACTAATTTCAAACCTATTTCTATAATCTTAAGTTTTCTTAATTATGAATGGAGATTTTAATATTTTTGATTTAAAAAAAATAAGTTCAACAATGACTGTTTCAAATTGTACAAATGGGGAAAATAGTCAAGAGTTGCTCAAAGACACAAAGTGGAAGGAACAATTTTGGAACTTTTTATACACCTAATACATTCACACCCAAAACTTCTATTAACTAGGTAACTTATTTAATTTTGTTATACTGTGTGGTTTTTCTGTAGTTAGTTTTACTTATTGATAATAATTTAGTTTATACATATATGCCTATGTCACATAATTAAAAATATTTTAAATCTATTTGAGAAATAAAATACTAATATGTACATACAGTTTTTATTGTAACTGTAAAAATATTCATTCATTGTAATTAGTAGAAATAGATATTAAAATTATAATAATACAATAAATATATAACAAGAAACTATAGTTGGCCTAGTGTGTAAACATATATAAAATACTTTCTAAAGGCACTAGTACCGGTATTCTTAACAATAATATGACACTCATTAAAATACACATCTTATACTTGTCTTATGTCTCCCCTTTCAGTCCCAGCAATTAGGCAAAAACTAAATAAATATTTTATAGCACTTTTTATTTCACTGACCTTCATTATTATAGATATATTATAACAGGTCAAACAAACAAATTTATAAGATTCATAGCTACATAGCTAATACAGTCAAGGTAAAAGACTTGATATTGTAATGATGTTTTAACCATATATACACAGACTTGTATCAGAACATTACTCATATACCAGCACATTACACTAATAATGAGAATAACTTTGAATTCAGATCTCAGTTTAAGCATATAATTATGGTAACAAAGGACAGAGAACAATTTCAACCCAAGATCTATATTTTAATGAGATTTTGACGAGATCACTTTGTAACTAACAGAATATATCATCTACTTGTATTTACATCAGCATTTATACACAACAGACATTTTATAAACAATATATACTAATTCTTAAAATATGGACATTCTCTTCTGTTTTCCCTTCAGACCAATAATAATGAGTTTACCATCTTTAAGACCAGCTAATAGATGACTGTTACCACTGGTCACACTTAAACATGTTATAGGCACTAATAATGGTATTGTGGTGATTGTTTTTAATCTGTAAATATATAATGTAATTAATCTAAATTCAATCATAGACCAATTGGTAATGGTGATTCTACATAAATTGCATACATTAACCAGAATACTCTTTTCAATGCCCTAATACAGTAAACCATTTAAAATTCAGCTTGCAATATATATATACAATATAGTACACATTTTTGTCCCCCGCCTTTCGAAGAAAGCAGGGGACTATTAAAATGGGTTCGTCCGTCTGTCTGTCTGTCTGTCTGTCTGTCTGTCCGTCCGTCTGTCTGTCCGTCACACTTTTTGGGACACAATAACTCTCTTCCTAATTGAGCTAGAATGTTCAAACTTGGTGTATGTGTTTATTAGGTCAATGCCTTGATGGAGTTCGAAGATGAGCATTTTCCGCTTAGGGTAAGCAGAGATAAGCAATTTGATTGGTTGATGCTTTGGGACACGATAACTCTCTTCCTAATTGGGCTAGAATGTTCAAACTTGGTGTATGTGTTGATTAGGTCAATGCCTTGATGGAGTTCGAAGATGAGCATTTTCCGCTTAGGGTAAGCAGAGATAAGCAATTTGATTGGTTGATGCTTTGGGACACGATAACTTTTAATTGAGCTAGAATGTTCAAACTTGGTGTATGTGTTTATTAGGTCAATGCCTTGGTGGAGTTCAAAGATGAGCATTTTCCACTTAGGGTAAGCAGAGATAAGCAATTTGATTGGTTGATACTTTGGGGCACGATAACTCTCTTCCTAATTGAGCTAGAATGTTCAAACTTGGTGTATGTGTTGATTAGGTCAATGCCTTGACGGAGTTCGAAGATGAGCATTTTCCGCTTACGGTAAGCAGAGATAAGCAATTTGATTGGTTGATGCTTTGGGACACGATAACTTTAGTTCTAATTAAGTGAGATTGATGAAACTTGGTGTATAGTTTCATTACAGTAATACCTTGACTAAGTTCGATAATGAGCATTTTCTGCTCAGGGTAAGCAGAGCGATAAGCAATTTGATTGGCCGAGACTTTGGAACACAATAACCCTCCTTCTAATTGAGCTAGAATGTTCAAACTTGGTGTTGGTGTTTATTAGGTCAATGCCTTGATGGAGTGTGAAGATAAGCATTTTCTGCTTAGGATAAGCAAAGATAAGCAATTTGATTGGTTGATGCTTTGTTTGGGACACAATAACTTTAGTTTCAATTAAGTGAGAGTGATGAAACTTGGTGTATAGTTTCATTACATCAATACCTTGACTAAGTTCGATGATGAGCATTTTTTGCTCAGGGTAAGCAGAGCGATAAGCAATTTGATTGGCCGAGTCTTTGGAACACAATAACCCTCCTTCTAATTGAGCTAGAATGTTCAAACTTGGTGTAGGTGTTTATTAGGTCAATGCCTTGATGGAGTGCGAAGATAAGCATTTTCGGCTTAGGGTAAGCAAATATAAGCAATTTGATTGGTTGATGCTTTGGGACACGATAACTTTAGTTCCAATTAAGTGAGAGTGATGAAACTTGGTGTATAGTTTCATTACATCAATACCTTGACTTAGTTCGATGATGAGCATTTTCTGCTCAGGGTAAGCAGAGCGATAAGCAATTTGATTGGCCAAGACTTTGGAACACAATAACCCTCCTTCTAATTGAGCTAGAATGTTCAACCTTGGTGTAGGGGTTAATGAGGTCAATGCCTTGATGGAGTGCGAAGATGATCATTTTCTGCTTAGGGTAAGCAGAGATAACCAATTTGATTGGTTGATGCTTTGGAAGTGGAACACGATAACTTTAGTTCTAATTAAGTGAGAGTGATGAAACTTGGTATATAGTTCATTACATCAATACCTTGACTAAGTTCGATGATGAGAATTTTTTGCTTAGGCCAACGAGCAATAAGCATGTTGATTGGTCAAACTCTTCTTCTAATTGAGGTAGAATGTTTAAACTTGATGTAGATGTTCGTCTTGACTGAGTTCAATGATTAACATATTGAGCTAAAGCTAAGCAGAGATAAGCAATTTCCTGCTTTGGGACAAGATAACTTTGATTCTATCTGATAGAGAGTGATGAAACTTAGTTTATAGTTGATAATCAGTTTGATTGCTTGATACTTTGGAAAAAAATAGATGTGCGATTAATTAATATGTGTCATCTATTTATTTGGGGATTTCGGCGGGGGACATCAGCCTCACTGTTGGCTTGTTTTTCATAGATTTGATACAGTTTATATATATGTGGATTTGTATTCACATGAGATGAGAAGTGAAGGTTGCCTTTGATCATTATATTCCAGATGTATACTCCACAAGTGAAATACAAACCAAATCAGGTTTTAATAACTGGTGGTCACAAACTTGGGGACAAATTTTCTAAATCTGAGGGGAACATTTTCCACGGACAAACAGATGATAAATAAGTACTGTAAAACACTTTACACTTTTATTGAAGTACAACTTACCCGAACAGCTGTTTCATGATAAGTTGTCCCTGATTATCGCCCATTATAAGATGCTCTCCTGCTAATATCATGTGACCTAAACCAGACATCAATGTTTCTGTGACCAAATGTTTACCATTAATAGAATATACATGTAAGGTATGTTTCTCCTGAAATTAATAGAATATACAATATATGTAAGGTATGTTTCTCCTAAAATTAAACATATTACTAATACTGAAAGTTTCAGATCCACATCTGTATAAAAGAAAGATATCAAACCAAATCCATCAATAGAGGGAATGTCTACCTTAATTCTAGAAGCCGATAACTACCCCTTATGCTTTTTTTTTTTTTTCTAAACAATATTTTATTGAATATTAGGATTATGAAACAGGCAAAGCCTAAATAATCCCTCTCCCCTTTTGTTCTTCATTGCCTTCGTGGGAAATGAGTGCAAAGGCAAGAAATGACCAATGCAAAACTAAGATGTCACTTTTAACTGTCAAAATTTTGAAATGAGACATAATTTGATGATATCATCTCAAAATACATTAGTTTCCTTATCTCAAGATCCATCACTACGTTCTCGTGTCAAGGTCCACGCGTCAACTTCCAATAGTGTATACGTTATATAAAAGCTTAATTAGGATTTTCCACATATTGTCAAACATTAATTTTGATATGATACTGTACATTCTAACTGTTGAAGCTACTAACCTGAGTACAGCTTTTATTAACTTCTTTACAATATAAAGCAACTTGTCCTTCATCAGATACAGCTAGTAACGGTAGATTCATGGTATAGTCTACTTCACATGGTGGTCGTAATGTTCTCATATAATGTCCTTTACGTACTGTATGCATTATAACAGTACCATCCTGTCAACAAAATACTTTATAAATTAACGACAATTGATTCATATGCTTATCTGATAGTCACATGGTAGTTTGGATACCCATCTGGGTATTACTATTAATCCATGTTAAAGGGGGGGGGGGGGCATATTTCTGACAAGTCTGAAGATAATATTATGTCTGGTTGTTTGAGACTAACCATTAAATGGCAGACTGGAGGAAATGAAACATACCTAATTTGCCAGACTTGTAAACTTAAATATGAGGATTATTTATATGAATTATATAGGTATTTCTTTCTGTCTAGGAACAGATTTAATCAAATTAATATTATTGGTTTACCTTAGAAGCTGATACAGCTAGATCTAATTCAACTGATATGTGTACAGCTGTAACCTCATCATCATGACCATATAATGTTTGTATAGGTTTATTACATACATTACTACTAATTCCACCCTATAACAAAACATATATATAATATTTAATGTCCTACTTCGCTACAACAGCAGGGCTTACATCATGCAGTGTGTTATGAGGGAAACTTTTATCGGACATCACAGCGGTCTACTTTTATTTTGATATCCAAATTTGAAGGGTTCTTTTATGAGCATGCCGACATGTACACAAGACCTTAGTTTTTGTCCAATCTCCTGATTAATGATCCAGCGTTTTACTCATTACGACTTCTAGAATGTTAATAAATCATGAACTGATGGACAGACAGGGTTACGACAACTTGGTTGTATAAAAATGTATACCTGTTGATTTATCTCCCACACTATACATGTAGTATCTCGAGAACCAGTTATTAGATGTTTACCACAATAATCTAACGCTAGACATGTCACTATATCTATAATATATCATATACAACATAATTTATAAATAGAAAATTTTATATCAACAGAAGTCGATAAAATGAAAATAAGGAGGCCGTGATAAAACACTTTCTATCTCACCAGTATCATTCTTATCAGGTGATAAACAACAATATCTAACAACAACTTATATATAGTTAATTAATGGTGACCACTAATTAATGGGAAATTGACTTAATTAAATTAATGTGAAACTATTATAATGTCGTTGATCAAAGTTGATGATTATTCAAATGGACATGAAAAAGACTATGAGAGATAGTTGATTTTTGAATGATAACATACTTACCAATATGTCTAACTATATGATTAATCTTCTTGTTTTTAGTGATAAGATAAACTTGTAGACTATTATCCCAATGTCCACCACTAAATAATAACTTACAGTCATGTGATACAACAAATAACTTAGCTTCTATACATAAACCAGGATCAAAAGCTCCATTTACATGTTTCTTTGTTCTGTTAAAAGAAAAATGATAAGTTGTTGAATATTTAATTAATTTGTAGGAAATGGGAGCATTTACAAGACACTCAAATTAAATGTTATATACCCAATTTGATTACAATTTAGCTGGAACTAAAATGTGAAAAATTAGATATTGTCTGAATCATACAAATGAAGATCGTTTGTTATTTATAGAAATATATTTTAAATAAACTCACTTTAGATTGAGCATTGATGGATCTTGTTCAAATGTATAATAATTAGATATAGATTTATCATACGGTAACCAACCATGTACTCCTATTATACCATCTTCTGTTACAGTTACCTATAAAAAATATTAAATATATAAATAAGTACTAATTACACATACGATACTACAGACAATTTGTAAGTTATCACTTTTCAAAATAACATAAGAAATAACATTTATTTAAAGGGGCATTAGTTAAGATTAGATAAAGAGTTGACAGTTCTTGCTATAATAGTTAGAAAATAGATAATGAAAATAGAATAAGCTGAAAATTTAAGTCAAATTGCTCCACTCTGAACCGATTCAATTTTAGACTAGCCTCGATCCTGATTGCTACCGTTGGTACGATAATAAACAAAATCTCAATTATCCATTTTTACATTACATCATCCATTACAAAATGTATTCAAATCCACTAAATATCGTAGACTAAGGATGGCATCAAGAGTTGATTATGGTCTTGATAAGTTAATTAATGTCTTTTTAATAATTTAGATAACATTTAAGGCAGAAAGACCTGCGATAGGCATATTTAGCTCTTGCATAATGCATGTTTAAACGGAAGCAACATTTCACAGAAAATAAAATGTTATTTCACTAGGCAGTAAGGGTTGATGAAGGTCAAAAATAAAAAATAATTTGTAAAACGGATTGAAGGTGTGTTACTTGGGGCAAAAATCTAGTAAACCGTGTACTATTTTGCTGTAGTCCAGTAATTACTTAAAATAGGTTAAAATTTTGAGAGTTTTTGACTTGATAAAATTGAATCTGTTCATCAATGGTTCAATTTAATTCAGCATATACAAAGATATAATGAACTGGAAATTTCCGATACCCACAACAAAATATATAAACAAGCCACTGCCACCTATTAGTGTTGGGTGAATTTTTTTATGGGCAGATTTTTAACCTCATTTTAGCAAAAGATATTATATTCATCTTACCATATTATCTGAAGCACCATGTTGTATAATAGATCTAGCTTGACTTCTTGGAACATGGATATATACTAACGGATCAGTTTCACTTGATACCTGTAATACAATTTAAAAGTGTGTGTATAGTCAGTGTACTTTATAGTAATGAATATAACCTTTCAAATCAAGAGGACATTTAGATGGTTTATTCCAACTCTATGCTATTTTTTCACTCCTGGTGATATCACATACCAACTTACTGTAGTATGACAATCCAAAATTACTTAGTCTACTAATCTCATCCAACCAGAATATGATTGATTTGTAATATTCAATAAAATTTAGAAAATTGGCACCATAAATTTACACACAACTATTGGGCAATAATGATTTATGTGTTATAACTGTTGAATATATAACAAAATTAATGAAAACTATTCTTTTGGAATATTCACAACAAAGCATATTATTTTTCATACATCATACTTACCGAAGCATAGAATGGTTTTAAATCTTTGACAAAATGGAATATATTAAGTGGTTTGGAATTTTTGTAGATTTTACTAATAGTTTCATCAAATGACATTCTTTTAGGATGTGGTTCCTGTGAAATAAAATAATGATTACTAAAGCGGTGGACACACTAGAAACAAACTTTCTCTTACGGACTATCGATGTAAGAACATTCTTTCATGCACAGTTAAATGGTTATGTAAGATATTAATACTGTACCTGTATACACAATAGATTGTATATCAAGTACCTCATTAACCCCATGTGAGTGTGAGTCCTGGTAAGGCCCCTTAATTTACCTACCAGAAACATGGGTCACTGTAGCGTTATGTCATATATTTGAAATTATAGCCTAATGAACAACCCCTCCGAAGTCCTTTAATAAAAAAAATCCTAGCTATATATACATAATGTACATTGACAATATTTTATTACCTTTAATAACTGTGTTGGTGTCTGACCAAAGTTATTGATCATTCCTTCTACAGCTTTTCTTTCTTGTGGATCTTTTAAGGCATCCAAATCAACAGCTCCTGTTAAAATATAATATACTTATTTATTCAAACCAGTACAGAAATAAACAATAAATATTTGTATAGTTCAATCAGTGAAATGTTGTTCTATAATAAAGAGAGAGATATGTTAACTTACCTTCATATGTACAGAAATAAAAGACATTTGCAGCTTCTACAGCAGCTGGTCCTTTCTGTTTATATCCAAATATCAAATCTATCCAGTTGTGCAGATTTCTAGACACATGTTCAGATTCCTACAAACAAAACAAAGTCTTGTACTAAATTTCATATCTACAAAATTTTGTCATTTTTTCTATGAGTCATCACGGTAATTGATTACGTGAGACTCAATATGAATACATGGAAATCGATGAGGAAGTTTTTATCTTTTGAAAAAATGTGGTCTTTTTAAAGTGACACAGCAGTATCTGAGAACAAATTCTTTTTTTTTCTATATCGTCTAAGTATATATTTGATGTGCACTTAAAATCATAGTATAGATTTTAGCCAGTGAAAAGCCTGCATTCATTTTAATTTAAGATTTTGTGAAAAAGGCCTCAGAACTTCAGGAAAATTTATAACTTAATTACTCAGATTTATAAAAGAATGCATTATAGTAACTCACTAGTGCCTGTCTGTGTTTATGTATAAATTCCTCCGGTGTTTTAGCCCAGTTAGGTAAAATAACATCATTGATCCTCTCTTTACTTAACTGTAGTTTACCCAAATCAAAATCTAGACAAATAGATAAATATGTCACATAAAATAATCCATTCATATACTCCTGTCATACGGTATTAATACTAATTACATAAACTACCATACATAATACTAAACTATCTAATTATCATTAGCAATTTGAGAACAAGACGAAGAGTTCTTTATTTCTGATTGGGAAAATGCAATTTTTTTCAAGCAAAGTTCTCACCGGTAGTCTAATTTAAATCAGGTTTCAGAATCATGTTATAATCATTTCAAACCAAATGGAAATATTTTTTTCAAAATTTAAGTCTGACAGTGTGTGACAGAATAAATGATTTCACTAGATAATTTAAATTGACAGCACAGCAGAAACTCTTCGGTCAAGGTAACATAATATATCTGGAAATGAAAGATTTCCAAAAGCTTTTTAAATTAAATTCAGAAAAGTATCAACAAGCCCACTACAAGCAGCAGCAAAATACACAACGGTTATTAAAAGTTGAAATAAAAGATTAAATGAAACCATGTTTCCTACATGACAGTGTCTCACTTACTGTTCATGTTTACGAGAAATTCTGGTAAATAAAAAAACTCTGGTATAAGTTCCTTTACATCATTAGGATTTTCAATAGGAGACATCCAACTACCATGTATAGAATGGAATTGTCTATCAGCAACATCAAATCTGATCAAAATATAGAAAACATACAATACCAAATAAACAGTGTCAAAAATAAATTGTTTAATGGCATTTAGTAATTGAACTGGTACACACCCACCCCTATGAATTACCCTACACAAATACATATTGTAATATGTAATTAACTTACTCGAAACTGAGTTTTATACTTAATTTACTTGCTACTCTGTTATGTAATATATATATATAATAAGCTTACTTGCCACTCTGTAGTTGTATATGTAATGTAGTAAATGGTTCCATTCTAACCATATAATGTATAACACCAGCAGCATTAGAATAATGTGTACCATAATGAAACTTCTCTATACTACCAGTAGGATCTTCAAATGTTTCATATCTATATCATAAATAGTAATCGGTAAAGCAGACAAACTCTTTATATACTATTCAAAAAAAGTAGGGGATATTTGATTTTTAAGTGTTATTAAAGTCACCTAATGAAACTGACGAAGAAACAAATGACAAAATGAAATGAAGTTCACATTCATCGATTTATTCCAAATGATCGTTAGACTAAGTAAGGCACAGACTGACCATTATAAGGGTAAAATGATACCCGGGGTCAAACAGCAAAGTTACCACAGCACCACAACCAAGTCAGTAACGGGTAAATCCTCCTCTGTTTGCCAAACAAGCATTGATCCGACGTGGCATACTCCTAATGAGACGTCTAAGGTCATTTTGGTCCAGATTGTCCCATTCCTGTTGCAACGCAGCAGCAAGTTCTTGGACATTGGCAGGACGTTGTTGACGTTGACGTAACCTCTGTCCAAGCATGTCCCAGACATGCTCGATGGGGGAGAGGTCGGGACTCAGTGCTGGCCAAGGTAATGTGGTGATGTTCTGTTGTTGGAGGTAACCTGTAACGATCCTGGCCCTGTGACATCTTGCGTTGTCATCCTGGAAGATGAAACGGCGGCCATGACGTCGTGCGAACGGCACAACATGGACTGCCAAGATGTTGTCCCGGTAGTACTGGCCTGTAACACGCCCTGCAACAACATGTAAAGCCGTTCTTCGAGCAACAGTGATGCCTCCCCACACCATAACAGAACCACCCCCAAATCGATCATGTCTGATGACGTTAACGTCTTGGAAGCGCTCGTTTCGACGACGCCACACACTCCTACGTCTGTCCAAAAAATCAACAGTGAACCTTGACTCATCTGAAAACATCACATTGCTCCAGCGTCGATTATCCCAGTGTTGACGATCCCTACACCAACGACGTCTTGCCTGAATGTGATGATCTCTCAAACAAGGGATCACGCGAGGACGTCGGGCGCGAAGGTGACCCCTATGCAGTCGATTCCGAATCGTCTGGCCACTCACTCTCACACCAGTGTCTGTTTGAAGACGAGCGCTGATCTGATTTGCTGTGATGACACGATTTCTCAAGGCCAAGGTAGGGATAAATCGATCCTGGGCTTGAGTTGTCGCCCTTGGTCGACCTGAGCGTGGTCTGTCCTGTACAGATTGTGTATCACGGTATCTGGACCATAGCCTGCTTATGACAGACTGAGAAACATTCATCGTCCGCGCAACAACCGCCTGTGTTGTGCCGATCTGTAGCATGCCAAGGGCACGTAACCTTTCATTTTGGGTAAACCGACGCATATCAAAATTTGTTTTCTGGTCACTAAAACAATTAAACTGATGTTTCCACCCTGGAATTCAATGCCACAATGACTGTAACATTCAAAGTCAGAGTCGTGCAAATCTTGGGTTGGACCCCCATGATGATCCCAAGCATCACCTGCATTCCATGCGGTAGCTATTGGTGCGTTTGGGCGTCACATGTAACTGGAAATGTTTCTTCTGTTAGGTTCTATAGTGACTTTTTTCGTAGTCATTTGCATATTTTAGTATTATGCCCCCAAAATCAAATATCCCCTACTTTTTTTGAATAGTATATATACCATGTAAACATATTTTAATAAACTACAGTACTTTGTTAATTCCATAATATGATAGTCTATATAGCATTTTTCACAATTTTTGTTGTTTGAACCAGACCAGATCATTTGATATTTTTTCTAATCACGGTGTTATTGTCCAGATGGTCATGGTTTGAGGGAAGGTGCTCCATGTAAAACATGTAAAATACATTTATGCCTTTAATTGTAAACAAATTAACAACAGGAATCTCTTACTTTTCTCGGACCTCTGCTTCAAATTTAGGATTTACAGCACCCATTGGTTTTGATAAATCCCGATAGATATCGTCATTTTCTAAATCAAGTGTTTCTGAAACATAGTCACTTAATATCCATGGAAACTGGAAAAAAAAAAAATATTTGTACAACAAAACAATTAAATTTTTTATAATGTTTGTTGTAATAGAGAAATGTATGAAAGAGGGTGGTGACTCTTCTGGGATGTCTAATTGCGACTATGTACATCAGAGACCTTTACTGTACTTGGGTCTCCATCAACAATGTAAAGGGAGAAGCCACACAAAACTAGCAGCCTTGAGGGAATTCTGGGACGGCTATGCCCCACTATATAGATTTCCAATTTGACGTAAAAGGTGAAATGATTTTCATATATGTCTTTAAATGTTAACGATAATGTATTGATCATCTAACTAAACAAAACAAACTAACTTGTAACTTAAACTGGATAGTGTAAAATTCTTAAAAACGTTTTATTCACAATCTGTTATTCATATAAATAACTAACTATTTGATAATAATATAAATACTCACAACTGGATATTGACTAAGATCATTGTATGTTCTTCCAGCTATTGTATTTAACTGCATCAAGTAATCAAAATTTGATATCTCACGCTGAACCCATTTCTATACAAAAATAATAGATATAGAATATTATGAATATTATTATATACACCATACATATCTTGCTGACACAGACTAGAGAATGAATTATTAGTATTATCATTATAAAATTTATATGGCCCCACTTTCACTTGTGTCTCCAGGTAGAGATGCTTCACAATATTACAAGGTATGAAATAAAACCATGAAATACAATAAATAAGATAGTATGATAGCCACGTAAAGCGTGGAATATGTCCACACAGCACCTTTGTCACAACTGCAAGTTATCTGAAAGGAAAACTTGATGTTGAGCAAATTTGATAAGGATCCAGGATCGTTGAAGACATCTAATCTCTAGGGTTCATCCTCTTATGACTCCACTGCTTCCAACAAAATTTGAAAACCAGCGATCATCCTTAGTGTATAAGGAATAAGTATGCTAAGTTTCAAAAGGATCTGTTAAGAATTGCGGCCTGTGGGCGACACACAGACACACAAAAATTGGGCGTGGCTCTGTCCAAGGGGGTCGGTAATGCACCAAATACAATATGTATCATCCTTATGGTATAAGGAATAAGTATGCAAAGTTTCAAGACAATCCATAAAGAATTGTGCCCTGTAGACGACCCACAGGCACACACACATACATATATACACACACCCACAGACAGGGGCGACAGCATAGTACGTCCACATTATGAATGTGGACGTATAAAAATTAGTCCTGAAATAAAACAATACATATAACAAAAACAAATAATAATATTATATCAGCAAACTCTGACATATATGTATATATATACACAACAAAACTAATACTAACTTAGAAAAGAAAGTACATGACTTGAAAATTTATCTGTTTAAATTATATTATTAGAGACTTGTGTATTATGCGCCATGAGCATGTTTTGTGGATATAGCGCTTTATAAATGGACATATTATTTATTATTATTATATTATTAATTTATTTTAGCTTCTGTAGAAAGCACTATTCTTTCTGTCTACACAAATTGAAGAAGTGATGTAAACCTTGTTTTAGCAAAAGGAATCTTTTGAAACCTGTGCAGATTGGTTCTGATGTCTAATCATGTTTGTAAAATTTTTATATACAGTAAAAACAAGATCTTATCTTTTACTTACCTGTGTTAGTCCTGAAGCTTTCAATAATTCAGCTGGTGATCGGGTTCCATAATAATTCAAATTAGGTGGTCGTAAACTTAGCATTCTACTATATACTTTGTTCCTCACAGACTACAAATAAAAATCCACAAGAAATATACTATCCAAAACAAGGTTTATTAATAAATATGTACATAGCTTTTTTTAACAAATTTCTGTCACTTAAAGCATTAAAAGATTTTTTTCCAATTAAAAAAATATCTATGATCTTGACCAATACAAATACCACCTACTTTTTCAGCAAAATTAAGAAAGTAGTTAGTCTGATCAATAAGAAACATCTCCAAGGCACTTCTTCTCAAGTTATAGCGACGGAAATGTATTTCTCTCAGTTGACTTAGAGCCCATTTAAAATCTTCACCTCCTAATAATAAGATAAAACTCAAAGGATAGTATATGATCATATACAAAATTTAAAACAGAATAAAACATTAAAGCTGATGAATACTGACTTTAACTACTGAGTTACAAGAAAAAAATGCAACATAATAAGATAGATTGCCAGTCGATGAAACATAGTAATTAGTAACGAGAGAAACAGGGTTTAACATCCACTTGACACAAACTAGGTCATTTCAGGACTAACACATGGTTTAATTTTATTTCAGTAATTCGCTTGCGCGTAGGGGTCTTTAGCAGTGGGGGGAAACCAGAGGACTCAGAGAAAACTAACGAGGTTGGACAGGCAACCCTACTTCTTGTCACGTACAACTGGGGAATCCAAACCATGCCAGTTGACTCAATGACAGACCTTATGATATAATACACACACGCTAACCATTTGCTCATCCATCCCCCCCACAGCCCCCAATAATTAGTAACACTGATCAGTTTAATAAAAGGAGCTAAAGCTCTTTGAGTCTGATCTATCATTTCAATTACTGATGGAACATACTTTATATGGTTACATACTGAGCGCCATGGAAAACGCATCACTTAGTTTTTCGTATAACAAAATGATCCTGTAAACATATCTTATTTATTTTGCTTCTTATTGTGAACAATATTCAAATGGGAACACATCATTAACAACACATTTGTACACTTATGGATGTTTAATCTGTAATCAACGGTACAAAGTCAGAGGGGTCAAAACCAAAAGTACGACATATATGTCAGTAGCGCGTGTGTCCTCCACGGGCTCTTACGCACGCTGTGCATCGACGTTGCATGGAATTTACCAATGTTTGAAAGAAGGCCTGGGGCAAATTGTTCCATTCTTGGACAAGAGCAGCTTCTAAAGCAGCAATGGTGTGCATCTGTGGTGTCCGATACAGACGGCGTCCAATCTCATCCCAGACATGTTCTATCGGTGCCATGTCCGGAGACATGGCTGGCCAGTCCAAGACATTGATGTTGTTAGCAGCCAGGTAGTCCATACTAAAACGGGCGGTATGTGGACGTGCATTATCCTGTTGGAAGTGCTGAAGTTGTGGATGCACTCGAAACATCGGAACAACAATTGGTTGCAAGACATCATCACGGTAGGCTACAGCATTAACGCGACCCCTGCAAATGTGTAGGGCGGTCCAGTGATGAAATGTGAAGCCTCCCCACACCATTACATTTCCCCCACCCCATCGATTCGTTTTGAAGACTGTTCCCCAAGACGTCTCCACACACGTTGACGGCCATCAGCGTGATAAAGATGAAAGCGACTCTCATCACTGAAGAGCACACTTTGCCAGTCTACTCCTCTCCATGTCTGGTGACCTTGAGCCCATATCAAACGCCGCTGACGGTGATGATCCCTGAGGATAGCTCCAACATAAGGTCGTCGTGCAAGAAGTCCTACTTCTCTTAGACGTCTTACGGTGTTGGCACTTACTGGTCCTTGTCTTCCGACGACTGCTGCACCTGTTCGAGTCGCTGGGCGGAATCTGTCACGCAGATGAGTGACCTGGATGTAGCGGTCTTGAGCCTGGGTTGTAACGCGTTGTGGACCAGGACGTTGTCGGTCACGTGTTGATCCAGTAACTCGAACACGTTTCACCAACCTTACAATGGTGGACTGATGACAATTGAAGTGTCTGGCAATAGCATGTGTAGACATGCCAGCCCTGGACATTCCCATGGCTTCATTCCGTTGATTTTCAGTAAGTCTCGGCATCTCTGGCTCGATTCCTTCACATGTCCAACAACAAATTACGACAGATTGACGTTTCACAGTTCATGTACTGCACATTAAGTTGAAAACATGCTTTTAAAAGGCTCACACACAATTCCGCACGTGAATATTGGGTTTTTCATGTGCATCTTGTGCAATTTTTTTTTGTGCACACAGGCCGATATTTTTTGCGTTTGGGAGCATTGTGTGAAACAATAGTTCATAGTATTGCATAATATTATACATACAAAACCACCTAGTAATAAAATATTTGGGAAAAAAAAGTGATGCGTTTTCCATGGCGCTCAGTATATTATATTCTCATCTCACAAAATAATATCAACACAGACTAATTAAATTTTAAGCTTTTAAAATATATATGACACAAACCTTCTGTTTTATTTGAACTACAGTCAAAAAAGTAGACATGAGTTGTTGTAACCTCTAGACGACCTTTGATAATCTCAACTAATGTGATTAAAACACAATCTTCAGAAAATACTAATTTCTCTTTTCCTGATAATTCTTCACTTGCTGTGCTATAAATTATAAACATGAACATGGATAGCATGGTTTTCATTTAAACAGACTTGTAAGAAATTATCTTAAACTAGCAGGATACCTGGGACCCAATCCTCCCAGGGCCCAATCCGACTGGGGCCCAAATTTGATGGCCTAAAACCTTCATGGGGTCATGCTGTTAATTTGAACCACATATGTGAGGGTGGAGCTTGTCGATGAAGCCTGATGGGCAAACATACACACATACATACACACCTAAATCTTTTATTTTTTTATATAGATAAATTGATAATGCTATGGTGCCCTGTAGATGGTGTTGATGTCGAAACTTAGAAGTTTTACTAGTTGTTTCAACGGATCAACCACACGGATCAACCAATCAGATAGCTGAAGACTAATTAAACAAGAAGGTGAGAGAGAGAGAGATATGGTTTAACGTCCACTCGACACAAACTAGGTCATTTCGGGACTAACATATGGTATAATTTTATTTCAATAATTCGCTTGCGCATAGGGGTCTTTAGCAGTGGGAGGAAACCGGAGGACCCGGAGAAAACCCACGAATGGTTGGACAGGCGACCCTACTCCTTGTCACGTACAACCGGGGATTCAAAACCACGCCAGTCGACTCAATGACAGACTTTATGATACAGCGCGCGCACGCTAACCATTCAGCCATCCAATCCCCCAAACAAGAAGGTAGACTGTGGTCACTTCTCAAATGGCTGTGACGTTTGAATTAAGTGTGAGATAACATTTTAACAAGCAAATTGGGAAAACATGTACTAATTGGTGCCTTGACAAATGATAATTAAAATAGATGGAAATTACATATCTAATAGACATACCTTGAAGAGCTGATAACATTCCAATCTTCATCACCCAGTGCATCATCAGCTATGTTTTCTTTAGATACTAGAGCTTCTTTAGATAACTTTAAATTACGTAATTCTTGTTGATACTCGGCCTCTGTCATTCCTGATGAAAATTAATAAGTTACATTGGTTACCATAAATATATATGTATACCCTGGACAGGAAAACTGGTATAAAATTATCAAGACATCAAAAATCAAATATTTAACGAACTTATTTGCTTTGGGTGATTACTCTTTTGAACAATTTTAAACCACATTGTCTTAAATATAGTAATGATGAATCAAAATAAATCTGTGGGCTACGAATAATTTCACATGTTATTGTCCAGTGAAAACAAACTTGGTGGGTCACGAATCCTTCCATTCCAGAGTCTTCAAATTATCCAAACTGGTCACTGGTTTACTTGATCGACATCATTTGTAGGATTGAAAGAAATTGAATCTAGAACATTCAAATGAATTAGCCTCAAGAAAACAACATCATGAATTTAAGGAAAATAAACCTATTTACTGTGAAAGGAAATTTAGTATTTATGGTATTGTATGATGTAATAAATGTATTTCATCTACCTGTGTTATCTCTCTGACTACTAGCACCTTTATGTGAATCAAATGTATAATTCTGAATTAATTTCACTTTCATACGTGAAAAGTTTTCTTGGTTAGACAGTTTCCAGTGTATTTCCTCTTGAGATCTGAAATATGGTAGAGAGGTAAAATGTAATGATATCAACAGATAACTGGTTCATTTACCCATGTTGATTTCAACCTTAAAAACAGGTGATTTTAATAAATCAAAAGCATCATGCCTGAAATGTTTACTTTTGTTCATGTCATGTACTATATATACTGATGTCCAAAATAAAGTATACACTGTGCATTTTGTCCTGCTTCAAACAAAGTCGTTTTTCCATTGTATGCGGTATTTGGGTACAATGTCCATTTGTTTTGCCATTTATTTGCTTAGAAATATTGAGTTTGGACGCACAAGACATGTTCAGTGTAGTTTTATCACATTTTTTTGATTTAAACAAAATTTAGTCAGTTAGTGTGTATACTTTCTTTTGGACATTAGTATAGATGATGTATTTTTGCCAACTGCCTTGCCGCTTTGTGCTAGTATTCTCTAATAAGAAATAATTGATAAGTCATCTTACCTTTCAATCCAAGCACCTCGTTCTCCAGTAAAAAATCGTTTTGTAGCTCTCCACTTACGTATGGTAGATAAGTGTTGGTTGCGTAACTGAGCAGTAACGTTATGGAATCGTTTTTGTTCTTGAGCAGATTTTAATTTACATACATCAATAATTTGACTCTAAAATTTATAAAAATATAACCAAATAATATAAAAGTAAAAACTTGAAATTGGAATCTGTAATTCATCAACTACAAGTAAGGTATAAATTACTTATCATTTTTAATATGTCTACATGTTTTTGCATGAGACTCACACTGCACAAGTAAGACTACTATTTACCATCATGTAATATAATCTCTATTTCAGTATTGTATTTATTGTTGTTGCATGTACCTGAAATTTTAATCTACTCGTTCGGATGGGATTTTTCAACAGGACATGTTTACACACTGGCAACATGCAAAAAAAAAAGTTTTGACAATGGAATTCGAAATAAGTGTATGTCAGGGCAAAATTCCACTCATAGCACACTGTATTGCATATGCCTGTCTTCATTAGCCCAGTCGGTGCCGAAAAGTAGGACATTAAACCCATTTCATTTCTGTTCTATTTACAAACTCTTAATTTACTACATTGGGTTTGTAGAATGTTCAATGTCAATATTGCACTTTTCAATAATTATCTATGCATCATGTAATGTGATTATACAAGTACCTGAAATTTTAATCTACTGTCACCTATTTCTCTGTTACGTTTATGAATATTTATCATCATAGCTTCGTGACAATCTGTCCAAAATTCTCGTGTATTAGCTTTATTTTCTTCAAAACTTAACTCCATAAAATGATGCATCTGTGGGTTAATCTAGAAAAAAAAACAATATTTGAAAGTACAGATAATTTAAATCCTGAAGATAGACAAAAACAGAATACAAATTTAAAAAAACACAATTTTAAGAAAAGGAGTGTTATACAACTCTTGACCTGCACAATAGTCACAAGAAATTACGGACAGATGACAGACAAAGGCGATAACAATATGTGTACTGCACAGAAAAAAAAGAGAAAAATTTATTAGTACCAAACACTACCAACGAACACCGAAGTAAAGCAAAATTTTCTAACATCTTATGTACTTACATAACTAGAAACAAATGTTCTCCATTCTTCCGAGTGACAATATGTTCTAAAATCATCAAAGAAAGTTGGACTCTGGTTGGTTTTAGGTAGATTAGGTAGGTAATTATCTAGGTTCATCAATTCATGGGCTTTATCTATCAGTGCTTTTAATACTGGTATTAAATACGAATAGTTGTCTGTATTGTCTGAAATCAAAAACAATTTTAAAGACTCAATATGAATTTGAAAGAATTGTAATTGAGTAACAGAGTTACCTGTCTTGATGATAGAGGTTGCGGGGGTAGAATCTTGACGCAATAAAAAAGAACCAGACAACGAAACATACGCCCACAGCAGCTAAATCGTCCGGGGAGTCAACAAGAGTTGTCGCATATTTTTACTTTTTTCGGTAATTAAACATTTATAATACATTAAAATCTGATAAAGAGTAACAACTAATTAAGTAATTATCAGAAAACCATTAGAATTTGTTTGGTTTTTATAAAGTTCTGCCCCATGCTAATGTTTAGTATAGAAAACTTTTAACATCATGGATTTAGTTGTTCAAGTCATAAAAATTCATTGAAAATCAATATACTTGTTCATCTCAAGACCTTAAACTCTGTGTATCAATCTGAAGTCAATCGGATGATAACTTTAGCCTCTAGAGCGTCAGAAGATTTTTCAAAAAGATCAAGGGCCATAACTCTGGCAGTAATTATCGGAAATCACTAAAAATCAATAGGCTTCTTCGTCTCATGACATTAAACACTGTGTATAAAGTTAAAGTCAATCGGATATTAACTTTGGCTTCTAGAACGTCCACAAGATTTTTGAAAGTGATCAAGGACCATAACTCTGGCAGTAATTATCTGAAATCGCTGAAAATCAATAGGCTTCTTCGTCTCATGACCTTAAACACTGTGTATAAATTTAAAGTAAATCGGATATTAACTTTAGCCTCTAGATCGACCACAAGATTTTTTGAAGTGATCAAGGGCCTTAACTCTGGCAGTAATTATCAGAAATCACTGAAAATCAATAAGCTTCTTCGTCTCATGACCTTAAACACTGTGTATAAATTTAAAGTCAATCGGATATTAACTTTAGCCTCTAGAGCGTCCACAAGATTTTTTGAAGTGATCAAGGGCCATAACTCTGACAGTAATTATTGGAAATTGCTGAAAATCAATAGGCTTCTTCGTCTCATGACCTTAAACATTGTGTATAAATTTAAAGTCAATCGGATATTAACTTTAGCCTCTAGAGCGTCCACAAGATTTTTTGAAGTGATCAAGGGCCATAACTCTGGCAGTAATTATCGGAAATCGCTGAAAATCAATAGGCTTCTTCGTCTCATGACCTTAAACCCTGTGTATAAATTTAAAGTCAATCGGATTTTAACTTTAGCCTCTAGAGCGTCCACAAGATTTTTTGAAGTGATCAAGGGCCATAACTCTGACAGTAATTATTGGAAATCGCTGAAAATCAATAGGCTTCTTCGTCTCATGGCCTTAAACATTGTGTATAAATCTAAAGTCAATCGGATATTAACTTTAGCCTCTAGAGCGTCCACAAGATTTTTTGAAGTGATCAAGGGCCATACCTCTGGCAGTAATTATCGGAAATCGCTGAAAATCAATAGGCTTCTTCGTCTCATGACCTTAAACACTGCGAATAAATTTAAAGTCAATCGGATATTAACTTTAGCCTCTAGAGCATCCACAAGCAATTGTGGTAATTTCGACCACCAAAATATCAATACTTATTCAGATATAAGAATGAATGAAATGGGGTTTAACATCCTACTTTTCTGCTTCAATTGGGCTAATCAAGATGGTAGACTGTAAAAATGTAAGAAAATTCTTGTTTTGTTTGAAAATACACCAATATACGCCCTGGATAATACAGTTAATGGGTCGGAAGAACTGAAGTGTGGAATGTTAAATCAAGTAAATGTGTGAATACATACCTTGTACAGCTTGTAATATCATAGAATTTAATGAACCAATAAGAAATGATGCTTCAGCTGAACTACTGATTAGTTTAGTTTGTACCAAGGCATGAAGTTTAACTGTTGCTACTGAACATAGCTGAAAAAAAACAAACCCACAATTAATTAGGATATTGTTGTAATGAGGTTCTACACCAAGTTTCATCACTCTCACTGAATTAGAATCAGAGTATTTGTGTTCCAAATTCTATACCAATCAAATTGCGTATCTTTACATATCCTGAGTGCAGAACATGCTCATTATCGAACTTTGTCAAGGTAATGATGCAATGAAAATATTCGACAAGTTACAATCAAAGTAATCATGTTCTGAAATCTCAACCAATAAAATTGCTTAGTTCTGAATAGCCTTAGCAAAAAAGGCTCATCATCGAACTTGGTCAAGATATTCACCCAACAAAAATCTACAGTAATTTTGAACATTCTATCTCAATTATTGTGCACCAAAGACTTGGCCAATCAAATTGTTTATCTCTAAGGAGAAAATGCTCATTATCGAATGCTGTCAGTTAACATCTACACCAAATGTGAACATTCTACCTGTTAAAAGCAGAGTTATTTTGTTCCAAGTCGTTATCTATCAAATTGAAGTCTCTATTTAAATTTAACCTATGTGGAAAATGCTCATCGTCAAACTTTAGTCATGGTATTGAAGTAATTGAACTGGTAGATAGATACTTACATTTAGAGTAGGATGTTTAGCAAAAGAGAGTAAAATACTCAATCCTAGATGTACCATGTCTTTCCACCTACTAGCTAACTCAACATCCCATACACCTAATACATCTAACAGAGACATAGCATCCTCTAATAACTAAACAGATATATATATATATATAATAATTACTAATAATATAATAACTAGAATTCAAGAAAACCATAGTTTCAGACAGGGAATGCCTCCTCTTTTTGGAACACCTGATATCACTTATTGCTGGTCTTATTTATATATTTGTTATTCTATTTGTTTGTCTAATTAGTTCGCTGTTTTATGTATTGTTTTGTTCTTTTCAATCTTTATTTTATGTGCTGTTTTATTTGTTAACTGATTTATGTATAGTTGTTCTATTTGTTCCATTTTGGGCAGCCGGAAATGTCTATTTGGATTATAAACATGTGAGTTATTGATCCTAAGTCTGGGGACTTTTGTACCCAATAAAAGTGGAGTAAAATATAAAGAAAAACAAACAAGAACAAATTACCTGTAGGGTCTATTATTTTAATTGGAATAAATAATAGGAAAAACAACTATTTTCTCCTTAATGTGTGAAATAAATGATTATTCTAAACATATTTTATTCACTAAAAGATTACGATCCTTTATTTTTAAAATCAAATTCTTACTGAATATTGATCATTTACACATTACTCACCCTCTCACTATATTTCATATCCATAGATTCTTCATCATCAGTTATAAAGTGATGAACTATCTGTATTAGTTGTAAAGCATTCTCTGTATGAGTCACAATAGCTTGAACTAATACAATAGAAATTTATAGGATTTAAAGTCAGTATGAAAATCATATATTACAAAATACATATTCCTCTGACAAAACTTTCCCATTATGTGACTATCGAGCTATGTTCCCCCAAATGGAAGGTAACGCAATATTTCTGTCATATTAAGACTAAGATATGCGACAGGAAGAATCTTCCATACTCTTCTTCAAATTCCAAGTATTACATGTACTAAGGTGAACAAAACCTTTCCTTGTCAGAACCTAACAAGTGACAATCAGACTTGAAAAATCAGCCGACACTAAGTCATTTTATTTGTTAAGCCAGTGCTAAGAGTGCTCTACAACACAACTATTGTGACTGTATTATCACATTAATTTACCAAATTCCACATTTTTCTTACCGGACTCAGTTATATCAGAAGTACAAGAGTGAAGCATCATCTCAAGCAGCCGTCTCTTAAGTTCTGCTTTAGGTCGAACTAATACATGGGAACAATTTATCACATCTAAGGCAGCAAAAACTTGGCCCCTTTCCTGTCAAAAAAAGTGTTTCCTATAACCATTGACCATATCAATTTAAAGAAAAAGAGATAAATTGAAATGGGGTTTAACGTCCTACTGTTCTGCTCTGACTGGGCTAATGAAGACGGGACAATTTAAAGAATTGAATACAGGTGTATCATTGAATAAAATCAGTTTTAAATTGATGCCATGTAAATATATAACTATAGGCTGGATAACTTCTCTACCTGTAATGTTGGTACCTATATATTAGTTTATACAAGAGCTCCACCCATATTTTAGGTGGTAGCAGTATGCCAAAAAAAATTGATCATAGTGATAAAAGTGTGTCTGATCTAGATAACCAATTTTGTACATCTGTTCTGCTGATTGTCATTTAAAACTGATAGTAAACAAAGAACTATATAAAGAACTTCTAACAAAATACAAAAAGTTTAATAAAAGCGATATCACAAAGAAGAAAATAGTGGTCTGACATGATACATACTGCCACAGAGATGACTTCTTTTATCGAACATTAGACTATATCTTGAAGAAATTGATTTATTTAAAATAATCGATTATTGACAACATCAATTCTAAGCAATTATTTAGTGATAATTGATTCAGAAAACTTGGGTCTGGCAAAGTGAAAAAATGAAGAAACTCAGTGCTGAATTATTTGTAAAGTACCAACCTTCCAAGCTGCCTCATCCGAGCCTTCAATACCTTTCCACATGATAGTTAATAAAACAATAAGTTGATTCTGACATAGTTCCTCTGATTGTTCCACAGCATCTTTAACATATATCTTCTGTATACCTAAATTATCTAACGCACGCTGAAAGTTCTCAGACTGAGCTGTTGAATCTCTTTGTGACTGTGTGGAAGAAACCATACTTAACTCCGAGTTACTTTCACTGCCTGATATGGACATACTACTTCGACTTTGTGTCATAGAATTACGTCGATCACGTCTCTGACCTATTGCACTTAAATCTTCTGTACTAGCACTTGAACTGCGACTCATTGAACGATCATCTTCCGAACAGTTCAAATCGTCAAACTGCTGAGCGGCTAAAAACATGGGTGTCATCGGTGATTTGGGAGGTAAAATGTCCATAGAGTGGTCACATTCTGCAACATCCAAATCTTGAGGTCGGTTGGAATTATTTCTATCAGGAGTAGAAGTATCGGGCCAGTTGGATACTTCTTCACTTGGAAAATGAACCAAACTTTTGTCAATATCTGTTTCTGCATGATCTCTTGGATCCATTCCAAAGAGACGTGTTACCGTTTCCTGCCATCCTAGTTGTTTGACAATACTTTTGGCAGCAGAGGGTTTAGTAACAAGAATGGACAGTAACTGGAAATAATCAAATATACAAAGTAAACATATGAGTTAGAGCAGCAGAGTTTATCAAGAGTAATTATTGGAACCTTAACTAGAAAAGAAATGAAAAGGGGCTTGACGTCCTACTTGTATTGAAGTTTTATGTCTGCTTTGTCGAATGTATTCCAGGGCCTTATCTGTTCAAGCATTAATAGGTTGACAGTAGTTTTGTATCTAAGGATTTACTTAGCAGTATGAACTACAGGACCAGGAATATGAGCATACAAAATTGGCAATTCTTGGACAAAGAACTGGTTGCATACAGTGTGTAATCTTGTTCTTGTGGAGGTGCTCTTTAAAAAATGCCTAAGGCTTCATCATTTGATATGAAATTTGGCTGGCTTGTTCTTTGGACAATCTATTATCAATTTTTGATATGACAATTATAATTTAAAAAGTGATGATATGACGTATGTTAAATTCTTGCTTTTGATTTTAACTTGGTGAGAGCAACTGAATAACAAGCTAACCTGCCTACTTGCTTCAAGTTTAACATCTAGACCACTGTTGTGTATGAGGGTAATAATGGCCAATATGGCAGAATATGTCTGAGGTGTATCTGAAATTATAATAATGCATAATGTTACCATTATTTATTTATTTATTTTTTACATTTCTATAGAGTACAACTGCCACATAAATTATACATCAGGACAATATTACCTTTACATAATAAAAGGAGATAATAAAGAGCATACTTGATAAAATATATAAATAATAGTTGTGATTTAGATAAAATTACGTCATTAGAAATTAAAATAGCTCTGTGTAATCTATATAAAAGGATCACAGGGTAAAGGCCTTTTTAAATATATGTCTTTAGTTTAGTTATAAAAATAACAATAGCAGTGACATTACGAATTTGAACTGGTAATTTATTCCATAACAATGGTGCTTGAACATGACCGGTTACCATAAGATGATAAATTATAAAGGTGCTGTGATAAGTAATTAATATAATGATGTGTCAGTAGGGATCACAGATTTTTTGTGGGTTTCTAATATTAAGGAAGCTCAGAAAGTTAGGATGGGGACAATGTATTCAGGCATTTAAACACAAGTAAGAATATTTTGTATATTTATTCTGTATGCTATTGATGGCCAGTGTAGAGAGTATAATACAGCGGTGATATGTAATGAGTAATTCATTGTGCCCCCAAATTTTGGTCCTTTTGGAGTTTATCTAAGTAAAATGCCTATGAAGTGATTAAAGATCTAGTTGCCTCTGGAGAGATGAACTTTCTGATTTTGCCAATATTGCGAATGTGATAACATCAACTTTTACAAAGGTTATTGACATGGGCTTCCATAATTCATGTTAGAATCAAATATTGAGCCGATATCACATGCTGATTTGGATGGGGATATTAGGCAGGTTCCTAATAAAATTGAATTGTTGTCATTAACTTTAGGTAATTGAGTTTTCATGCCAATAATAAGATATTTGGTGTTTCCATCGTTTAATTTTAGAAAAAATTTTGACATGCAGCATCGAATATCAACAATATAATTTTCAAAATTAGATTTAGTGTAGTTAAAATCTCCATTTGATGCTGATTTAAATGAACAGAATAACTGGGAGTCATCCACGTATAAATGGAATGACAAATCATATTTCTTTACAATTGTGCCAAGCTATTTATCAAATTATTACATAAGGCATGTTTAAAATATTTATTTTGTTAATTTGATCAAAGTAATTATTGTGTTAATTTGATATCAAAATAAAATAATTACTTTGTTAATCTGATGTTAATATTTTTTTAAAGAAACCCACCTGTAAATGAGACCTGCTCAACAAATCTTTTAAACATTGGTGTATTGATGTCATAATTCTGCATTTTAGATATCAAACCAAGATGGCCGATTTCTCCCAGACGTAACCTAGTTTTACTTTTTTCATACACCTTGTCTGATTTCAATAACATATATAAAACCTACAAATGAACAAGAAAATACAGTAAAAAAATTAATAAGCATCAAAATGACAGCTAACACATACAATTCTACATAGTTACGTCACTCCAAAACCATGTGAGAAGGCACGGCCATCTAGTTTCATTCCGAGTGTGAACTTCTGGGCCACGTGTTGTGAGTTTGTTGCTCATATTTCGTGTGCTTCTCTCAGAGGCATAGTTACATGGCCAAGTCAGGCTATCTCATTGTTTATTTGTCATTTTGTAGCATTTCTATAATAAATCATAAATGTTGAATTGCCTTATGTTCTTTCATAATTTTGGCGATATCATATTTGCTCTGAAATCTCACATGGTTTGGGAGTGACGTAACTATGATGATGTAGAATTTAAAAATTAAACGAGCTTACCTTCAGGGAAGTGAAGTTTGATTGTAATTCTACGAATCATAGTAAGGAACGGAGAAATCATGTGCCCTCCCAATTCGGTTGATTTGGCACCCACCCTTTTTCTCGTTCCCAACCAGTACTGAAATATACTATCACCTGCTTTAAAGAATGAAACTGGATGGCCGCGCCTTCTCACATGATTTCTCCGTCCCTTACTATGATTCGTAGAATTACAATCAAACTTCACTTCCCTGAAGGTAAGCTCGTTTAATTTTTAAATTAAAGTGGATACAGAAATGTTACAGTACAAAATTGTTTAGCTTGAGGTTTCGAGATAATGTGATGAGTTCTTAATAAAGATAAAACAAACAACTTACTTTGACAACCTTTTCATAGAAGACAACTGAATAGCTTTCATGTGTAAGTAGTACATAAAGCATTTCAGCCATTTCTGGTTCAAACATTACTAGGAAAAATTGGTCATACTTTCTTCGGCTTTCGAGTAGAGACAGAAAAACATCTAACACTTCACAAAGCTAAAAATTAGAATAAAGTACTGGTAGACAGGCCGACACATTCAGTTTCCCTTCAATCCCAAAGCAATGATAACATTAAGGCTTCAAGAAGAAATTCGGTTATAAGGAACTGAGGACATATAACGACTTTCCTGTCAGAACTGATTAATACAGGTAAAATTCTATAAGGACTATCATTTTTTATGCTGATAGCTCTGAAAAAACAGTCAATTTTTAAGGCAGTTGCAAACACTGTAAGAACTCTTACCAATTCCTCTTCTTTGACCAATAATAAGAAAGCTATAATCTGTGAACATTCTTCTTGTTTTATATCATGTGTGATATAATATTTAACTAATGTTAATAATGATACTCTTATTGTCTTCCCATCTTCTTCATAACCATTACTGCCACTGCCAAATATAAATGAATCAATATTTGTCTTACTTGAACTAAAATATCACTTGAATGGTCAAATATATCATTAAATAAACTTGTCATTAAATTAAACAAAACTCAAGTGATGCATGAATAAAATATTACATTTACCTGTAATAAGTTCTGATGACATCTAATATATACTGAACACCATATTTCTTTCGGAAATATTGTCTTTCATCTTTAATAATAGTTGCTAAATACTGGATATGACCTGTGGAAAATAAGGAAATTAATCTGAAAACACAGGAATATTTATAAATAGTCTCTCTTTTTGATATTCTTCATTTTAATACAAATTTCCCTTTTCATTCCTTCATTTTACATAAGTTTTTTTTTTATTCCTTGGGTTTTAAATAATAAAATTGGATTACTGCTTGGTATTCATGATATGTATAAATTTATTTACAGCAAACATACCTATTCGAACAGGAAAATCACTTTTACTCCAAATACGGAAATCAAACAATATATATTGATAAAGATGATACAGGAGTTGTTTGTTAGCCTGCATAAAGGCATCCTTTAATAACTGTACAGCCATTAATACATGTACATCTATTAACTTAGGATCCACCTACAATATATAAAACATTTGTATTTAAATATACAAAGAAAGACATCCAGTAGTTCTGCTAGTTTAAGTCAATACTCTGACGACTAAATTGGAAGACAAAAAGAACTGGAATATATAAAGAATAACCTTAAATGTCCTTCTACAAGCTGTTTTATAAAAAAAACAAAAACAGGTAGTTGGAAAATAATTCAAACTATACTGACCTTCTGTAATAAAGCTCCTATTGTAGCTGCACCTTGGTTTATAACAAAAGAGTCTTGATTGATGGGTTTTGTTTGTAGCATGTTACGTAACATGGTCAAAAAGGCTGACACCTGATTTTGTTCAAGATTTGCATCTGAAATTTGTGTATGTTATAATGAGTTAGAATTTAAATTAAAGGATTAATTAATAAGGATGTGTGTGACTTTAGTATTAAACCTGATAGGTATCATAAATCTACAGTCAATTCTCATTTTTATAGGTTTCAAACAGCTTTGTTTCTTTATTCTCAATTTTTTTTCACATGATCAAGCTACCACTAAATGTATTCTGGAGAAAATTTGAACTAAAAATCGACAAAACATACCAGCATAAGAACTACTAGGAACTATAACCCATTCGTCATTTTCTTCTGAGACAGATGATTCAATCATATTACTAGAATCAGGACTATCATGTCTTGCTGCTGGTATTTTATCCACTTGCTCTAATAGGGGAAATAAAACTTGTATACCACCGACACAGTTTACAACATCCTGTAAATATATAATATAGACGGATATTTATGTTCTAGTCAAAATAATCTATTGATCGGTTTTAAAAGAATAATTGGAATAACAGATTTATTTGGGATATAGAATCAATTTCAAAAAAGATATAGGGAATGTTCAATTGAACAATCTGGATTTGAACACTCTGAATCTGCCAAAAAGTGTGAATCAAGTGAACACATGAATTTCAGATGCAAAGCATGCACAAACTGAATATGCTACTATCTCAATCAATCTCCTGGATTGATAATCGAGTGCCCCCAATCAAAATATTATTTACAATATATTCCTAAAAGTGTTTGTCATTAATCGCTGATATAATGATTGAATAAAAGAAGTTGATAATAATATGTTTACCTTGATATCCCATGTGACACATTTTTGACCAGCTAATATAGCATGATTTTGACTATTAGATAAATCTATACATATATTCTCTTTACATGCCTGTAGATATAATATAGTTATCAATTATGTGTTACTCTTATAATGTATTATACATGGCATCTAATAAAAAATAAACAAATTATTCTTAAGATGAATTCCTATACATTCAAAGCTACAAAATGAATTTGTAAGCTATAATAATTTATTTATTTAGCTTTAACAATTTATTTATATCAGAAAAAACTATACATATCGTAATCACAAAATCAATCATGAAACAACATTCAGACGATGAATGAACTGAAAATCATCTGTAGCTATTACTATTATTCACTACTTCAGTTGGCAACAATAACTGATTTACTTTTTCAGTCAAGATCCTAATGTTAGGACTTTATTGGAATGTATTTCACCAAGGCCATTGATACTGTTTTATTTACAGAAAGAGTCTATGTATCCATTACCTTAGCATTATAATGACATAATAATTTTCCTGGTAAATCAAATAATTCTGAATCATCATTAAAGAGAGTCATGTGATTTGGACCTGAAATAATAACATATTGATTTAAATAAAATAAATAATAACACCTAGGTAGCATGATATAACCATTAATCATTCAATATTTGAAACTATTTTGCACTAATAACAATCATAAAATAATCATACTTTGCACTAATAACAATCACAAAATAATCAATATCTTCTTAACAAACTAGTGCTAATTGTACATGGTAAATTAATTTGATACCATTAATAAAAGATAAGCATGCAGTGTATAGTTTTTATGTATTTAAGGTGTGTAATATTTGTATATTGTCTCCATCCCTGCTAATGATGTTTGTATAGCTTTTTAAATTGTCTATCAACAAAGTAATCAAACAATGTACAATATTTGTAAACAATATAACCTTGCATGAAGGATAGAAATGAGAGGGTCCATGAACATTCATTTTTAATCTGAGGACAATTAGTGTAATTAGATCAAATATTCTACAAGTCGAATTCCAAAGAATGCTAATATAAGCCTTCAGAGATAATAATTTTGGCTCTCTTTGTTTCACAATTTCAATACAATGTATGAACCAGGAACTGATCATCTTGAAATTGTGAAGTCATATCAAAAATCGAAATCCGCCAATCGATGCAAAATTCTCCACATAACCAGCATGTCATGTTTCATGTCTGTATTGTACTTCAACTGGCAGAGCTCTAGATATTTTTGAAGAGCTTCATCAACAACAACAGTTACAAATTGTATGGAACCAGTTTCTGATTCAATAATAAAATCAAAGCTTTTATTGTATAATTTTAATGACTATTATATATAGGGCTCTCCTTCACTTAATAACAGGAAAGTATATGTAGACATGACATAGTCTGAAATATGGTAAACCACAGATGGAAACTGAAAGTTTGTATTTCTGCAAAAAAGTATCAGAAATTCAAACAGTGGCATAGGACAAGGATAAAAAGATTTCATAGTCTTCCAAACAGAATTAACATGGGATGGCTCATTTCAATGGATGAAAATGATAATGTCGGTTTAGACATACCTATAGAATACAAAGAACGGACTTGATTCTGTGAAATGGCATCATGAAATATACATATAGAACCAATTTGGCCATGAATTGTGATTGGAGAACCCCAAATGTCATCTTGCATCCCAGATGGAATGCTACTGACGTTCTGTTGAGCTGGTGTAGATTTTGGACTGACTTGAAAGAAGCGTTTTAATGTAGATGGTAATTTGGGTTCTGTAGCTGTCGGTGTTGTGGCTGTTAGTTCTGTTGATGTTTCTAGTGGTGACTTTATTCCTGGTGATCCAATTCTGTTTGAACACAAAGGCTAGAAAAGAAAAGGTTTACTAAATTACTAACATTGTTTAAATTGAACTATCACTTGAAATCTACAAGTATTTACATATCATAACCAATTTTCTGAACTTCACAACGATGTGATGAGTGAACCTTAATTTCTACGCTATCAGTAAATCCATATCATAATGTAACTAATTTTTGGTTTTATTCAATGATTTTCTCTTTCCATATGAAGAGAAAACATTTCTTACAAGGAAGAGCACAGTAAAAGCAAAATTATTTCATATTACTTACGTCAGTTAGGTTAGGAAATTTAAGTTGAGCAGTGAGTTTTTGCCGTCCATCTATATAAATTGTAACTTGACTGTTTGTAAAAGGACGTCTAGAACTGGTATGGGTAATATCAATACAGTGCTGTAAAAACAAAAGATTTTGTAGTCTACTGAAAATACTTTTCCCTTGAACCCCAAAACTCTGTCGCTTCCACTGCCACTACAAGGGATTATGTCTACTTCAACCTTAGGTTAATTAGATAATATCACATACACATTTTATGAGAAACTGACCAGTTAAAGACCATTCAAAAATGATGGCCCCAAATTTTGTAATGGTAATTTCAATAAATTTCTTCAGGTCTTCTGGTTAAAGCATTATGATTTGCTATCATCATTCCTGTCAAAAGCAAAGTATCACTTTATGGACAAGGTGAGGGGTCATTTTATGTCAACAGACTTGTAACGTACCCAAAGATTATCAGATAGTTGATGGTTTTCCAGAGTTAGAGTACAGTATTCCTTTTTACTATAAACACCAATAACCAAGGTACCATCTGGGGTGAAAAAGCCTTCTATACCATTACCATGACTACCAGAAATACTACAAAATAAACACATCATTATCAAGGAGACATTTACGATTAAAGATAGGTTGCCAGGCAACGAAACATACGCCCACAGCAGATATATCCTCCGGGCAGTCAACAAGAGATGTCACATATTTTTACTTTTTTCGGTAATGAAACATTTATAATACATTAAAATCTGATTAAGAGTAACAACTCATTAAGTAATTATCAGAAAACCATTAGAATTTGTTTGGTTTTTATAAAGTTCTGACCCATGCTAACGCAATCTGATTAAAATACAGATCTATATTTCTTTTCGTTTTTTTATACTTTCGATAGCCTACACTACATGAAGATCTGACAAGTTATAGCGATAGGTCACGTCAGGGGTCAAAAGACCGACTTATGACCCTTTTGACGTCAGACATTTAATTAACCAATCAGCATTGATGTTGCTAGTGGAATACCCACAGTTCCGTGAAAAACACGCCTAAAGTTCGCCGTAACAGACCGTTTCATTGGCTTATCCCTGACACCATTCAGAACACGAGTTAAATAACAACTCTTCCAGATTCAAGTGTAGTAAAGACAAGTAAAACAAAATTTTGAAATATAAAAACAAAACGAAATAGGATCTGTGTTTTAACCAGATTGATGCTAACGTTTAGTATACAAAACTTTTAACATCATAGATTTAGCTGTTCAAGTCATAAAGATTCTTTGAAAATCAATATACTTGTTCGTCTCAAGACCTTAAACACTGTGTATAAATTTAAAGTCAATCGGATATTAACTTTAGCCTCTAGAGCGTCCACAAGAATTTTCAAAGTGATCAAGGGCCATAACTCTGGCAAAAATTAGCAGAAATCGCTGAAAATCAATAGGCTTCTTCGTCTCATAACCTTAAACACTGTGTATCAATTTAAATCCAATCGGATATTAAATTTAGCCTCTAGAGCGTCCACAAGATTTTTCAAAGTGATCAAGACCCATAACTCTGGCAGTAATTATCGGAAATCGCTGAAAATCAGTAAGATTCTTTGTTTCATGACCTTAAACACTGTGTATAAATTTAAAGTCAATCGGATATTAACTTTAGCCTCTACAGCATCCACAAGATTTTTCAAAGTGATCAAGGGCCATAACTATGGCAGTAATTATTGAAAATCATTGAAAATCAATAGGCTTATTTGTCTCATGACCTTAAACACTGTGTATAAATATAATGTCAATCGAATTTTAACTGTGCCCTCAAGAGCGTCCACAAGATTTTTTTAATTGATCAAGGGCCATAACTCCGACAGTAATTATCAAAAATCGCTGAAAATCAATAGGCTTCTTCGTCTCATGACCCTAAACACTGTGTATAAATTTAAAGTCAATCGGATATTAACTTTAGCCTATAGAGTGTCCACAAGTAATTGTGGACGCCGGACCGACAGGGGCGACAACATTATACGACCACATTTCAATGTGTGCGTATAAAAATCATGTGCCTGTCAATTTCCTGTGATATCTTGTTGTGTCTGATGTTTACATTACAAGCAGCCATGGGAACAATCTAATTGATAGGATAGTTATTTCCTCGTTGGTACATGTATCTCCCATTGTCTTACTGTTGGTCCTTTTGAAACACTGGTTGATTTGAAGACATTTTAACAAGACTTTTATTCATGGATATAAAAATTGGATTTTTTTGCCAACTTCACTTTAATAGAGTGAATGAAAATATTGACTCTATTGGCATATGCACAATAGTATACCATATCTGTTTTTTGTTATAATCTTTCAAAACTTTAATTTAGGAGCACATATCAAATTGTAATTGTCAAACATTATAGCTTTGACATTTATTATAATAATCTTACTTGTATAGTTGTCGCCTAAATAGTGTTGGATCATGTAGATGATATGGACTTAAGTCGAACTCTGTATCTAAACATAACCAACAGTGTATAGTATAACCGGGTCCTGGCCATTTCTTTATAGTTGGCAAGACTAAACCCTGCAAAATAATGGAACTGTAATATAACCATGAACTGTATTCTGTAAATAAACACATCCACCTTTCCGTATCATGGATTTCTGTAATTCCAGCTAATCTCTAATTTTGAAAAAAACCTGCCTTTATCACTTGGAATTTACGGCTGAATTAAGCAATTCTGAGTCTCTGGGACAAAGACCAGATGGGCCCCCATAGTACATAAAAATAAAATCAGCCTGCGGATTAATAATAATCAAATATTTTCAATGAATTACTTCTATTTTTGCATTGTGTGAAAATCAGTTAGCAGGGTCAGTAAACTTGAATAAGAAATAAACATGTAACAGGAGAAGCTAAAGTGTGTTGACATTGAAATATATCACAAAGATAGGTGAGGTGCATAAATTTTGAGGATTAGCATGATTTAAAACAGAATCATTCTCATTTTTAATCAATTATTTTTTCTTTCCAAATCCTGCTGGCCTGGTGTCCCCATGTGTTAACCCCATTAATTATTTGCACATTTATCTTTTTATAAAGCCTCTAGCAATCAAATTGTTTATCACTCCACATAACCTGAGCAGAAAGTGATAATTATTTAACTTTCTATTCACCAATTAGAAGCAGAGTTAAGTCTGAAAGCATTGTCTAATCGAATTGCTTAGACTAAGTGGCTGAATGTTCTAATGCAGTTACAAAGGTCTGTCAGTGAGTCAATCAAGACATTAAGACATTTAGAAGCAATAATGTGATTAATACCCTTGTACTTACATCCGTTCTAGATTGTATATCAAAGAATTGTAAAGCCCCATCTCTACCGTCTCTCCTAGCCATTGTTGATATAGCTCTCATTAACCTTGTACAATATGGCATCTGAACAAAGCAAAAACATGATACATGTTTATATCAAAGTGTAATAGACAACAAAGGATAACTGCAAAATAAACACAGACAAAGCAAATGGTAGAGGAAAACATATTGTTTAACAGTATGAACATCTAAATTTATCTTAAGTTTATTGGATAACTTTTTGACAATTTCAAAATCAAACCATATCAATGACAAAGTATAAGTATTGCTAGCTATATATACTACTACAGAGCATGATTTGGGATTAAAAGTCTGCTTCTAACTAAGGTGACATTGCAGACTAAAAATGTTAGGTCTAGTGTAATGAATTCACCATAAGTACAGTGTGATCAGATGTGAGCTATGGCACCGTCTTACAAAGAACTAGCAATCACTACAACCTAAAGCAAGGCTGAGGGGTACAGAATCTAAACGTTCAAAAGCTGTTTGGCCATGAACCTCATGCAAACACAGCACATTCAAGGGCTGCTTTGAGATTCCCATGAGAGGATTCTCAGTTTAATTATTATCTGTCCCCCCCACCCCCACAAAAGTGAAGTTTGCTCTGGTTTAATTACAATACATTGAACATAACAAAATAACAAATCAAAAAATCAAATTGTAATTAATAAATTATACCACTAAAAGAAGAGGAGTGAGACTAATTAATCAAATTGTGTTTCAATTATTTGTTTCCAAGTTTTAAGTAATTTACATTAACAGAAATAATAAATCATAAATTCATTTCACATAAATACACATGGCAGCATATTACTGAAAACAAAAGGCTAACGATGTGAAAATAATGGCCTTCATGCCTCATTAACAGCTTGTTTACAGGTCAAACACTTAATCACTCAATTAATAGCATAATGTCCTCTATAGGCTCCTTACAGGTCAAACTGTTAATCACTCAATTAATCATATCATCACTATTACAAATGTCTGAACCCTACTTGAAGGTTGAACTGTTAACCACCTAGCTAATTAGTAGCATAATGATAGTTCACATTACAACCAATTAATGTCCTCTACCTTAATTTAAGAAAAGTTGCACAGAAAAATAACAACTTGTAAATACAATATATTGATACAATAATGTGTCTTAATTTTTTTTACCAGTCAGATTTTTTTTTAGCCATATTACTATCCAAATATGACTGTATTTCATCTATTTCTAAAACCTATTTTAATATAGAGATTAGAAACTAAAACCGTTTTTTTTTCAGTAATATAAATTCAAAGGATTGGTTTCTTATTGATGTAGGTCGACACACTCTTTCAAATAAATTCAAAATACCTGAACACTTTCTTCATCTAAACGTAATAAAGCAATCAACTGTTTTAGTTCACTAGCTTGTATTGAATGTGTACCTAATAACTCTGTTAATTTTATAAGATTACCTGAAAAATAAATAATCTTCTATTATGATCTTTATTTCATTTCATTTGCTGATTGAGAAGGATAGAGTTTAACGTCATTTTGGGACTAACATATGGGTCAATTTTATTTTCATAATTCGCTTGTGCATATAGGAGTCTTTAATTAGTAGTGAGAGGAAACCAGAGGACCAGAGAAAACCCAAGACGGTAAGCACTCCTTGTCACATCAAGCTGGGAATAGGAAATTATGTCACTTGAGTCAATGCCAGAATGTCTGATAATTCGCTTGTGCATATAGGAATCTTTAATTAGCAGTAAGAGGAAAACAGAGGGCCGGAGAAAACCCAAGACAGTAAGCACTCCTTTTCACATTCAATCTGGGAATCGAAATTATGTCACTTGAGTCAATGCCAGAACGTCTGATTTAAAGCGTGCACGTTAGATCATTGGACCACCCAACCCATCTTGACTAATTGAGTAGTAAAGTCAGTTCAGTTAACATACACTTCTAAAGGATGTTGTTAGATCTTACTATAGTGTAAAATGTAAATAGCATTTAAATCTTAATGGAAGTAGGGTCTAATTTCTATCAAATTGTTTTTTTTACAAATCAGCTTTTTACAAAATCAATTAAAATCATTATACTATGAATAATAAATCAAGTTCATCTCTTGTCATTTTTTAACTATAACTATAATGGCTACATTCAAAACTTACTGACAGCTTTAGGATCAATCTGACGTTGTCGCCCTAAAACACCTAATATTGCTCCTACCATTCCAGCATTACAACAATTCATGCGATTTCTATGTCCACGACCACAAAGACACTTCAGTTGGTATGACAGCCATATTTGGAGATCATGTGATTGAATGTCTGGTAACCATTGAAGTAACATGACAGCTGCCTTGGTATTATGAACTAAATGATTATCTTTCTCTACAAATTCTTCTTCCACAACCTGGACATTAAACAGTATGAGCATATATAGCAGCAGATATTTATTAACTTAAAATTGAACAGAGTATTACATAATTTTATAAAGGTTACCATGCAAAGTGTCAAGAGCTGAGATCTATAGGTGCAAACCAAGCGACCAAGTTATACCAAGGTTGCACAATTGAAGGTATTTCATCCTTCCCATAGAAATTTTTTAACTTTGGTAATTAAAATAAATAAAACAAGTTGTCTTTATCAATTTATGCAATAATCAAGCTGCTTTTCATCTCGGTAAAATATACCTATCCTATCACATCAATAAAGTGTCATCCGTATCCAGATAATAAAAATGTTAAATGCAGGCACAAGAACTAAGTTTATAAATCCTCTTGTGTAATGTTGTAAATATAATAAAAGCTCAAAGATTGCATGAAATATTTTACTCCAATCAGAATATCACGAATCAGATGTAATGATTGAATGAACTTACCAAATCTAATAACGATTTTAATAATTCAATTGATGGTTGACCTAAACTTCTCATAGCATCAACAAACTTTTCATAGTTTACTTGACACTGAAAATCAAAATTTCAAATTTATGTCAATTTCATCCAATTGTTATGTCTTATAATTATTAAATATGTAAAATGTAAAAAACTAATATGCTTAACAGCAGAAAAGTAGAAAGTGCTAGCTCTTGTTCTTGATTACTCCAGTCCAAATGGTCTCCACCAACAATGACAAATATCAGCCTGGTAAAAACAGTGCTAACTTTTTAATTTGTGGCAATGGTCATACAGATAATATTGTTTGTTTTACGAGTGGGGGAGACCAAAATGACATTCTTCCTGTATTTGTAATTTGCCCATCTGTGATGCACATAAAAGTTCTTATATTCTAATTTTTACTAATTTATTTTTATTGTTTATTTTTACCATTTCGTCATTTTCCGAAATTCTATATTATTGCTTTCAAAAAATGACATTCAGCAGATGTGTCATTCTTGTATTTATTTATTTTGAGTGAAGTCTGTATCATTACAGTGCCAGGAATGAACAGCCCAGGAAGGACCCCCAGATACCATCACTTAATTTGATATGTGCGCAGTTTGTGTGTCCTGTTTGACCGAAATGAAGTTTATGTTGATTTGTATTGATTTTATGTGTATAGTAATAATAAGTTTCCTATTGTTTTTGCCTTCTTTAATTTTTATACTCTGATCTGATGTGCTTTATTAAGTATATTTAACCACTGGCACGGAAATATATGTGAACAGTTTGGCTTACAATGTAGAAAATATTAGTTACAGAGATATAGCAGGCCTTCACATTTCAGACGCACTCTATCGCTCACATAAATCCCAATCTAGGTACGTGGTCGCCATCATGCTATTTTAATAATAATTTTGAAACTAAAGAAACATTCACTGGGCAATTAAATGTGCCTAACACAACAACACTATATTCACCCGGAAGCGTTCCCTATAATAAGCTATTAATAAACGAAATGAAAATGAAATGAAATGGGATTTAACGTCCTACTGTTCTGTTCCGAATGGGTTAATGAAGACAGGCATATGCCGTACAGTTTGATATGAGGGAAATTTTGTTTTGATTTTCCCAATATTCGAACTCAACCTTCATTACGGTGATATATATTGAAATGGTTTTTAAAATCTGATCAAAATTGTGTCATCTAGAGGACCCAGGAAGTTACGGTCTGATATGTGCAAATATCCAAAGGATCTGAGATCTTTGAGATATAAACATATATTTTGACTTTCATCAAAATCGGACAAAAATTGTGACCTCTAGCGGGTCCACAACCTTGGTATTACATACTTCACACAATTTGTGTTCAAGGAGCGGCAAATTTGACGAGCAGTAACGAAATTCAAACTCAAACATCATCAGGGTGTTATGATGACAATCTGATTAAAACACAGATCATATTTCATTTCATTTTTATACTTCAAAATTTCGTTCTACTTGTCTTTACTACATTAGGATCTGGAAGAGTTGTTATCATTGACGTGTTCTGGATGGTGTGAAGGATTAGCCAATGAGACGGTCATAAAAATGATGACCTTTATAGTGTCCACAAACAAATTGCTTACAGACAGGGTGACAACAATATACGTCCACATAAAAATGTGGGATTAAAAAAATAGTGAAATGGTTAAGTTTGGTGAGAAAACTTAGGCTTGACACAGGCATGAATTACAAACAAGACCTGATAATACGCAGAGGTCGATTCTGTGGAGGTATTTTTAACTTTCGATGAATTTCAAAATACTATTTTATAAAGATAAGAATGTAAACAATGTTTAGACATTATGAACTACAAGTATTTCATTTTCTATCATATAAACAGACGAAACAGACTAGGTCATTTCAGGACTAACATATGGTTTAATTTTATTTCAATAATTCGCTTGCGCGTAGGGGTCTTTAGCAGTGGGAGGAAACCGGAGGACACAGAGAAAACCCACGAGGTTGGACAGGCTACCCTACTCCTTGTCACGTACAACCAGGGATTCGAAACCACACGAGTTGACTCAGTGACAGGCCTTATGAGACAGCGCGCGTGCTAACCATTCGGCCATCCAACCCCCCTCATATAAACGAGGGCAGTAATTATTGATGAATATTATTAATTAAATGACATGAACTTAAAGTCGGTATGGGAATTAACTATAGGAAATATCGAAGTGCGTCAACTTTTCTATTCTATTTAAAGGAGCTAAGTCGCTAATATTTGGGACCTAGAAATTAGACACAAATGGGTCGCAACACATACAATAATGTAATATGAATGTATATAAATTGAATTACATTCAATCGTTTCTGTTTTTACTGTAATTTCTAATCAGTTGGGTGCGGCGAAATACGCCAGTATTCTCAATCGAATTTCAATCTCTAGCGTATGGTTATTCCAGTCTACGCCGTTAGTATTTATTGGGCATGCTCTCAAGATAAGAATATAGCGTCACCGTTTGACATGACTTGTGGAGTATGCCTAGCCTCGTTTTTCGAGTCCCTTATTACAAATAGCGCTGAAACGCATTATGGTACACGATTCGTGAACCAATTGTAAAATGTTTATTTTGTCTTAAATATTAGATATCAGGAGCCCATCTTTTCCCAGTAAGATCACAACATCAATGTTGATTTAAACCAACAAATAAATCTTGCTTTCAATGTCGAAAATTTTAGATGATATTGAGTTAGGGACTTAGCAACTTTAAAAGAAACATAATAATAACAATACAGTGTTTTATTCTTCAAATGAAAAGCATTACATAGGGTGATTTTCAATTTGTTCCAATCTCAGGAGAGCTTTTTTCAGCTCCCCATGATTTTTTAGATGTGAAGGCCCGATATAGAAATTTGTATCATTAAAAAAATAAAAGAAAACATTTTGTACAATAATTGACTGAAGGAATTCTCTATAGAAATATTGGTAATTGTACCTGTAGGTAATTCATCAAACTCAATTAATTAATAATGAAACGAAGATAATGATTTGAAAAAGCTAACATAAAAAAAACTTCCTTAATCTTTAAACTATTTTCTTTAATGATAGTAATTATTTCTATAATAAAAAATCCATAGAACAAATAAGGTATGCTTTGCAGTGAATTAACTAATGTCAGCAGTAACCATAGTGATGTTTGACTTTATCTGTAGTCATGGCAAAAAATATCAGCATACCCATCAGCAGCATGTTAATAAAACAGGCCCATTAAAACATTATTATAATAATAAAACATTTATATTGTGCATATCCCCCATTAGTCCAGCTGGTGCAGTAGGATTTACAGAAGACAACTAGAACAACTAAAGTTCACAGCTGTGCACTCATTATTATTTATAATTTATACACATCTCAAGAAAATTCATGTTCATAATAACTACCTTCTTTTGAATTTCTACAACATTGAAAGCTATTCTTTTTTATAGAAAATTAAAGAATGTTAAAATCTAACCTTGGCATTATTAGAACCAGCTAATATTGTTTGTATAACCTTTATCACAGAAATAGCTAATGACTGAGCAATACTTCCTGTTAACTGTAAAGAAAGGTAGAAATAAAGACATTTTATCAGCTGCATTTAATGAGACACAAAAACTTTATGTTTTAACGACTTAATCAACAACTTTTTTTTTGCTTTCTATGACGATAAATGAAAGATACATTATGTAAGATTTAGATAGAGAGCTAGCCATTATTGCTAAAATAGTTCGAAAACAGATAATGCAAAATGAATATAGTGAAAATTTCATTCAAATTACTCTATTGTGAGTGAAGATATTAGCCTGACAAGATGTGTTCATTAATTGCAACCACCTTACTGGTTGTTCGAAGCTAAGCCTCGCTTTTCCATTTTTAAATTAAATCAAAATATGGCTGAACCGTTCCAATCTATTTAATATCGGAGATATCCGATGGCATCGAGAGTTGATTATGATCTTGTCATGTTAATAAAATAGTTCGAAAACAGATAATGCAAAATGAATATAGTGAAAATTTCATTCAAATTACTCTATTGTGAGCGAAGATATTAGCCTGACAAGATGTGTTCATTAATTGCAACCACCTTACTGGTTGTTCGAAGCTAAGCCTCACTTTTCCATTTTTAAATTAAATCAAAATATGGCTGAACCATTCCAATCTATTTAATATCGGAGATATCCGATGGCATCGAGAGTTGATTATGATCTTGTCATGTTAATAAATGTCTAATTATAGTTTATGTAACATTTCAGGCCTAAAGAAAGACCTGCAATAGACAGATTTAGCTCTTGCATATGTATATATGTAGATGAAATATTTTTATAAACTGTTTGCTAGATCGGATCTTCAGTAAATGGAACCTACATCATATTACAGCAAATTTGCTATTATTGTATTTAATGCCTGTTGTCTGTATTATGCAAATAGCAGTCTACATTGCTTTACTTCCTACATGTGTGATAAATGTGTAGAGAGAAAGAGAGATCGGGTTCAACGTCAACTCAGACTGTATAGAAACATAATCTAATCTTCAACAAAAGTAGTCTACAATCTGCATGTAGAAATTTTTATTATTACCCTATATCTCCATGACTACCTTTTACTGTAATATTTAATGAGGCAATAAATTTTATTTTGCCACCTGGCAAAGCTCTAATATTCTACTGTAATAGTTAATGAGGCAAAAATTTTGCATTTGCCAGCTTCCTTTTTTACTGTCTATTAGTGTCTATGACAATATAATAAGTTGAAATATATTTTTTTTAAAGCTCTGATATAGTTAAAGGGGAATTCCTATATATAATATATTGAATAAACCATGTTAATTTGCAAATTTTTTATCCTAGTCCTAAACATGTATCTGAAGCCAAACCTTTTAATATCTAAATTCCATGCTGTGTATATGCCTTGAGAATCATGTCTATATACTACAACTAGACAAAGTTATAGTGGTAAGTGATCATTGTGGTTAACAAGTCACTCATACAACGGAAAAATAAAAATCTTTTCCAACTGGCTCAATATTCTAATATGATAATTTTATACACAGAACTATATATGGTCACATTTTATAGCTTTTGATCTTCATACCTAAACCTCCAACCTCGAGGGTTTTCTCTGTGTCCTCCGGTTTCCTCCCACTGCTAAAGACCCCTACGCACAAGCGAATTATTGAAATAAAATTAAACCATATGTTAGTCCCGAAATGACCTAGTTTGTGTCGAGTGGGCGTTAAACCCCATTTCTCTCTCTCTCTCTCTCTCTCTCTGATACCTAAACCCACTTTTATTAACAGTGTCCTGTGAAATAGGAGGCTCCCCTTTAACAACTAATCATTGTTTATTTGAATGTCTGTATACGTCATTGTTAACATTGATGTATTTACGGTTTTTACATACATATAATTCATAAAAAATAATTGATTAATTAAAGCATGTACAAAAGTGTAGAGCTGGGCGATATTTCTGTTTTTCGATATAAAAAAGTCAAAGAAATAAAGATAGGTTGCCAGGCAAGGAAACATACGTCCACAACAGCTAAATCATCCAAGCGATCGACAAGGATTGTCACATACTTATTCTTTTGTAGGTAATTGGTTGCATTTACAAGATAATTTCATGCAGATGAGATTATAATTTTTGTCATTTGAGGGTTCACAAGGTTCTACAAAGAACCGTAACTTCTAATTAATAGAAATTGTCGAAATTCGACAGGCTTTTTCACGTTACTAATTCAAATAATGCATATTAATTTCATACAGATCGGATGATAACTTCTGTCATTCTAGCGTTCACAATTGCTAAAATTCAATAGGCTTCTTCATTTCACTAATTTAAATGATGCATATAAATTTTATACAGATTAAATGATAACTTTTGTCAATCAAGCATTCACAAGGTGCAACAAAGTGGAACAAGGGCCAAAACTCAGAAACGGCTGAAATTCAATAGGATTCTCCATTTCACTAATTTAAATGATGCATATAAATTTTCTGAAAATATGTCTTCCTTTTTATGTTATTTGCGATATTTTATTGTTTAATGATAAATATATAGCAATAAATACTGTTATATTCTCCCAAGTGCTCATTCAACAAAGTCTGCAAACAATAGAGCTTTGTTTACATCACATGACTTCTCGCTCAGTACTCTTAGAATTATACCTGTTTCTTTTCAATGCCTATGCATCTTTACAAATTGTGTATACAGAATCTTTGATTTTTCAAAGGAATCATAGATTTTCTGACGGATATAAATTTTAATAAAGCAGAAGTATTAATAATGGCAACTATATTTAGGGTACACGTAGACTGAAAAATCACTAACTGACTTTATTAATGGACACTTTTTGAGACAGCACTGATATAGTTTAATTTAGCATTCTTGTATTGTAAAATTCATTTTCAAGAAGGCATACGCTTGAATGATAAAAAAAATGAATAATAAATGAATAGCCTCCAATGGTACCCATAGCTATAAAAACATGCACGGCCGATACAACAACACAAACTTTTTTTGTTTTTCCCTTTTTTATGCCTCCTTCATATGTAAATAATCTTAAACAGGCATTTTGCAAGAAACAAATCTGCCTATTTATGCCTTAAATTATGAATTAGACATCAATAAACCTCTATGCCAAGACCATAATCAACTCTCGATGCCATTGGATACTCTAGATTTTCAACAGATTTAAATACGATTTGCAGTTAATGATTTAATATAAAAATGGATAATCAAGACTTTGTTTATTATCGTAACAACGGTAGCAATGAAAATCAAGGCTACACTGTTATAGTAACAGCAATAACCCGGCTAAGAATGAAGTAATTTGACTGAAATTTTCAACATATTCCCTTTTCATTATCTATTTTCAACTATAATAACGAGAACTGTCAGCTTTTTATCTAATCTTACATAATGCCCCTTTCAATCAAATATCAAAATTAATGTACTGGCAGCTCAAATTGTGATAAACAACAACATAGACAAATACATTTAGCTAGTCTTCGATTGATCTATGCTCATCAAATTTTATTTGTAAATACAGAACTCTGTATCTATGCTTAATTTTTAAATTATATTGACTACAATGGGTCAATTGAATACTCAGGGGGGGGGGGGGGGATGTCCAACATTTTATGAATGTTAATTTAGAGTTAAAAGGTGGTAAACTGAAATTATTGACATTTTATAAAACATCACGTAATAGTGATTATACAGCAATATTTTCTGAAAAGTTCAATGAATAATAGTAATTTCTTACAGATGTTTTCTGTAGCAAGGAAACAAAAGAGTTAAACGTTCCACCACTGACAAGTAAAACCTGTAGAGCTCCTTTATCATTACAAGATAACATTTCATCAACAGTTGCTGTAATACAAAACAAGATAACATTTCATCAACAGATGCTGTAATAGAAAACAAGGTAACATTTCATCAACAGTTACTAAGATAACATACAGAGACAGTTGCTACATTATAAAACAAGATAAACTTATTATCAACAGTTGATGTAATACTAAACAAGAAAACATTTCATCAACAGATGCTGTAATACAAAAAAAGATAATATTTCATCAACAGATGCTATAATACAAAGCAAGATAATTTATTGTCAACAGTTGCTGTAATACAAATTTCATCAACATTTCTTGTATAACAAAGAAACATACATTTCATCAGTATTTCTTGTGTAACAAAATAACATAATGTTTCATCAACAGTTGTTTTAAAATAAAACATTATTACATTCAATAATTTGTTTCTGAATAAAAGAAAACATTGTACATTTATTATTACAATGTAACAAAATACAAAGTACCTTCAATGTACCAAAGTCCACAGAAACATAAGGACAAGCAGAATATATATCACAGATTATCTGTATAAAAAAGTACTCACAGATCATTGTTAACTGCAAATGTGTGTCTTGATCGTCATTATCTGATTCCTCTAATTCTAGTTTTTGTAAAACATTCATATAACCTTGCATAACTTCACTGACTTCTATCTGGCGCTGTAGTAAATATTATCAAGTTAGATGTATATCTGCGGGATTATGTAACATTATTTTGGATTGGAATATATCAAGAAATTTTATAGAATGCTCCATTTGTGTTACATTTTGATAAATCAAATAATCAAATTTCCAGAAATATAATAATACATGTAGTGATGAAATAAAATCTCAAATGAGCTTCATTACCCATACTGGTAAAAGATAGATATGCCCACATTTTGCAAGAGATGGACATAGAACAAGCTAAAAAAATATGATTTTTCGTACAATCAGGGGCCATAATCCAGGAAGTTACAATCCGATATGCACCAATATCAAAAGGAAAAGAGATCTTTGGGATATATAAACCTATGGACAGGGTCGACAACAACATATGCCCACATGACAATGTGGGAATATAACAAAAAGAAGCTTAGCTATGAAACTTATGCCAATCAATCCAGCTCAGAAGCTTTTAAACAATCCCAATAAATTTTTAAAACTTCAAGTAAGAACTCTTTTCCTGTATTGTATTCACAACCAAAAATAAATGGGGAGGTTAAATTTGCATTTAGAAAGTAAAATTTTCTTTATTTTGACATGGAGCTTTCTTATCACCCAATAAACAATCCCTGCAAATTTGACCAAATTGCAATAACTTTGTTGGGTGTTTACAAGAAATCATGGACAACCCGGTGGATGACAGAAATAGGTGACACAGTATATGTGGACTTATAAAAAAAATCATTTATTTAAGTCTAAAATTAGTGCGACTTACTTGATCTGGACTACAACAATGTATAACATGAACTACTCGTACAATACATTTGAGCACCAAGTCTTTTAGTGTAGATATTTCTTCTCTGTTTGTATTAGTTGGTCCAAATTTTCTATTACTTGACAAAACTTTCAATAAAACATCTAACGTTGCTGGTGTTATAGCTTTTAATGCATTATGCTACAAATAAAGATAATACAATAAATAACACGTTTTGTAACCAAACATCAAACAAAATCATCATCTACTATACAAGTAACACCAGGGTGTCCACTTCTAATTGTACTAGTAGGATAAATAGTGATTTGCATTTCAAAAAATATCTAATTTTTCAAGGCTTACTCCATGCTAAAATGTACTTAAATTGATTATAATAAAGAAAATAACCATGATACAAAAACTAATAGCTTGAATTCAATAGGATTAAAAAGATGTCCATTTTATCAAAGATTATAGGTGGTGCGGTTTGTTTGGACCAAATACCATTTATATACTCTTCAAAAAAAGTAGGGGATATTCAGAAACAATACAAAACTGCAGAAATGCACTGTTGTTTTTATTAGAGGTAACCAGTGTATGTTAATAACAGGCCAATTGCCTACACATGAACATAAACAGTTCATATGGGTGGCTTATAATATCTGACGGCCCCATTTCACTCGCAAAGTGAAAATGGACGTTTTTGATTTTTGTCGTATTAATGAGTAATTGTTCCACCAATCACGATTTCGGGCAATCTGACCCACTCCTCTTGCAGTGCCATGGCCAATTCTTGCAGTGTTGTCGGTTGACGTTGACGAACATCTCTCCCGATCACGTCCCAGACATGCTCTATAGCCATAGGGGAAAGGTCAGGACTCATGGCTGACCAAGGCATATGGACAATATGCTGACGCTGGAGATAGTCATTCACAACACAAGCGCAGTGGGCACGGGCATTATCATCTTGAAAGATGAAACGTCAACCTGCACGTTGAGCAAAGGGCAGAACTATCGGTGCCAGGATATGGTCACGGTAGAACACACCAGTGACCCTTCCTTAAACAATATGCAAGTCCGTTCTGTCAGCCATGGTGATGCCTTCTCACACCATAACAGACCCACGTCCGAATCTGTCATGCTGTCTGAGGTTAACGTTAGCATGACAGTCATTTACACGCCTCCAAACGCGAGCATGCCTAGCGTGAAATCCAGAGTAAATCTGGACTCATCTCAGAACATTACACGCGCCCATCGACGATTACCCCAATTTCTACGCTGCCTACACCATTGACGCCTGTTTGCCATGTGCTGGTGGGTTAATGGAGGCACAACACGCGTTCGTCGCGCATACAAATGGGTTGCATGTACAAGTTTAGAGAAAGCTGATTGGCCGTTTGTCCTTGATTTTGCAGGACCTGTGTACGAATGTATCGATCCTGGGCTTGTGTAGTGGCTCTAGGGGGACCTGAACGAGGTCTATCATCAGGATTGTGTGTTTGTTGGTACCAGTTCCACAGTCTGCTGATCACAGACTGTGACACATTAGGCATGTTGGCTACTGCTCGCTTTGTAGAACCCATTTGAAGCATGCCAATAGCACGTAGATGTTCATCATGTTGAAGACGTCTCATTGCAAATTAAATGTAACACACGAAAGCAAAGATATGCTAAACAGTAAATCTTATGCAAGAACCGATAGGAAAGCAAACATAGAAAGGATAAACCAGCACGTGGCAGTTTTCATCAACCCTTCCTTGAGGTGTCAAATTTGACAATGAACCCCTTCCACGTGTATTGCACTATTGCATGTCGCACTTGCAGCTCAGTGGTTCTGATGGGGTGATAAGTTCTTCATATGTGAACATACTCTCAAAGAATGTCAAGTGTCAACAACTATTTATCATATCACAACCTGCATAGGTATTTGCATTTCAATATCCCCTACTTTTTTTTGAAGAGTATATTATCTGCAGATAATGACGAATGTTGACAAATTTTAAAGAGACATAAATACTCGGGACACTGTTAGTCGTTGTAAACAAATATAAACTCAAAGGGTGTCTATTAGTATTACAGCACATCCGGCTGGTTTGTTTATCCCCCCTCCCCCCTTTTCAATACACCATAGTAGGGTCATAAATATTTGTGTCAAGACAAAATTGTGCATTCTTCAAACAATTGATAGAATAATAGATTCAACTTGCCTGTGCTCCTGATATTATGGCACCAAATAGATGTAGTAACTGTAGCTGAATACCGGTTACTAATTTTTCTTGTTGGAAACAGTCTACAATAAAATAATTTATATGTCTTGTTGAAAACAGTCAACAAAACAATAATTTATATGTCGATTTGATAACAGTCTACAATACAATAATTCATATCTACAATACATTAATTTATATATCTTGTAAATGGATCTAGGACAACTGCAGATGGGATAACTTCTGGCAGGACAATTGCTGACAGACAACTAGCAGCTGGACTACTGCCAGCTCTATGGGGTTTTTTTGGTATAGTTTACAAACAAGATGGCTGACAACTGTCCTGCCAGTAGTTGTCCTAGTCAGCAGATTGTCTAGACATTTGATTATAGGCATGTCATGTGAATAAATGTCTAAATAATAATTTAAATAAGATTTGAGGCCAGAAAAAAGATCTGCTGCTCTTATATACTGCATTTTTAATAAAAAAAATATATATCAGATACAATACAGTTTATCAATACCAACCATGAAAGAAAGGTACAACTTCATTATGTAAACATGCTGGTTTAAATCTTTGTCTTGTTTTATCTACTTTCCATCTACAAATATACCAAAAGATAGGTTGCCAGGCAACGAAACATACGCCCACAGCAGCTAAATCGTCCGGGCAGTCAACAAGAGTTGTCGCATATTTTTACTTTTTTCGGTAATAAAACATTATACACTAAAATCTGATTAAGAGCAACAACTCAGAAAACCATTAGAATTTGTTTGGTTTTTATAAAGTTCTGCCCCATGCTAACGTTTTGTATGCAAAACTTTTAATACTGTATCATGGATTTAGCTGTTCTAAGTCATAAAAATTCATTGAAAATCAATATACTTGTTCGTCTCAAGATCATAAACTCTGTGTATCAATCTGAAGTCAATCGGATATTAACTTTGGCCTCTAGAGCGTCCAAAAGATTTTTTGAAGTGATCAAGGGCCATAACTCTGGCAGTAATTATCGGAAATCGCTGAAAATCAATAGGCTTCTCCGTCTCATGACCTTAAACACTGTGTATAAATTTAAAGTCAATCGGATATTAACTTTGGCCTCTAGAGCGTCCACAAGCAATTGTGGACGCCGGAACGATGGAAGGACGGGGGCGACGACAATATATTGTCTTATTATCAGTTAAAATAATAATCATATCAAATGAGTAATTAGGGCCTATATCAATCTATTATTCATATGTACATAAATGATCCAATAAAGATACTAGGCAAACTCGTAACATCATTTGCACCTAATGAGACCCTGCACCCCCAACCAAGTTCTCCTGTTTACTACAACCACTAATTAATAGATTTTAATAGCCTGTGCCATGGTTCCCCTGGCCATCTCCTTTTGCTGATCCCTCTACGGTCACTATAGCACTGTTGCATGTTCCATGGTTGCTTTAGACTTGACATTAATTCAAATTTCTCTCTCCTATATTTATTACTATACCTACCCTCTCAATCTTTTTCTCCATATAAAATATGGGTCATAAAGGCATTCTAACAAATGAATGACATGTTGAATAAATGATAAAAATAGAGATGATGAACAACAGGACTCATCATCTTCATCTCCACATATCTGTAAAAGAAAATCAACTAGAGCATTGCTAACGCTGCAATATATGTCCACATTCCTGCTTTCATTGATATGGAACTTTTTAAAATGAAGAGAATGAAATATGAAATAGCTGCAATGTCTGTAATATGGCAAGAGGCATAGAAGGTTAGGCGTTGGGTTTGTTTTGCCAAATTTAGAGACTAATTATTAACAAAAAAGTGGGTGTCACACCACCCCTGGCGGTCAGGACATGTACCAAAATAAATAGTTGCTATCTTTATGGTATAAGGAATAAATATGCCAAGTTCCAAGATGATCCGTTCTGAATTCCAGTCTGCAGACAAAAAACAAAAAATTGGGCGTGGCTCTGCCCCTGGGGGTTGGACATGGACCAATATACATGTAAATAGGTACAACCCTATGATGGATCATTCCGAATTGGATCCAAATCTGTTAATAATTGCAGCCTATATATCATTTAAAGACAAAATATTAACAAAAAGTGTGTGTGGCACCTAAATCAATAGTTGCCGTCCTTAGGGTATAAGGAATAAGAATACCAAGTTCCAAGATAATCCATTCATAATTGTAGCCTTTGGCTATAAGAGTATAAGAAATACATATGCCAAGTTCCAACTGATCCATTCAACATTGCGCCCTGCATACCATAACACAAAAATTGGGCTTGGCTCTGCCTCTGGGGGTCGGGACAAACACCAAAATCAATAGTTGCCATCCTTAGGCTATTAGGAATACATATGCCAAGTTCTACAATGATCTCAGGCATGGTTTCCCCCCTTGTCAGTGATGCAGGACGGAGGGCCTGACAAGGACAGCTGTCTAGTCGTTCGGATGGGACTTAAAACCGAGGTCACGTGTACACATTGGCGTGCATGTAAAAGATCCCTTGACAGTTGGAATTCGAGATAAGAGTAGGCTGTAGTGCCGCTGTCCAGGCAAAATTTCCCTCATAGCACACTATATGGCATATGCCTGTCTTCATTAGCCCAGTTTGGAGCAGAACAGTAGGACGTTAAACCCCATTTCATTTCATTTCCCATGACAATCCATTAAGAATTGTGGCCTGTAGGCAATAAACAGACACACAAAGAAAAAATGGGTGTGGCTCTGTCCCTCGGGGTCGGGCATTCACCAAAAAGGGATCATCCTTAGGGTATAAGGAATAAGTATACAAAGTTTCAAAAGGATCTGTTAAGAATTGCGGCCTGTAGGCGAAACACAGACACACACAAAAATTGGTCGTGGCTCTGTTCCAGGGGGCGTCGGGCATGCACCGAAAATAATAGAGGTCATCCTTAGGGCATAAAGAATAAGTATGAAAAGTTTTCAAGACAATCGATTAAGACACGCAGTCACACAAAAAGAAAATGAGCATGGTTCTGTTTCTGAAACAGATGGAAAGTAACACTCATCATATTATAATCTTTATGTTTACATCTGCCAACACCGTTGTAAGTTCCCCCACAATTCATCACCTGGTCAGCACAGTTACTTATTTTTGTTAGTTGTTAGATACATTAAATACATTAGACTAATAGTAGTGGTAGTGGATGAGGACCACACAACACACAAACATAACCCACAGGTCGGTGTATGGATTTTTAGAACTTAGGTGAGCTGAGGTTATACAAACCTGTTCAATTACAGAGGCAGCTATTGCTACTGTATTAGACACAAACTCACATGATGCCACTAATGGTACATTATCATAGTTCCTGTAACAAATGATAACAAATATTTTAATTTATTATTAAAAATTACTTTAAGAGAAAATCATGATCGTTGAGCTGTTTTCATAAACCCTTTCTCAATCAACTTTCTGATAATTGTCTTGATCGTCATGATAATTTGATTGAGAAAACTTTAAGGGCATAAAGCTATCTCAACATTTCTTCTTTGATTGGCATTTAGTAATTGAACATAATAACACAAGGTACAATTTTATGGATACAAAATTACTGAGTTTAATACGAAGTGACATTTCGATGAGGATACTCTCGTCTTTATCATTTGCTTGATAAAGACGAGAGTATCCTCGTCAAAACGTTGCTTCGTATTAATCTCGGTAATTGTGCATCCATAAAATTGTATCTTGTGTTATCTCAACATTATCCAGAGTCTTCGACATTACAAACATAAATTATTGGTCCTTTTCAATAAACAGTGATGTTGTTAAGACACCATGAACAATTTCAAAACCAGTACACACCAGGATGTACTCTATGCTCTTGAGAACAATTTGTAATGAAGCGCCTTGATAAAAGAGGCTATATGCCAGTGCGGAGGTGAAATTTCAAAATGTACTTCCGATGGACTAACCAGGCATGAACAGAACTGATTGGAAATTAGAATAAAAGTTTTAAAAATTGAATTTAAATATACACTCATATTACATTAATATGTGCTTTTGATTCATCTTCGTCCAGTTTACGTTCCAAAGAATAGAGATTTAGTTCCTTTAATTGAACATCATAATATTACGTTATCAAATTCTCCTATAGAGAACATTATTACAAGAAAGTCTTGCTGACATCCGACACTAACTTTCATGTTCAACTCAATGACAACTTACCTGCATATTACAATCAGACATTCAAGTAGAGATTCTGTAAATTTTAACTTTTCTTCCGTAAAACTAGATGTAATTTGTTGTTTACTAATAACCAGTTGATTACCTAATACCTCTAATATACCATCTGGTAATAATGTTAGATGTGGTCCTTCCTCACAAAACCTACAAAGAGTTAATCATTACAAAGATATGATAAACTGAAAATGTGAAAATATGGTCAAGATAAACCAGTGCACCTATATGTATGGGTTTTGCTTTACCTTTTGATCAGCCTCTTTTTAATTTGGCTGAATCCAAGCCAGGCACGAGATTATCTACTGTTGATATTTTGATTTTGTTTTCTTAATTAAATGTTAAATGAAAATTGATATTTTCCGAAAAATGGTAACGCTGAACAAAGACTGTATTGACTGCAGACAACATCAAGACAGGTTTTTTTTTCTTTTCTCTTCATCAATATATTATAATGTCTACACCACAAAATTTATGATACTTATAAAACCTTCACTAAACATACTAGAAAGGTACACAAAGAAAAATCTGATTTTATGACGCTGAAAAACTTTACTAATTAAGAATACCTTATGTGTCCCGAAAGTAAACTATGTCGTGTGGACGACTTTTCCAACGTATTACTATATCCAGAAATTATACTAAGTCGTGTGGACGACTCCACCAACGAGTGTGGACGACTCCACCAAAGGGTGTGGACGACTTAACCAGATTTTTCGTGTGGACGACTTTGCTTGTGGACGACTTGACTGGCATTCAAATTATATACCTACCCTTCATTCAGGTGATCAAACTGAATGTCTATAAATTCTTTATGAGTCTTGATAAAGAACTGAAGAAATTTATCCAAAGCAACCCTTTCCTTCTGAAATAGAGAAATAAAAATTTGTTAAACTAATTGCTACGTACATTTACCCATATCATTAAATGCCTGTTGGTTGATAAGATGGTGGGCGTGTGAAAAACAGGTCCAACAGAATAAAAGTTGTCTCTTAATCATGGATGGAAGTCTTACTGTACTTTTCAATCTTAAACAATATACATATCAAAAGAACTTTTATTAAAAATCATTTTTGTCCAAAATTTACCACCCAGTGAATCTGATCAGATAATCTGGTTGGATAACATGATAATTCAAATATCATTCTATTTGACGACTATGGTAACTAAATGTCATAATATTCCAATTTTAGATCTGTACTGTAAACGAAGAAATAAACCAAAATGAATATACATGTACAGTAATATAATTACCAGTAATCAGTAGATTTGGAAAAAATTAAAGGATATAAAACAAATTTATATAAGGTAGAAATACAGTTATCAATTTATAAAAATCACTTTTGTTTTTTTACTGTAAATTTTTCTATTCCGTGCATCCCTATGGTAATAGGCCTACATACCCCATTATTATCAAAAAGTGATGGATTTAATTCCTAGAATGTAAGCAAAAAGTAGCCTATATGGCAAAACAAAGGGCCTATTTACAACAGGACAAAGTTGTGATCTTTTATTGAAGGGGAAGTCCTAAACACAAAGCAATTTGTCAGTAGGAGTAGACAAATTTTAAAAACGGGTTGTATAATTTGAGAGACGTGGAAATCATGTAACTCTGGAAAAGCTAAATAATAATAATGTGGTACGACCGATAGCTACGAGAACGTAGCTAAAAAAGTTGAGATATATTGATGTGCTTGTTTTTAGCTGCGATTGGGAGCCTTTATTTCCAAGTGGCAAACTCAATTTCTCTATTAATGCATGTAACATCTTAAAAATAAGATAATTTTATACTATTTTGACTAATTAAACTTACAGGGGCCAATGTAGTGGCACAACTATCGCCTAACTCCAAATATTCGCGTTTAAATTAATGAAGCGTTGTTTTTATCCGACATACACCATCATACATCTCCCGTTTAAAAATGACATTCCTAGTTACAGCTGAACGCCTCGATTTTAAATCAATGATTTATACCTGATGTTTAATTGTAGTTGGATGTGGCCGAAATATTATAAAAAACAATAATCGATCGTTATTTAGATGAAAAATATTGTCAATTTTGCTTACTGAGGCCTGATGTGATTTGCGTTGGGCTTTGCTACGTGGAACTATACAGCACCATCTCTTATCTCGAAACACGGAGGACTGAGAGATAAGGTTTGTTATCTATAGGACCGACAGCAACAGTTTGACTAATAATATTAGTAATATATGGGCTAACCAGTGCCCTATCTAAGATTATATCCGTGAAGTGTCTTGCTTGCAATACACTGTCACTAACTGTAATGATTATACTAATTATAGCAGCTCAGTTTTATTTTATTAACAACAATCAATCAAATATGACATTTATATTTCTTAAGAGTGAGGAATTTCTCTCTCTCTCTCTCTCTAAATTAAGTTGCTTAAATTTTCAGGGATCAACTAGATATTAATGAATTAATTTTATTGGTATATATATGTATATTAGTCTTTCCAACAGCCTACAGTGACATATATATGTAAGTAAACAATGTTTGTTGAGGAGGATGCCTGTGGCAAAATATTTACTTGGGGAAAATAGAACGACGGAATCGCTATTTACAGCACAATTTCCATATGATTCAACATACTTTTGAGTTGTAAATCATCCACAGTTTGAAGAGATTTTCTCTATCTGTCAGTTCTTCCATTTTATGAATTCTAGATGGCAAATACTCCCATTCATTAAATTAATTTCTCTCGTTGAGACGTCTACAATTACTTTCCGCAGCCATGTTTGATGTAAGGTGACAACTTGATTTGATTGGCCAGCCGAGAGACGGATGCCCCGGAAGCTATTATTTTTAACTGGGAAATCCCCTCCCAGTAGCGGTTGTCGTCTGTCAAACTGATGATTCGAAAATCTTCTTTCAACGATGTAAAAGGTTTACATGACCTCGAGGTCACGTCTATTTCTGTTTTACTGAACATGCTGTATGGTCATATATCAGAGCTATTTCCAGTTTTATGTCAGTCTGATCACGCGCTCCAAATCCCTCCATATTATTATTAACAAACAAGCCAACCTCAGAGTAAAAATACTCTGTGACTGTGAGCCAACAGCGAGGCCAATGTCCCCCCCCCCCCGAAATCCCGAAATAAATAGATGGCACTTAACAATTAATTGTCCGTTTATCGAGCAATCAAACTGATTATCAACTATAAACTAAGTTTCGACACTCTCTATATATCAGATAGAATCAAAGTCAAATAAATATATATTGCTTAGCTTTGCTTAGCTAAAAGCTTTAGCGGGAAACGTTAATCATTGAACTCAGTTAAACATTAATATCATGTTTAAACATTCTACCACAATTAAATACACCAGAGTTGAATTATGTTCCAAAGTCTTGACCAATCAAATTGCCTATCGCCCCTTTGCCTAAGCAGAAAATTCTCATCAAACTTAGTCAAGGTTACGTTATATAATGAATTTATAGTTTCACAGCTCTCACTTAATCATAACCAAAGTTATCGTGCACAAAATCATCAACCAATTAAATTGTTTATCTCTGCTTACTGTAAGCAGACAATGTTCATCATCGAACTCCATCAAGGCATTCACCCAATGAACGCCTACACCAAGTTTAACATTCTAGCTCAGTTAGAAGGAGAGTTATAATAATTATTGTGTCCCAAAAAGTGTGATGGACAGACAGCTGGACGGACAGACAGACAGACAGACGAACGAACCCATTTAAATAGTCCCCTGCTTTCTTCGAAAGGCGCGGGGCAGTTATTATATTGTGCCATATTATAGTATTGTCATCTTTTTCACAATTTAATGAACCAGCGGTTGCCAGGCAAGACACGCCAACATTTTGCAAGAGATGGATAGAGAACAAACTATAAAAAACCCATGATTTTTCGTACAATCAGGAGCCATAATCCAAGAAGTTATTGTCTAAAATGCGCGAATATCAAAAGGGACTGACGTCTTTGGGATGTAAAGACATTTTAAGTTACATCAAAATCGGACAAAAAAATACGCCTCTAGAGGGTCCACAACCTTCGTATTATATAGGCTACTTGTACACATTTTGCGTACAAGGAGCGACCATTTTGTAGGACAGTTTCGTTTCTAATTTACCGAAATTCGAACTCAACCGTCATTATGGTGATATATTGAAACAGTTTTTAAAATCTGATAAAAATTGTGTTCTCTAGTGGGACCACACGCTAAAGACGCGATTTTTCGTTCAATTCGGGGCCATAATCCAAGAAGTTTCGGTCTTATAAGCGCGAATATCGAAAGGATACAAGATCGATGGGTTAATAGACATATATTTCAAGTTTCATCAAAATCGGATAAAAATTGTGACCTCTAATGTTCACTAGCTAAACACGTGATTTTTCGTACAATTAGGGGCTACAATCCATGAAGTTTCGATCCGGTACTACCGGTACATGCCAATATCGAGAGGAACAGAGATCTTTGGCAGATAAACCTATATTTCAAATTTCGTCAAAATCGGATAAAAATTGTAACCTGTAGAATGTCCACAACCAAACTGTGGACGGACGTACGGACGGACAGGGGCGACAATATACGTCCACATAAAAAATTGCACACGGTATCGTACAATATCAATGGTATGCCAATGAATCAAGTGGTGTGGTTTCGATCCCACACTTGTACGTGACAATGAGTAGGTCGACTGTCTAACCTCGTGGGTTTTCCCCATGTCATCCGGTTTCCTTCAACCGCTAAAGACCCCTAGCCGTAAGCTAATTTACGAAAAAAAAACCCCATATTATGTTAGTCCCAAAATGACCCAGTTTGTATCGAGTGGATTTTAAATGTGCCTCTCTCTCCCTTTCGTATTTCTAAGGCAACTTAGCAATCAGTTGATGTGAACGTTCCAGACAAAAGCGCCGTATTTTCCACAATAGCTACATAAAATACCACCATAACTTTCCTTTTTTGATAGTCACCGCTTACTCAAAGTACACTCAAAGCCATTAAAAACGCAATGCCAAATTCAAAGTTTATTTACTGTAACAAATGTAAATAACAATTGACAAAATGTAGATAACAAGCTTCTGTGGATAATGTCATGAAATAATTCACTACAAATGCAAAAAAACGAAACGTCAGAGAACCATGAAACAAAGCAGGGGTCAGCTGAAGTCAATATCGGGTATGTCCACCCTGAGCTCTTACACATGCCTAAATTGACTTGGCATGGACTGGCACAGATGCCTCACTACACGCTGTGGGATTGTTTGCCAATGATTTTGGAGTGCCTGTGCCAACTCTGCAACAGTTCGTGGTGGCACGGCTTGAGTTCCAACCAGTCGTCCAAGTTCATCCCAAAGGTGTTTGATCGGGTTCATGTCGGGAGACATAGCGGGCCAATCCAATCTTGTCAACCTGGCAGTGTGGGGTCGGGCTTTGTCATGCTGGAAACCCATCTGTTGACGGACGTTATGTTGAGCCAGCAATGGAAGCAACATCGGACGAGGGATGGCCTTGGACCACCACCAACTGGGACCGGAAGTTGACGTTGATAGCGGCCCAAACCATGACGCCACCTCCCCAGAAACGATCCCTTTCCAGCACGCAGTTACGAGCAAAGCGTGCATGTCGACGTCGGTAGATAGTGTGACGTATATCAGGAATACTGAGGTTGAATCGGGATTCATCCGAGAAGATGACATTTCGCCATGGTGTGTTGTGCAGATACCTCTGATTTGCGGCCCATTGCTGTCTGGCAAGTCGATGACGATGCAAAAGGATTTGACCTTGGTAAGGTCGACGGCAGTTTAACCCAAGAATAGCCAGGCGCCTTCGGACTGTTTGAGGGCTGATCTGCCGTTGCTGTGTTCCAACACTTCCCCTGGCAGTAGCAGTAGCTAACTGGAACCTGTTGCGCAGATGCTGTAGTCGTTGTGGCGATTGCTACAGGTGGCGCTCCAGGTCGGGGTCGATCGGCAACTCTTCCGGTGGCGTGGAAGCGTTGTCTGAGGCGAGCAATGGTCGATGGGTGGACATTAAAGTGTCTGGCGACGGCTACCTGTGAATTCCCTGATCCAGCATGCCAATAGCTCTGTTCTAGTTTTTTTGTGTAAGGCGTGGCATTTTTCCGAAGTGATGAATGTTGAAATTTTGATCTGTATTTAAAGGGTCAGAGTGCATGGAATTCACGTGCAAAACGTGTGAGATGGGACTGCTTAAAATCGCGAAAAAAGACAAATGTTGCGTTTGCACGAACAAAGTTCATTACCGAGAACTGATATTGGGTTCAAACCCAGAACTCCACAAAAAAAGACCCATCACAAGTTTATCCTATGTGCCATAAGATAGGAAAGCCTAAGAAAACGTTTACCAGAAATATTTCACGAATTAGGCTTTTGGTTTTTAATGGCTTTGAGTGTATATTATTGGTCTGGAGGTTCAGTGCGCGGGGGGGGGGGGGGGGTCCATCAAATGGGCACAAAACCAAACCAAACTTTTCTATAGTAAAATATTGGGTAGAATACGTTGCCGAATGGGGCGTTTTCGAGATATCCGGGGTCACAAAGAAAGGTCAATTTAGCAAGTTTACATTTTAATTGAGCCTCCGGGCTACTAGAAACGGTTCACAAAATAGAAGAGGTTCATATAAAAACCAAATTGGTATAATTATATCTCAACATCTAAACCAGATCGCAATCTTGATGTCCAAAAATACATTTTAAGTGTTAAAGAATACATTTATACCATCTGGAAAAGGATCAGATTGCTGTTATTAACACAAACAAAAGTCTTGTTCCTCATGGAAACTGTTTTCTCAGTTTTTTCTCAATCATGAAAATTATTGAAAAGGAGGATCATTCTGACATTTTATATTGATGTGTAGTGGTACTATCCTCGCTAACGTACAAAATTTGGTCTCACTCCCAAACTGCAACCCCAGAAGCATCCTATGCTTGATGTTCTCGTCGTGTTCTGAACACGCTATGTTTCCGCGTAGTAGTTTACCATTTACAGTAAATCTGTGTTTGCTTCTTTTATTTTGTTCTATAATTTCAGAAATAGCATCATAATTTTGACTCCAGCGAATAAAAGAAATAATATTTGCGCCACATAAACATAGTCCAATTTAAACTCTCTCAATTATTGTAATAGAGAACGAGCGGAAAATAATTGCGGGTGAATTAGTATTATGAGATGGAATATGAATTCATAATTAATTTGAATGAGTATGATTGGCAGTTTGAGATACTATTATATTACAGCTATCTTAATTAGACTTTTTACAAAAATGACAACCGCATGCAAGCTATCATATTCCTGAAGCAATTAATGGCCCGAGAAATCCCTCTCTGGCCATTGCTGGATTAGCTTCTGATACTTGCGCTAATGAGGGAGTGTGATTCTTCCCGTTCAATCAAATCTATCCCCAGCAACGTGACAACCCTTTTTTTAATCAGGGGCCTTTCCTAAAACTTTTGACAGTGATTTAAGGTATTAAAAACGGTGAAAGTGTTGTTCGACTCAAAACGGTATTGTTTACATTATGTCCGCGCTGATAGCCTCGTTTGTCACACGATTATTTTTTTCTGCAATATTCTGCTATGCACTGGTTAATTGGACATAATAAAATCGTAAGTCATGACGTAACGTTATGTAAACATATTTGGTCCAGAGAGAGAGAAATGGGTTTAACGTCCACTCGACACAGACTAGGTCATTTCGCGACTAACATATGGTTTACTTTTATTTCAATAATTTGCTTGCGCGTAG